TTATTTCAAGCTATATGACTAGAGTCCAACCTATATGGCTACCGTCCAGCATTTATGGTAAAAGTTGAACCTTTAAGGCTAACGTCCAACATTTATGGTAAAAGTTGAACCTTTAAGGCTACCGTCCAACATTTATGTTAAAAGTTGAACCTTAAAGGCTACCGTCCAACATTTATGTTAAAAGTTGAACCTTAAAGGCAACAGTCCAACATTTATGTTAAAAGTTGAACCTTAAAGGCAACAGTCCAACATTTATGGTAAAAGTTGAACCTTTAAGGCTACCGTCCAACATTTATGGTAAAAGTTGAACCTTTAAGGCTACCGTCCAATGAAACCGTGGGTCACGTTTTGTGGATGAGTGTTAATGACTTGTAGTTTAACTGGTAGTTTAACTGGGCCAAAACAAAGTTTTTACTTTAAAATTTTAGATTAAAAAACGTGATTTATATATATATATATATATATATATATATATATATATATATATATATATATATGCCTGTATTTATATGCTAAACTAGCTGTTTGTCAATCCCTGGCTACGGTGTAAAATACATTAACAATACTATTTGAAGAACGAAACAGAAACAATATACAATGCATAACAATTTAACACATAAAACAACACAAAATGTATACAACAAAAAACAAAACACAAGAAAAAGCACTATTTTTATACAACCTGTTTTATATTCGTTGTAAAAAAATATATATTTGACGTAATGAAATAATATTTAAAAATAACGTTTTAAGGCAAGCTTTTAATGCACTAGAAAGGAGAAAATGAATGATTGTATTTAAATATATAATAATATACTACAAATTAAATAAAAAAGAAAAGCTTTGTTCACTATATTATATTTTGGATAGGTTTACTAATATTTAGGAAGACAGTCTTCACCCACTTGCCGACTTTGAAACGAATAGGTTTGTTTAAAGTGCTCGCCCGTTTCGATCTATGACGACAAAAGCACGACAGACAGACAGAGAAAGCAAGTTAAATAAAAGCTTGTATAAAGATTTAAGACCAATAAACTTTAGTAGGGGAGATAGTCCTTCGCTTAATACACTATATTTAAACAAACACTTTTAATTTTCCCCCTAGTTCAACCTATTCTACCAGATTATTTATTTCTTAATATTTAATATAACATATTTGTGTAATTAATTTTTATTTTGTATTTAATTATGATTTAATATAGTATTTTAATAAATGCTAAAATAAAAAACTGGTATTTTTTAAAGAATATTTTAGAAATTAGTATAGGCCGACAGCTGGATTTTCAATTATTCTTAACTATTTTTTTTTACTTACAAAATATTATTAATAAGCTGATATATCAGAATGAATAATTTTTGTGAGAATGTGGGCCAGCTGATCATCATAAAGAAGCTGCTAGTTAGAGAATTTTATTAGAGTAACATGAAAAGAAAAGTTAGAAGCATCACCAAACAGATGACCAGGAAACACTTCAGATACTTTTCAAAATCATGACGGTGAAGAAATATGAAACACGGCACAAGTTCTCTCAGAAGAAACAGATTATGCCACACCAGAAATAAAGTGTCTGACACCAAACCATTGTAGGACCAACAAATAAAATCTACAAGTTGTGGACAATTATGATGATATAAAAGATACTAATATAATAATATAATTGGCTCTCTTGTTGTAAAGTGATAGTTGTATGGGCATTGTGTAAATAATTACGTTTTGAAATTCAGTTTTGTAAAAAAAAAAATTTAAAAAGTGCTAGGAACATTTTTGTTAGCCATCATAATATGTGTTAGTGTTGTAAATATGTGTAAATATTCCAGCAGCTAGAATACATTCTTATTATCTGGTAGATATTTTAGTAATCACAATAATGTAAGGGGGTAAAAAGTGTATTGTACCATGCAGTGCGGCTAAAATAACAACTATCACTGGACGATTTATGTGCTTGTATAAGTTTTTAGCGCAATTTCCATTCTGGAGAATTGCGTTTATTAATTCGTCATTTCTGGGAATGGGTGGATGAATGTATGGATGTGTGTCCGGGCTTTAAGTCGTATCTCCTCCTCAACGAAGCAATATCGATGACTAGTTACAAAGGCAATTATGTTAAGCAAGTTACGAGGATGAGCATAGGCCATAAAAATTCCGGGTTTCTTTCATGTATTTCCCGGAAAAGCCAAAAAAACTCGAAGAAATGCAGTTTTTGGCCCATATCTCGGCAACCAGACCACTTAGCGACTTGAAACATGTACCAATCGATTTCTACCATAATTTAGAACAATATTGCCGAAGAAAGTTTTCAAAAATATCCTCTCGTTCGGTCACAAATTTTAAAATTACATAAACACCTACAAACCGATCGTTCTTCTAGCTTGAACGCAACCCAGCATTATACGTCAGAGCTATTTTTAGAGAACATAAGGAAATTGCGCATAAATGTCACTAGACTTTTTTAATTAACTTGTTTTTTAATAAATCTCTTAGCTACTAGAAACTTACTACAAAAAGCAAGTTCAAGAAATACACACTAGTGTCAATGCCAATAGGAAAACTGCTATAGCAACTTATTTAACTACAATATTCTCATGTGATAAAAAATAAAGATATGTTTTATTAAGTTACTCATAATACTTTCCAAATTTACCTAAACAGATAAATAATGGTACTTATTGTGTTAGGTCCAAAATAAGGGTTAGGATTATAATGCAATTAAATAATGTGATCATTGATTTCAATACCAAGCATCCAACACAAGCTTTGGAGGTTTATCTCTTTCTTATGAGTTTCATATATACATAAATACATTTTTATGTGTTTTTAGTAGTATGTGAAAATTACCAATATGTGTTGAAATACATATATTATTGATATGTTTAATAAATCTTTAGTTTGTACTGCCAAAAAAAAATCAGAATGAATAATAATAGCATAAGTAAACCATCTTAAATGAATGAAAGTAGGCTACAAGTAAGAAAGAAATATTACTATTGTAAATCTGTATCAGTCCTCACAGGCCTCTGATGAAAACTGTAATACTAAAGCGAACACACACAACTGACGCTGTAAATTACATGTCTGAGGCAAAAAAAAAGGAAGAAAAATCAGGATGAATAATATTCAGTTTGCCAGCTTTGAGTAATACAGGATTCTTTTTAAATTAATTTTAAAATAACAGGTTTACTATTTTCAATTTTTTTTTACCTTAAGCAGTTAGTTATCAATGCAGACTGAATTATTATAGAGCAACATTTTTATAAAGCTATAGTGTTTCATATAAAAATATATTAATTAAAATAATGTTATTACCAATCAAGTTCTCCATATATCGCTGAACATACTTATCACATTACCTAAAAGAGAAAGAGAGAGAGAGAGAGAGAGAGAGAGAGAGAGAGAGAGAGAGAGAGAGAGAAAAGTGCGCTCATGGGCTTTTATATATCATGATTGGCCTCCCATATAAAACACAAATGGCTGAAGTGGGTCTAACTACACAAGATAAGGCCAAAAGTGTGAATTAAGATCGACATGTGGGTGGTTGACGGTCTATATGCAGCAGCAATAACGCCAACAGTAGACGTACATGCATCAACAGTGATTGGCAGTCTGACTGACGACAAATGCGCTGTCTTGCGCTGAGCTAGAAGCCGATAAGTACGCCAAAAAGTATAGCCGTCATTAAAAATGTGATATTTAAGCTATACACCAAGATTCGTAGTTTTAGTTAGGTGGGTTGTTTGATTGTTTTTACTTTTTTTTACATTTGTGTTTGTGGAACTTGTTTTAAATTGTATTTAGTTAATATCGCAAAAAGGCGGCAGTATCCTAAAACTGGTCGAAAGGGGAACGGTCGCTCCCCCTGCCCCCTCCCCTCCTTGCATACACTACAGGGTAAAGTTTTTAGTTTGAAGCTACTTTCTCAACGAATAGAATGGTAACAATTAGTAACAGCTAAGGTTATGGATACTTTAAAAACGATTAGGTGACAAAAAAAGACTGCTACACTGATAAATTTTGTAATGTTATTTTTAAATATAAATTGTTACAACGCACTTATTTAATCAATGAAAATGATGGTGCCTACGTTTTGACAAGGGAATTAACCTCAATGTCTTTTTAGTTATTCGTGTTACCTCCCTTAATATTTCAGTCCTTCGTTATAGAGGGTGCAACCATAGGCAATAGGACAACGGTATGTTTTTACTTCTCAAGAAGTATACATTTGCTAAGCCTCCCCTTACACAACCATTATGTTTCTAAGCATTCCCATACAAAATAATAATATGAATCCCTTACACGATAATAATGTTGCTAATCATTCCCCAATACGATAACAATTTTTCTAGTATTTTCATACACAATTATAATGCTAGTAAGCATTCAGATAACACAATCATAATGTTTCTAAACATTCCCTTACAAAATAGTAATGTTGCTAAGCATTCCCTTTCATAATCAAAACACAATCAAAACATCTCTAAACATTTCCCTACACAATTATAGGTTGCTAAGCATTGCCCTTCTAAAATAATATTGTTGCTAATCACTAATGTACACAATCATATCGTTGCTAAGCATTCCCCAACGCAATCATTCTAACATTCTCTTACACAATCATACCGTCTCTGGGCATTCCATTACACAATCATAATGTTTCTAAACATGCCCCTACACACCCATAACGTCATTGAAAATTCCCGCACACAATCATGACGTCTCTAAGCGTTCCCCTACACAATCAATGATTTAAGACGTGTCCGGTCCATCCCTATTTGTGGGTTTTAATGTCTCGTGATTTGCTTCAAGGAGGGTGCAGCTGAATTATTAACATTAAGATTAACAACTTAATTAGAATTTATAAGTCGGCATAAAATCTTACACACAGGTAGCACAGTTTTTAATTCAACCAATGTAGTTTATATCTATCAGCTTTATCTCAAAGTTAAAAAAAAATTGAAAGATAAAAATATTTTTAAAACATAAGACAGTTTAACTAAACTGTGTTAAAATTTCTTTTAGATCATTGATCAGGAATTAGTGAACTTTACAAAACAGGTTTGGTATCAGTCATTATATGATCTTGTAAATAAAAAAAATTAAGAGTTAGCAAACTGAGATTATTTTATATGTGCGTCGAGAGTACAATTTGTTTAAATTTATTTTATAATTGCGGTGAATGATAAAAAGGTTTACTGTATTTTCTATAGAATTCAATCATGAAATTATTTATGGCGTTGTGCTTCTTGGTTGTGCCTGCTTGTATAGTTGGTCAAACCACAACATGTAAGTAAAACCGTATCTTTTTATTTGGCATTATCAGTCTACGTCGCTTTATAATAGCAGTTATTTTTTTTTATAAATAAAATGTATATTTACTCAAAGGAAAGCGTGTATATGTATGTTTGAGCAAAGATCCAAGATGACACCGAAGACATGTTGTTCTCCCTGCTTACAGTTTTTAACACTTATAACAAGTATCACTAAATGAAGTATTGAAAATGAACTACTGGACATGAAAAGAAAATATATAAATTAAAAAAAATCATTATGAATATATTATTTCAAATATATGTGTATTATACATTAATAAATGTATCTTTGGTACTTTTGATATTAATTAGCATGTAGAGTCAATTTCCCCTTTCGAACCTGACGGTTAATTTGGCAAGTGAAGTAGAGTTAACCTGTTTCTGTGACCTCGGCGTATGACCTCGGTAGTGTGGTCAGCACTATGCCCAGCCCCCTTTACTTTCCCTAACGTGAGTTAGGTACCCAAAAGAGCTGGGTGGACTCATGAACGGTCTAATGACTTGAACCCTGATTTGAACTCGAGACTCACGGGTTAGCAGTCTAATTCTCTACTTCTAGACCAATCCGTCCTAATGATAATTTAGAACTAGTGCTATATTTTGAGCTTAAATCAAGTTCTCAATGTTTTATCAGTTTTGGGCTGACTTTTTATTGCCATTATATTAATTTTAATTCTGTTCTGTTCGTATCCCTAGATACCGATATCGTTGCCGGGCTGACGGCCAAAGGCCACTACACGACATTCCTAGACCTACTCAACACGACTGGTTTCATATCAAGGATCAACTCATGTAAGACGGCGTTAAATACATAACATTTTACATTCAGCTTTCAAAACATTCCGACGCTTTGAACTTAATAATACACTATACATAGCGTCTTATTGCAACATAACGGTAACAATTTAAAGTTTTTATTACATGCAAGTTTTTAAAAAATTCTCATGTAAATATTAATATTGTAGGCGTACGTATACACTAATATCAAATGACATAATCGTATACATCGCAGTATTTATCTACGTGGGATACTCACCTATTTTCATCTATTTCAGTATCTCACAATTTTAATCACAATTCACGTTTTCCATCTTCATGACGATTTATAACTATTTTATCATCTCGACTTTCATCTATTTCAGCCTTTAACCTCACCTTCTTCTTCTTCTTCGTTCTTAATTATTAGTGTTGAAGGGGATCGAGATTTATCTGCCAGTGGGTTTGAACTTGAGACTTTGTTAGAATTTATCAACCATGAGCTTTTTGCCGACTCGACCACGCCTCCAACACAATTAAGCGTTACGTGTCAACTGGTTATGCGCCATTGAGGCCATTGACTCCGATTTCAGCCTGCTTTTCTTTTTGGATTTGCTTCCATAGCCTTTGCCCAACCAAGAACAAGCTACAAGGCAGCAGTTGTTTGATTTTTGGAGTTGTCTCTCCTAGAAGAGTGGCTGTCCCCAGCGAACGAGCCTCATCTGCCCGAGGGTTCGAACTCGAGACTTTTCGGTTTAGCAACCATGAGCTTTACCTCACCATCTTCATATATTTTAGCATTTCAACTCACAATCTTCATCTAGTTCAGCATCTCCCATCACCATCATCGATTTCAGCATTTTACCTAACCATCGTCATCTATTTCAGCATTTCACCCCTCATCTTCATCTATTTCAGCATCTTACCTCACCATCTTCATTTAATACAGCATTTCACCTCATCATCCTTATCTATTTCAGCATCTTACCTCACCATCTTCATCTATTTCAGCATCACACTTTTACAATCTTTACTTCATAATTTCACCTCACCATCTCCATCTATTTCAGCATTTCATCTCACCATCTTCATCTATTCCAGCATCACACTTTACTGTTTTCGCACCCACCGACGACGCCTTTGCCAAGCTCCCCTCTGACGCACTCGACCAAATCAAGAACGACCCTGCACGTCTGAATGAGGTGGTGGGGTACCACGTGACGTTCAATACCTTCTACGTGCATGGCACCCAGCAAGACGTGGTTTTAAAATCCTCCAACAACCTGCCCATAAGGATAAACACCTACAGTATACTGCATGTAACTATCGTCACTGTTTGGAAATTAATATTTACCTGCTTTGTTGGTGGTTGCTTGGTTAAGAATAGTTTAATATTTTTATATTATTTCTACTATGGTTAGAACACGCTGTAGTGATGCCTTTAAGACAGGCAAACGGTCTCGAATTATGGCCTTAAGACAGGCAGATAGTCTGCAGTTAAGGCCTTTACACAGGAAAAAAGACAAGAGTAATGCCCTTTAGACTGGCAGCTAGGCTTGAATAATGCACTTAAGACGTGCGACTAACAGGAGTAATGCCCTTAACACAAGCAGACTGCCAGGTGTATTGTACTTAATAAAAGCAAAAAAACTTAGAGTAGTGCCATTAAGACTTACAGATTGGCTCCAGTTAAGACCTTAAGACACGCAGTCTGGCTGGAGTAATGCCCTTAAGATAGGCAGACCGAATCGTTATATTTAACCTAAAAAATACAATTTGGCCAAATGGGATAGTATGAAACACAGGCTTAACATTAAATAGCCATGCGCATTATTTATTAGGCAACTAATAATTTGTCTGATATCAATAAACAATATTAAACTTCGTAGTATATTATTGTATACACACCATAAAGCATCATGAAGGGTGTAGTGCTAGTATTAATATTGTACTTTGACAGACAGTGACAGCAGATGGAGTGAGAATCATAGAGCCCAACATCACCTTTACGCGAGGTTATGTGCACGGGCTGGAGGCTGTACTCACCCCACCGAGGAAAACAGTCATGCAGTACATCCTGAACAGGACCGACATCAGCACGTTCACGTCCTGGGTAGTCGACAGCAACCTGATCAACTTCATCACAGGTCAGATCAGTGTTCGCTTGATAGAAAACATATGAAAATGTAAGAGTGTTCGCTCGTTGGAAGAAATATGGAGATGTAAGAGTGTTCGCTTGTTGGAAGACATATGAAAATGTAAGAGTGTTCGCTCGTTGGAAGAAATATGGAGATGTAAGAGTGTTCGCTTGTTGGTAGACATATGAAAATGTTAGAGTGTTCGCTTATTGGAAGACAACTGAAAACGTAAGTGTGTTCGCTTGTTGGAAGAAATCTTAAATAGCAACCTTTACCGAGAAAACGAAATTCAAGTATACTTCACACACTGGGAAGTCGAACGCAATACAATATAATATGTAGCACATACGTAACTAACATAGGTTTATAAAAAATAAGCTCAGTGATGTCTGGTCCCGTGATAGAGCAAAGGGCTGTTAACCTGATAATTCCAGAGTTCGATTCTTCTGGTAGATGAGACAAGTTACCTATAAACGAAAACCCATTCGTAGATAAAACTCCGACCTCAAACTAAATTATCATTTCTGGGTTCCAAAAACTGAGCATTTCTTTGAACTATTTCGGTAAAGCTAAGAAATCAATCCAGACGCACCGATATCACATGATCTCTTCATGTAATGCCGTGTTGCGCGCCATGTTTATTTCTCATCTATGGACGCATGCATTGCCAACGTATAAGAGCTTTGTTGATCAAATGAAAATATATTTAAACTCCTCAACTAAATAACCATTCATTTCTCTTTTTGTTTATTAAACTTACACTTAGATGTATCAAACCCTGATAAAAGAAGATATTTTACATCTAAAAGCATCAGTTGCAACTGTCACTGCTACGTTTACTCCATTAATGTTGTATATTTCTATGGTTCAGATGATGATGATGTGACTGTCTTTATACCAAACAACGCCGCCTTCCAAAAACTCAGCGCCGAGACACACACCTACCTCAACAGCCATCCCTCCGTTATTCAAGGTAAGACTTTTTGGAATGCACGGAGCTTTACTTTGATTATCTATTGTCTTAACCTGTTGTCTTGATGACAAATATTGAGTAAGATAAGTAGTCAGTGTATACACAATACACAAAGTTTTATTACTAAGTTTTGCCTTAACTAATATAATACAAATTGACAAAAATATGGGCAGTATCTACAAACTTCGCCAAAAACAAACCTGTTCCCCTCCCCCCTTCCCTTCACCCCCCCCCCCCCCCCAAAAAAAAAGTAACACTTAAAAAGTTACACATGTCAAAGTTTAAGATAGGTAAATATGATATTACTGCTAACATGTGCCTATTATTTTATGTTGTGCATCCTGCTTAAACAAAATGTAATAGCATGAAGTATTGTTTTGACAGAAATTTTGAGGTACCATATCGTAAGCACGATGACCGTATTCAGCGCAGGCATGAAGGATTCCCTGACCTTGACTTCAGCCGACGCCCACCATGACGAACTGATGGTTCTCGGAGAGATTCACGTGCGTGACGTTTCTACTCAACCCACTTATTGTTACCTACGTACATATATATATATATATATATATATATATATATATATATATATATATATATATATATATATATATATATATATATGCGCATATATTCAGTATTGTGTTATATTTGTTGCCAGATTTATATTGATAATTAATACAGCCAAATTAATTCTAAAATTCAAACAATACCTTCCCCAGAGGGCGGCCTTCAAGTGAACCACGCCAAGATTGTAGAGAAAGATATCTCCACACTTGATGGTGTCATACATATCATCGATAGTGTCTTGATCCCATACCGAACGCTGGTCAGTATTGCTGATCAGGGCATTGTTGTTGGTTGATTACAAAGGTTCAGTGATCAATTTGTAAGATCGATGAATGTATTCACATTTAGAATTTTGTTACCTTTAAATATAAAATAAAGCTGGATTTATTGAGATCGCACGTGTTGATGTATTTGATTTAATAATGTAGTAATAGAAAGCTGTTTTTGTAAGGTTCGGCTGCAGTGGTTACAAGATGCGTGATGTTTTACATAAGTGTCTTATAATGGTGTTGAAATATTGACATAAGACTTGTGACATTTTTATATGATTTGGGACGTTAGCACTTGTGACATTTTTATCTGTGGTGGGACGTTAGCACTTGTGACATTTTTATATGTGGTGTGACGTTAGCACCTGTGACATTTTTATATGAGATGGGATGTTGATTTTAGACTTATGACATATATCAGCCTTTTTTTTACTCCTGACTTCTGTCATAGATAAGGGATAGAGGCTATGAAGAAGACAACAATGAAACTTGATAACACACAGTTGTTTAATAAAAAAAAAAAATAAGACTGAAACCCTACGACTTTGTTAATGTAAAAACTTTTGACGTTGAAAACAGAAAACGTATTTTAGCGTGGCTAAAAAACATGGTCTCAACAGAAAACTTGAGACTTAGTTTATATAGTGTATCAGCAACGTTCACAGTAAATCTTAGTACAACGACCATCTATTTGAAGCGCTAAACACTCCTAGAATAGTGTATAGTGTAAAATTAAAAAAAAAATTCTTTCTTTTAAAAAATACGGCTAATTAAAATTTTAATTGTGTTATATTTTTATGTTAAAGCAATGATATAGGTAAATTATTTTCAATGTTGAACTTTTGTGATTATTTTTTTTCATTTAATTTTTATATTTTAGTGAGCAAAAGTTAGCCCGACATTGAAATGAAATCCTTATCACAAAACTGTTAACCCACATTTACTACAGGAATTTTTTTCCGATTTAATCTTATTTTCCAACAGTAGGTGATTTTCACTTGATCTTTCTATGAAAAACAAACAGATTTAAAAAAAAATATAGATAAATAGATGAAAAAAAAACTAGCACATTTAGATATGCTGAAGTGTTTTTTTTTCATCTGAAATCTTGCATAGTCAGATTAAAAAAAAAGTTTCTAGAATATATTTTCCGAGTTTTATCTTTTAGCTGCTTTATAGCTAAATTGTAGGCCTATAACTTAATACTGGAATATAAATTTACATTTTAAAATTGATTTGGGTCTATTATATATGTATTTACTTTTTTTTATTATTAAATAGCAGTATTAAGACATTAAATTAAGAAAGTATTACTGGGTGCTTGTATGTTCAGTCGATCACTTTACCTTAAGAAAGATTTTTCAAACAAATGTTGTGTAGGTCTTATCACTATGTCCAAAACATCGGTTTGTCAGGCCCACTTTCTCAGCCCTCAACCCACAACCCACCTCACTCCTAAAACCTCTACAAGTAAGTAAATATCGTTGAATAAATTGAAAACAATATGTATTTTGATATTTTATGAAACACTAGTCTCAACAGAAATCGAAGTGTAGAAAAGAAGACATGTAAAAAAAAAACTTTATTACTTTGTAATGTAAATAAAAACATAAAAATGAGTCTACGTTAAAGAACATTCATATTATTGACATTTTTATAACTATTTCAAGTGACTTTTAAAGCACATCTCTAGTTTATCGCAAACATTGAAATAAACTAATGACGATACTTAGAACAATTTAGAATAAGGTATGCTTCCTTTATACAAGAATGATTGTGTAAGAGTTTGGTCTTTCAATTTAAGAATGCATATAACTCATAAATGTAACATTTATAATATCTTAAAGTAAGAAAATATGATTTAAGCACTAACATTCGATAACTCATTGTATAGTCTATCTATTTCTGTCTGCATTTGATGACACTGTAAACAGATAAATTCGTAGTTTTTTTTTTGTAACCCAGTCAGCTCTTAAAGAAACCAGTGCGGCAAATTATTAAGTTCTAAAGTCTAGAGAAATGGAAGCGAAGACGGAATCTTTCTAGCGACATAAAACTCCTTCTTCCCGGTTTTAGATAGTGGTTCTGACGTTAGAACACACCGCCCTATACCATAGATTAGTCGACGATTGGAAAATAAAAAAGTTAAAAACAAAAACACCTGACTTCACAGAACACAGCGACCTATCCAATAGATAAGACAACGATTGGAAAATAAAAAAAAGTAATAAAAAAAAAAAAAAAAACAACATCTGATTGGACGAATACAGATAAGTCTGTAGATTAATTTTCAGCGACATTTAAAAAAAAATCTACTGCATTGTTTTCACACGTGAGTCACAATATTTTCTGTTCAAAACGTTTTTTACCATTAGGAGGTAAGGTTATTATTTTTTGGTTTCTGTTTTTTACCTGTTAATTTATGAAGTAAAGTATTATTTCAGGTATTGAATTAAAATAACATTTATCTTAGAGTAAGTAAACTGTCATTTATCTTAGAGTAAGTAAACTGTCAATTTTCTTAGAGTAAGTGAACTGTCATTTATCTTAGAGTAAGTAAACTGTCATTTACCTTAGAGTAAGTAAACCGTCATTTATCTTAGAGTAAGTGAACTGTCATTTATCTTAGTGTAAGTAAACTGTCATTTGTCTTAGAGTAAGTAAACTGTCATTTATCTTAGAGCAAATAAACTGTCATTTATCTTATCTTATCTTATTTATCTTAGAGTAAGTAAACTGTCATTCATCTTAGAGTAAGTAAACTGTCATTTATCTTAGAGTAAGTAAACTGTCATTTATCTTAGAGTAAGTAAACTGTCATTTATCTTAGAATAAGTAAACTGTCATTTATCTTAGAGTAAGTAAACTGTCATTATATCTTAGAGTAAGTAAACTGTCATTTATCTTAGAGTAAGTAAACTGTCATTTATCTTAATGTAAGTAAACTGTCATTTATCTTAGAGTAAGTAAACCGTCATTTATCTTAGAGTAAGTAAACTGTCAATTATCTTAGAGTAAGTAAATTGTCATTTATCTTAGAGTAAGTAAACTGTCATTTATCTTAGAGTAAATAAAATGTCATTTATCTTAAAGTAAGTAAACTGTCATTTATCTTAGAGTAAGTAAACTGTCATTTATCTTAGAGTAAGTAAACCGTCATTTATCTTATAGTAAGTAAACTGTCATTATATCTTAGAGTAAGTAAACTGTCATTTATCTTAGAGTAAGTAAACCGTCATTTATCTTAGAGTAAGTAAACTGTCATTTATCTTAGAGTAAGTAAACCATCATTTATCTTAGAGTAAGTAAACTGTCATTTATCTTAGAGTAAGTAAACTGTCATTTATCTTAGAGTAAGTAAACTGTCATTTATCTTAGAATAAGTAAACTGTCATATATCTTAGAGTAAGTAATGTGTCATTTATCTTAGAGTAAGTAAACTGTTATTTATCTTAGAGTAAGTAAACTGTCATTTATCTTAGAGTAAGTAAAATGCCATTATATCTTAGAGTAAGTAAACTGTCATTTATCTTAGAGTAAGTAAACTGTCATTTATCTTAGAGTAAGTAAAATGTCATTATATCTTAGAGTAAGTAAAATGTCATTTATCTTAGAGTAAGTAAACTCTCATTTATCTTAGAGTAAGTAAACCGTCGTTTATCTTAGAGTAAGTAAACTGTCATTTATCTTAGAGTAAGTAAACTGTCATTTATCTTAGAGTAAGTAAACTGTCATTTATCTTAGAGAAAGTAAACTGTCATTATATCTTAGAGTAAGTAAACTGTCATTTATCTTAGAGTAAGTAAACCGTCATTTATCTTAGAGTACGTAAACTGTCATTTATCTTAGAGTAAATAAAATGTCATTTATCTTACAGTAAGTAAACTGTCATTTATCTTAGAGTAAGTAAACCGTCATTTATCTTAGAGTAAGTAAACTGTCATTTATCTTAGAGTAAGTAAACTGTCATTTATCTTAGAGTAAGTAAACTGTCATTTATGTTAGAGTAAAAAAAAGTCATTTATCTTAGAGTAAGTAAACTGTCATTTATCTTAGAGTAAGTAAACTCTCATTTATCTTAGAGTAAGTAAACCGTCGTTTATCTTAGAGTAAGTAAACTGTCATTTATCTTAGAGTAAGTAAACTGTCATTTATCTTAGAGTAAGTAAACTGTCATTTATCTTAGAGAAAGTAAACTGTCATTATATCTTAGAGTAAGTAAACTGTCATTTATCTTAGAGTAAGTAAACCGTCATTTATCTTAGAGCAAGTAAACTGTCATTTATCTTAGAGTAAATAAAATGTCATTTATCTTACAGTAAGTAAACTGTCATTTATCTTAGAGTAAGTAAACCGTCATTTATCTTAGAGTAAGTAAACTGTCATTTATCTTAGAGTAAGTAAACTGTCATTTATCTTAGAGTAAGTAAACTGTCATTTATCTTAGAGTAAAAAAAAGTCATTTATCTTAGAGTAAGTAAACTGTCATTTATCTTAGAGTAAGTAAACTGTCATTTATCTTAGAGTAAGTAAACCGTCATTTATCTTAGAGTAAGTAAACTGTCATTTATCTTAGAGTAAGTAAACTGTCAATTATCTTAGAGTAAGTAAACTGTCATTTATCTTAGAGTAAGTAAACTGTACATGTTTTTTGTGTTCAGTAACCAAGAGAAATATGAACATGTTGAAAACTTTAGCTGTTGTTGTTGTGGTGACTGCCTGCTGTCTAGCACAAAATACGACAACTCCTGCGCCATGTAAGTTTTGTTTATTTTAGCTTAACTTTCCTTGAAAAACGTACATTATACTTTCCTTAAACATTCAGGATCATGAATATTTAGACTCGTATTTCTGTAATATTAAGTCAGTTTAAATATGTTGCCTGAATTATTTGTTTATCACTTGTATACATTTAACTTAAACAAAAAAAAGTAAAGTTTCCCCTTTAGACCAAGCAATCCATTCTTATGATGAAGTAGAGATCATAATTTCTAGACCTTGGTAAAGGTCTATGCCCAGCCGCCTGTACTCGTGAGTTAGGTACCCATCAGAGCTGGGTGGACTCAGGAAAGTTTCACCCGGAATCAAACTCGAGACTTTCATGTTAGCAGTCTAGCGCTCTACCGCTAGGCTACGCTTTACCCGAAATGTCTACGTGTTATAGTTACTAAATAATTTTAAAAATGAAATTGTCTTTGAGACGCGTTTATATACATACATATATATATATATATATATATATATATATATATATATATATATATATATATATATATATATATATATATATATATATATATATATATATATATATATATATATATATATATATATATATATATACATATATATATATATATACACACATATATATATATACATATATACGTTACTAAAATTGAAATTATGTATACAAATGTGTAGCTAGGGCAACATATATTGAATAAATCGAATCGTTTATTCCTCTGTTTAGTGCCACAGCTTGTTGATGCCCTGACAGCCAATGGACAGTTCACCATCTTCTTGGACCTTCTAGCACAGACCAACCTTCTGCAGCAAATCAATCAAAGTAATAAAGCCTTTATAGACCTCAGCACCACACAAATCTATACAAGCAACAAATTCACACAAAGACAATAATTTTTAAACCACACACAAACATAAGTTGTAATACTGTACAGTGTCACTCATTTCTAATCTAAACAGTAACACTAATTTCTAAACTTAACATTGACATTAAGTTCAAAATGATTTCAGTAGGTCGCCGTGGTCGGGTTGGTTAAGCACATGGTTGCTGAACCGGAAAGTCCCGAGTTCGAAATCCCCGGGGTAGATGAGTCTCGATAGTAACTCATCTTAGAGAGACAGCTCCAAAATCATGGATGCTAATCCAAAACGAATCGTTTGCTAATGGAACATTACTAGTGTACACGAAGTGCATAACTGTGTTGGAGGGAATCCCATCCAACATTCGAATTTATAATGAAGAAGGAGAGTTCTGACTAATTACAAGACTGGCTCGTAATTAATAAAACCATACACTAGTTCTAATGGAACATTAACCGTTTATCATTTTTTTTTCAAAATCACAGAAATGAAAAAAAAAACACAATGTGCGAAGTTTCCATTCCAAATTTTTTTCACTATTTTATAATCTGTTTTATTTCTTCTTGTTGAGTAATTATATCGCACGTGCGTCCGGTATTCAGGTATTCACTTCGCCGTGTTCGCCCCCACGGACACCGCCTTCAACAGACTCCCCGCCGGCAGTGTTGACGCTCTGAAGGCCGACAAGGCTCAGCTCGAGTCCATCCTTGGCTACCATGTTGTCCTCAGCACCAGCTACCACGTCCAGGGGTCCCAGCAGGACCAGACCATCAAGTCCTCCAACAACCTGCCCATCAGGATCAACACCTACAGCATCCTGCACGTGAGTCGAATTAAGCTCGGGGTTATTGAACGCAACCTGACGCGATATTCATGCAGTAGTAAAGTTCCTTTTCAAACCTGACGGTACATGGCGCGAGTGAAGTAGAATTTACTTTTTTCTGTGACCTTGGCATATGAAGAGATATTGCGGTCAGAACATTTACTTACCCTAACGTGACTTTAGGCACCCATCAGAGCTGGGTGGACTGAGGGACGGTCTACTGACTTGAACCCGGATTCGAACTCGAGACTGTCGGGGTAGCAGTCCAGCTCTGTATCACTAGGCCACTTTGTATATTCTTGCAATAGATCGGAATATTTGAGCATGAACAGGTAATATTAAAAACAAGTGAACAATGTGTCTCTAGCTTTACACCGATAGACTTTAAGTCTTTCGGTGAGGCTATACTGAATGTATTGTGTTTGCATTGGTCGTTTCTTACGTTGGTCAGTAAGGCCATACTGAAAGTCCTTATGCTAATTGTCTCTGAGTTAACATTAATCGGCCTTAAGAATTTTGGGGCGTCTATGTATACACAAAGATTCCACTGTAAGAGTTTTGAAACCATCAAGCTTAGTTTACTCTGAATTTGACCTACGGTCTCTGAGAAATAGACCATTATAATGATATTAGATGTGTATATATATATATATATATATATATATATATATATATATATATATATATATATATATATATATATATATATATATATACATATATATATATATATGTATATGTATATATATATTTAATTTATCTGTTATGATATATCTTGTTACTAAGATATTTCAACAAACATACAGACATACACGTACCATGTAAATTATAAATATATGTGTGTTTATGTATAAAATAAGCATGTGCGTGTCTTTATGTATTTATTTAATATGTATGCTCGATGAACATTTATCATTCTAGCCTGTACATGTTTCCTACCTTTTATAAACACGTGGTTTTGTATCTTTAACATCTAGGCGAACACAGTCGAGGGAGTAAACATCACGATAAGAAATATTCATGTCTACCACGGGTACGCCCATGGCATCGACGGCATCATGACGCCGCCCCTGGGAAATGTGGTGGACATCGGCGCTAACAGATCCGACTTCTCTATATTTGAGTCGCTGGTTACAAAAGCTAACCTGGCCAGTTTCTTTACAAGTGAGTTATGGATGTGGCGTTACACTGGGGTGCGAGGGGGCGGCAAGCATTTAACATTTGATCAAGAATAAAAAACAAAAGCGGTTATAAGCTATGCTTTTATATGTTTAAACGTTTATTTGTCATTGTAAATCTGAAATGAATTTATCTTTAACGTTTAACATTAGTTATTCATTCTTTATGTCCACTTAGAATACTGCCAATCAATTTTAGACGTGTCAAAAATGTTTGGCATATTTAAAAAAAAGTTAGTTGTCGAGAGTTATAAATGCATGTATTATTACGAAATCCAAAATCATTAGCAACGTTAAAGCATTGTTGAACATTATACTAAGATTTATACTTTTTAGAAATTGTTTAAAAACCGCGACATTTGACCAATATTGTTAATCACATCTCTAATATTATTTTTTACCATTGATTGTAAGTCAAACATAACTTAACAGAACATATATCAATAGTTACTGAACGACTTTACTGATATATTTATTGCTTACATAAGACTAAAAAGTTACATACATGTATATGTCTGTTGTTCCGTAGATGACCATTCAACGACATTCTTCGTCCCCAACAACGACGCCTTCGCCAAGCTCAGCAACCAAACATTGGACTACCTCAACACCCACGTCTCTGCTTTAACAGGTCAGATATTGTACACTGTTTCATGTGTAATGGACAGTTGTGTTTGATTCACGTGTAGTGGACAGTTGTGTTTGATTCACTCCATAGGTCAGACACTTCACACTGTTTCACGTGTAGTGGACAGTTGTGTTTGATTCACTTGTAGTGGACAGTTGTGTTTGATTCACTCCATAGGTCAGACACTTCACACTGTTTCATGTGTAGTGGACAGTTGTGTTTGATTCACGTGTAGTGGACAGTTGTGTTTGATTCACTCCATAGGTCAGACACTTCACACTGTTTCACGTGTAGTGGACAGTTGTGTTTGATTCACTTGTAGTGGACAGTTGTGTTTGATTCACTCCATAGGTCAGACACTTCACACTGTTTCACGTGTAGAGGACAGTTGTGTTTGATTCACTTGACATGTCAGATAGTTCACACTGTTTCATGTGTAGTGGACAGTAGTGTTTGATTCACTCGACAAGTCAGATAGTTCACACTGTTTCACGTGTAGTGGACAGTTGTGTTTGATTCACGTGTAGTGGACAGTTGTGTTTGATTCACGTGTAGTGGACAGTTGTGTTTGATTCTCTCCATAGGTCAGACACTTCACACTGTCTCACGTGAAGTGGACAGTTGTGTTTGATTCACTTGACATGTCAGACACTTCACACTGTTTCACGTGTAGTGGACAGTTGTGTTTGATTCACTCGACAGGTCAGACACTTTACACTGTTTTATGTGTAGTGGACAGTTGTGTTTGATTCTGTCCATAGGTCAGACACTTCACACTGTCTCACGTGAAGTGGACAGTTGTGTTTGATTCACTCCATAGGTCAGACACTTCACACTGTCTCACGTGAAGTGGACAGTTGTGTTTGATTCACTTGACATGTCAGACACTTCACACTGTTTCACGTGTAGTGGACAGTTGTGTTTGATTCACTCGACATGTCAGATAGTTCACACTGTTTCACGTGTAGTGGACAGTTGTGTTTGATTCACTTGACGTGTCAGACACTTACACTGTTTCACGTGTAGTGGACAGTTGTGTTTGATTCACTTGACATGTCAGACACTTCACACTGTTTCATGTGTAGTGGACAGTTGTGTTTTATTCACTCAACAAGTCAAACACTTCACACTGTTTTACGTGTAGTGGACAGTTGTGTTTGATTCACTTGACATGTCAGACACTTCACACTGTTTCATGTGTAGTGGACAGTTGTGTTTTATTCACTCAACAAGTCAGACACTTCACACTGTTTTACGTGTAGTGGACAGTTGTGTTTGATTCACTCGTTCATATTGTATGTTGTAATACGGCCATAGCATCATTGTAATATATAAATACCTGTATAACTGTGAGTAGTATTTACAGTATGTTGTACCCAAATGAAGTTTTATAACAGGTTATGGTTTTGTAAAATATTCTTCTTTTTTGTTCTTATTTTAATATTGGAAGACATTTCTTCCAACACAGTAAAGTTTTACGTATGAGTATGGTATGTTGATGCCTACTTCAGCCGGATTTTTGCTACTGGATTTGCTTTCATTCTCCCCTAAACTAATTATGTTTTTAAATTATATTTGACTGAAATTAATTATGATTCAAACAATTGCATGAAAGTTGTGAAATATTATATTGGGAAAAAAATCAACATTTATATTGAATAAATTGTTATTTTAAGCAACACCTATGAACGACGATTGTATGTAGTTTTGCTTATCACATCACACTTGGACAAGCTGATTTCCATTGTTTAATGATTTATTTAAAAGTGTAATTGTGAGTATCGCATAACATGAAGACAAAGGCTGATTTTGATTGTTGAATAATGACTTGTTTGAAACATTCCAGAGGTTCTCAAGTACCACATGGTCAAAGAGTACTCACTCTACAGTGTCGGCATGAAGCACACGCTGACCGTTGATTCTGCTGACCAGCATCATGACACACTCATGATTCTAGAGGATGGTAGTGAGTAATTTGTTCCCTTATAGTGCTGAAACTATTGCGAGCAATACACAGCTTTCCACGTTATTCTGTACGTGTATGTTTTGTTAGTTACAAAGAGACGGCATTAAAACATGACTGTAATGAAAATTCTTTTAAACAATTGATAAAATCTAAATCAAAGCTAAGTCAAAAACTCAAAAGATACTAGAATGTATCGTTTTTATAATCATTATTATAATTATTATAATCATTATTTATTGAGGTTTATCGTTTAATCGTGTATAAAAAGAATAATCAATCTGTTTTGTTAGTTGCTTTATCTTACAATCAGTTTTTATTGGTAAAGAATTAAGTATTAAGTTCCTCTTCCAACCTGACGGTCTATGGTGAAAGTGAAATAAAGTTCATATGTTTCTGCGACCTCCTAACACTGTATTAACTAGTGTCCACATTACAATAATTTAAACACTCGATGGTGTAAATGTTTAATTACTATAATTGCATAGCTGGTAATACAATACTGTAACAATACTATCTTACCAAAAGCTCATTATTGTTCAACATCAATTCCCCAAACATCTTACCCCCGGAAAGGATCTCAAGTAAATAACATATGTGCATATTAGTTCAATTTTGTGGTGATAAGTACATTATGTTTCGTGTTTGCTCTATTTTCCAGGTGGAAACATTTTTGTCAACCATGCGAAGATAATCGAGAAGGACATCAGTTCAATTAACGGGGTCATTCATGTTGTGGATACCGTACTTGTTCCAATACGTGTGCAGGTTCAGATCGAAGACCAAGGCATCATCGTGGGCTAACTGCTGCAATATCAATGCTGCTAATATATTGATTTTATATTTCTGTGTTTTAATTTATATAAATCATACTTGACACACTACACACGTGTTATTATTCTGTTTTATTTTGTCTTTATTCCAATCATGACGACAACCACGATTTTTTTGTAGAATAATTATTTGAAGCAATGAAATACGGGATAGCTAGGGAGGATTGGTATCCTGATACGAAGCTATACACGTTTATTTAATGAACAAGCAAGTTATTTAAAACAATGGGAGATTATTCTCACTTTTGTTTTCAACTCAGTTCGGAGGTTTAGATTATTGTAGCAGTTTTAATGTGCACCCTGTTGAGCGTTATGCAGTGTCCGTAAGTAATAAGAATACCAGAAATGAGCGATGGAAAGTAGGAGACTGGACTAGCGTCGTAGAGCCTGCATTTTCTTGCCGCCTTGTAGTCGACAGGTCGTTCCAACATCGGATTTACCCCCCCCCCCCCCCCTCCCCGTTTCCCGCACACATAACAACAACAACGATAACAACAGCAGCCGATATGCACGTAGGAGGAAGAACCTAGTGTAAGCAAAAGACCAAGAGCGATTTAAAAAACCCTGTACAGTAAATGCTAAGGTCTTCATCAAGTCGGGGTTTGCTGTTTTAAGATTATTGTATGCAAAAATTACCCCCCCCCCTTCCCTTCCCCCCCCCCCCCCCCCCCCGCACACACACATCAATCCCCCGTTAATTGCAATAATCGTCTTTCAAACTTTTGATTCCCCCATCATCTATCAATTTTTAAAGGTATATATTTAATAAAAAAAAAGAGACAAAAATACCAGTAAATGTTAGCTAGCTAAGTAGCTTTTCCAAAAAAAATAAAAACACCAACATATTTACAACCACAAGTTAATATTGAAATTGAAATTGGAGCTAATTTCGGACAATAGTAGATACGCTGATCAATTTTCTTAATTTCATCGTCACAGCAGCGTACTCTTTTGTTTATATTTTTATTTCATGGTCGTTAGGTCTGGTGCTATGCCAGGGAGTTGTGAGTTTAAAAAAAGGTTCAAGCGTGATATTTGTGATAATGACTCTTTGTTGTTTCCTGAAAATACTAATAATTGTCTAAATCTCCATCTTCTTCTTCTTCGTTCTTAATTTTTAGTGTTGGGAGGGATCGAGCCTTATCTGCCAGAGGGTTTGAACTCGAGACTTTTTTTTTCTAATTTATCAATCATGAGCTTTTTGCCGACTCGACCATGCTTCCATCACAATTAAGGATTACGTGTCAACTGGTTATGCGCCATTGAGGCCATTGACTCCGATTTCAGCCAGCTTTCCTTTTTGGATTTGCTTCCATAGCCTTTGTCCAACCAACAACAAACTACAAGGCAGCAGTTGTTTGATTTTGGAGTTGTCTCTCCTAGAAGAGTGGCTGTCCCCAGCTAACGAGCCTCATCTGCCCCAGGGCTCGAACTCGAGACTTTTCGGTTTAGCATCCATGAGCTTTACCGACTCGACCACGCCGACCACAATTGTCTATATGAATCACTTGCATGCGTTTCCTTCAAAACTAAACTGAAGACACATCTGCCATGCCGTCTAACCAGATATAGCACAGGAAAACGAAACGACCATACTTAGCTTAATCATGTACCTTTTATTGTCTCAATACTGTATCTAGGGGACCATGTTACTGACTACCCTAAAACAATACCGCTGGTTTCCATAGCAATCAGTACCCTTGGTGGGATCAATACATGATCGATGACGTGATAAACGCCTGTCTCAGAGCTTATATCGATCTGGATCAGTCTAGCGTGATCAATAGAAAAATCTCCATCTGCAAAAAAAAAAAATAAAAAAATATAAAACAAAAATTGAAACTTACATTTGCTTGAAAGAGAAATGAACTTCTTATTTATACGGCCATAACTACCGGCTCCAGCTATCGTTCATCACTCAAGCAACTAGAGCAGGGTCAAGCATTTCTCCCACCCATGTGACCAGCCGCTAGACACAGGTTTCTTCCAGGCTTTTGTTTGTCACCAGGTTTAGGCATGCGGGGGGGGGGGGGGGTCAGAAAGGCGCGACTACCTAGGGCGTCGAGCCCATCACTAGACCACACCCTGCCTTCAGACATGAACTGCCATTGTCTGCACGTCGAGTGAACATTTCGTGATAGTTGTGTTATTAGCAATGGGCGTAAGAATTAGCGCCTTACACTGATTTTGGAAGATAATTAGAGTTCATTGAGCAGATGAATTTGAGTTCATCTTTTTCAGAAATCTTGACATTAAAGGGATAGTGTGGTCAGCACTATACCCAACCGCCTTTACTTTCTCTAACGTGAGTTAGGTACCCATCAGAGCTTGGTGGAATCATGGACATTCGACTGATGTGAATCCAGATTCGAATTCGATACTTTCGGGCTAGCAATCTAGCTCTTTAGCATTGGCTACGCCGTCTAAAAAAAAGATAGTTAATAGCATAAATGGATTCGATGGTGCGACTACTGAGAAACAAACGCACCAGCAAGTAGACGCTGGAGGATGACCATGATGTACTCACCACCGTCCTGTAGGATCATCAGGTTGTCGTGGTGTAGCGTGGCCGAGGGGATAGTCACCGCATGTCTCATGCCGATGCTGTACAGGGTGGTTGTCTTGCTGATGTGGTATTTCAGAACCTCTGATGGTTTAAATAAAAACAAATTATGCTGATGTGGTATTTGAGAACCTCTGGTGGTTAAAAGAAGAAAAAAAATTATGCTCATGTAGTATTTGAGAATCTCTGATGGTTAAAAAAAAAGGGGTGGGGGGGGTATGTTACAGATGTGACATTTGAGGCCATCTTAGGATTAAAGAAAACATAAAACCTTAAAATAAACAGCTTTAAGTTCACTGCGAATATCTTGACTTCATTTTTATCAAAAAAACTAAACTAAATCATATGATAAGAACTAAGTTTGTAACAATTTAGGCATAAAAAAAAATCCTCTCACGGATACATAAAAAACTGTGTATATGTTAAACGGCTGCAATAAGGTATTCGCAAATATTTTCTAAATTCTAATACTTGTATTTGATTGTGATATGTTGTTCATAGAGAAATGACATAAACATATCGTCTCCATTTCTTTATTTGTATTTTGAATAAAATATCATCCGATACAAAAATTTAAAATGTATTTTTTTTTTCATTTCCATTTTTTAATATTGCATAGTAAGCCATTTACTAATGTAGTTTACTTCTCCTTCATAGTTCTAAATTAAATCTCCGGGGTTGTTTTCCTACAACATAACTGAGCATTACATGTCAACATGTTATGTGTCATATGGCCCGTTGACTCCGACTTTTCTACTTTTCTTTCTGGATTTGTTTCCGTAGTCTTGGTTCAATCAAGTACAATCTGCGAAGCACGAGTTGTTTGATTTTGGAGCTGTCTCGCCCAAATGGGTTGGTTTCTCCAGCTCACAATCCTCAACAGCAGAGTTTTTTCCAAGCATCCCTTGGGGGGAGGGGGCGGGGGGAAGGGCAGAGCCCTCTCGAAAAAAGGCTACCACCCCCAACCCCCACGAACAAATTGGAATTTATACTGAAAATATATACTTTTAACAGATCCGCCCCACCCCACGCCCAAAGGAAATTTTCGTCCACCCCTCCGAAAATTGTAAGTGTCCCCCCGGAGAAAAAGTCTGGAAGTAACACTGCTCAACAGGCCCTGGGTCCAAACTCGATACACTTATATTAGCTATCATGTGCTCTACCTCCCCACAACACCGCCTCTATTATGTGTATCAAATTTATCCTTTTCAATGTGAATATACCCGATATTTTACTTCACACTAGTCTACTTTTCTTATTAGACACCTGGACACGTGGTATTTACCTGTAAGATCAGCTGGGTGAGTGTTCAGGTAGTCCATGACCTGAGGGCTCAGCTTAGCCCAAGCGTCGTTGTTGGGTAGGAAGATGGTGCTGGTGGTATCCGCTGGGGACAGGGGGGTAGCTTTAGTTTAATACACAAGAATTTTCTAGAGGCATAGTGTAGCTTTAGTTTAATAGATGTGGGTGTTCTAGGGGAATAGTGTACCTTTAGTTTAGTAGACGTAGATGTTTTAGGGTTATAGTGGAGCTTTAGTTTAGTAGACGTAGATGTTTTAAGGTTATAGTGGAGCTTTAGTTTAGTAGACGTAGATGTTTTAAGGTTATAGTGGAGCTTTAGTTTAGTAGACGTAGATGTTTTAGGGTTATAGTGGAGCTTTAGTTTGGTAGACGTAGATGTTTTAGGGGTATAGTGGAGCTTTAATTGAATATACGTGGATGGTCTAGGGGTAAAGTGTAGCTTTAGTTGAAAACAGTCGAATTTTAAAGGGGGATAGTGTAGCTTTAATTGAATAGACATGAATGTTCAATGTTACAGAGTGTAGCTTTAGTTGAATAGACATATTAGTGTTATTAATTTTTAACTAAATATATTAGTTTTCCCTCTTTTCTCTAATTCAGAAAAAACATCAATAGGAAATACGCATTTCAATTGTTGTTTGTAAATTATTATGAATTATTGATACTGTTTAGAGTGACCCTGTTGAAATTAATCTGTTTTTGTAGAAATATATTGCTATTTAAAAATTAATTACTTAAAAATACGTACCATCAGTGCTTTTACGTGTGAACAAATTCTACTGACCTTTAAAAAAATCTGGTAACTTTTGTTGAATAATGAGATTATCGAATCTCGTGAGATCAGGCTGAGTGGTCAAGTACTGAGGGAGGTTGGGCACCGGTGCCTTCATTATGCCATCTATGATATGTACATGCCCGTGAACGACTTCTTGGTTCATTGTGGTAACGTTGACACCTTGGGCCGTGTTAGTCTGCAGAAAATCGCAAATGTTAATTTTATAAAACGTAATTTGAATACTAATTTACTAATTAAGATTAAACAATAAAATACTATAAGATATATTAGTGGTTAGAAGAGGCAACGGAAAAAGAGGTATAATAATAAAAATGTCATATGTGTAGGTAAAATATAAAATAGTGTAATATTTATATACTAAGCCGTCTAAAACAAGTATGTTATAACCTTCGTTTTTTGTAAACATTCTAAAATCTACCAGGATATTGCATAATATGTTAGTTATTTAGCATATTAAAAAATAAAAAACGTATACAACTGCATGTGTTTGGTCATACTGTTATGTTTGAATATTTATGTGTTTAATTAAAAAAAAACCAGCCCAGGTATTTTTAGTTTTTAAATTGCATATATTTTTCTATAGCACAATAATACATGATGTGATACTGATAACTCAAAGAATTCTAAAAGTCATTAAATAAAACACTAAAATACATAAAATACACCATTAACTCCAATAACCAACATTTTGTGCCCCTCTACCCTGATTTATGATGGGACGTAGTGGTCTAGCGGTAGAGAGCTGGACTGCTAACCCTTAGGTCTCGAGTTCGAATCCGGGTTCAATTCAGTAGACCGTCCCTGAGTTCACCCAACTCTTATGGGTACCTAACTCACGCTTGAAGAAAAATTGAAAACACGCACCTCTCACATTACTTGTAGCAGATTATACAGTTACGAGCCGGCCCGGGGCATAACATACGCCGCTATTTAGTTGTTGTTTTTTCTACTTTTCAGTAATTCATAATTTGTGAATTCGACAGTACCAACGCTGACACTGAAAATATTTCTTTAAAACACTATAAGTAGCTCGTTAAGGACCATAAACCCCCCCCCCCCCTTCCTTCCCCCCCCCCCCCCCCCCCCAACGTTTAAAATCGTTTCAAACTAAATTATCTGCCCCTAATAGCCGTCACTAAACCCGACTCCACGAAGGTAAACATAGCGTGAATCACAGCTCACTAAGACCATGTAGGGGTGGGGATGGTAGGGAGCGCGTTTACAGCTTCATTTCTAGCGTCTCTTAGAAGAGAATTATATATATAGATACTTAAGTCACCTAAATATAACGATGTATATCTGTTCAAAAACAAGGTTATACGTACGTGGAGCAGGTTATACAAGTTGACCCTAACGTGCTGAAAGGTCGAGGACGTCAGGACCTGATCCACCACACCGTGGAACTTGTAGTCGGCGTTGAGGATGACGTGCAGACCGATAAGGGCGTCAAGCCTAGCCTGGTCAGCTTTAAGGGCTTGGATGTAGTTGGCGGGGAGTTCGGTAAACACGGAGTCAGGGAAGGCGAACACCGTGAAGTGTAGGGCTGGGGAATAGTGGAATAAAATAGTGTGACGTGTAGGGCTGGGGAATTGTGGAATAAAATATTATGATGTGTAGGGTTGGGGAATTGTGGAATAAAATAGTGTGACGTGTAGGGCTGGGGAATTGTGGAATAAAATATTATGATGTGTAGGGTTGGGGAATTGTGGAATAAAATATTGTGAAGTGTAGGCTGGGGAATTTCGTAACAAAATATAGTGATATATATATATATATATATATATATATATATATATATATATATATATATATATATATATATATATATATATATATATATCGCTTTTATGAACCAGACTGTTCAATCTTTTCCTTTTTCGAGAATTTTCACCATTTTGTTCTAAATTCAGCAAACTGCCAAGGCAAAAAAAAAGTGCTCATATCTCCTACCATGAAAAACAACATAGATTTGAACCTAATAGACATTGTGGAAAGATAAACTTGAAAGTACTGTTGCAAACAAGTTTGAAAACTGGACTTAGATACATACAAGACAGCGATGCTTACATGTGTTTATTTTTGGGAACAGATTAGAAGAATCCAGAAGATCTAGAAAGTTATGGAATCTGTTTTGTCCATCAAGAAGATTGGTTAAAGTACTCCCTAGATTAGTAGAAAAATTTAAAAAAATGGTTAATAATGACGGGTATTTACAAACAATGAAGCAATATACTTGGAGTTATGTAAGTTATTTAAACCACATTAGATGATTAGCCATTTAAAAAAAAATTGTATACTTAAAGTGAATAAAATGTTTAAATGTGATGTTTTGCATTTTCATAAAAAATTTATTTCCATAAACTTAAATTTCGATTAAAAAAAACACCGATTAGCTATTTTTTCTTTAAAAAATGTTCTTTATAATGGGAATACAAAGTTAAATTTAATGTTAAAGAGTTTAAGATACTCTTTATTTTAATATAGCCTTCCAATTGTAAATTTGAAATTCGACTAATAATTAAAAAGAACGGTTTTCTTAATGGCTTACAAATTCATTTTTAAATAGTATAATAGAGGCAATTACATTTGTATCTTTTTTATAATTCCATATTTTCATCTATAATATTATAGTTTAGGAAAATACAAAACATCGTGCATTTCTATTAAATATTATATTTAAAATTTAAAAAATGTATAAATCGCGTTTTTATGAATTTTTTTTGACGAACTAAAATGTACATACATTACAAAAATAACAGGTATTGTTTAGAAAAAAATAGTAATAATATTAATTTCGGTAATGATGCTTCTTATAATAAAGATATTTAAGATATTTAATTTTAAGGGATAATGAAGCTAGTTAGCGATTAGTTTAAGCTTCTTATATGTAAGAGATTTAATTCTGAAGGATAATGAAGCTAGTTAGCTGTTAGTAGTTACACGGACGGTCAAAATTAAATATAAATTCATATTATCCTATCTTAGTGTCAACACAGGTAAAAACTTACATTGGTTCGATGACGGTGAATGTTGAGAAACAAATGCCGCATGTGTGATCGACATGCCGATGGCCAAAAACACTAACACTGACCAGGCCCTCATGTTGATACTAGATGATACAAAAATTATTTGTCATTATCACTGTATCGCTTTTATTTCTTTCAAATTTATCTTCTATTGCACTACTCTTATTTATTGGTATATATATATATATATATATATATATATATATATATATATATATATATATATATATATATATATATGTATATATATATATATATGTATATATATATATATATATGCCTATGTATATATATATATATGGTATATGCCTATATTATATATATATATATATATATATATATATATATATATATATATATATATATATATATATATATGAATTGTTAATCATCCAATTAAAAAAAATGTCTTCTATAACCCTAGACAATATATGATTGTTGTTAATATGTAATTGTGTTGAAACTTTTGTTAAAGCATATTTTTTATTTATCATTATGAGCCATACTAAAACATGAACGAAATACATAATTAGAGCGTCTCCACGTTAAAATGATTACCATAAGAATAGATCACAATACGTACTGCATTGAGCATCATTAATATAATCAATAAATAAACTTTATTAAAATAGGTTTAAAACCCGACTACTGGTCTTTTTTTGTTTGCCCAAATACATTTTCATCTATTTATACAAACAGCGCACTTCGAGATAAAAACATAAGAGCATTTAATTAAAGGTTGAGAAATAGAAATTGGAATGTTAATGTAGTTTTTAAAATATGAAAAAAACTATTTAAAAATTACAATTATAAATTTATATTATAATAATATAAAAGTATATACTTGTTTTCCACTGCAAGAAATATGGAGAAATTCGTGTCGGAATTCTGGCATCAGTCCCAAAGTGTCTGGTACACAGCGGTTAATCATAAACTGGGCCTGGTTTTGTTTCGTTTGAAACTGATAACACGTAACAAACATGGCCTCATCAGCACAAAAAAAGGTGTTGATTGTCTTTAGAGGCGACGCTAATCTTTAGTTAAAGGCAGGCATTTTAAACAACGCTCCGGTGGTCTTTTTAATGTTCATTTACTAGCGGATTTATGTTATAGCATAGCTTGGTTGAAAGATAGACATTAGTAAATTATATCTATAACTAGCAATAAATATCAGATGCTATTGGAGAATAAAAATAAAAACGCTAAAACATTAGTTCGATAGGTTGATTTCATTTTTTCTTCCAGGTATCTCTTCGGTGTGGGCACAGCCCCCCTCCACCCCTGAAAAATGTCTATCCCCCCCCCCCCCCCTAAAAAAAAAAAGAAATAAAATTTATATAAAAAAAATATATTTTTACCGGTGTCAGCAACCCCCATCCCCAAAAATTTCAAGAGCCCCCACCCCCTCCCCCCCCCCCCCCCCCCGAGAAAGAAGTCTGTAATAAACACTGATTGGTTTCTTTTTAGAATTGTATTTCAGATGTTGGCATATATTACTAATTAGGACGTTTAGCCATTTAAAAAAAAAAGAAAATGTAGGTTCTACAAAAGCGACTCAGTCTCCGAATGGATGTTTTTGTCTCTGATTTCTCTTCTTCTCCTGTCCCTTTAACTTCACACTAGGTACAATTTGCCTCTTGTAAAAAGCACAACACGATATAGATTTAAATGACAAACTATGTAATCAAACATTTAAAAAGACAAATGCTGTTTCCCACACACTATCTATCTGTATACTACTAAAACTCAAGTTTGTGCCCACACCGAAGAGATACCTGGAAGAAAAAATGAAATCAACCAATCGAACAAATGTTTTAATGTTTTTATTTTTATTCTCCAATAGCATCTGATATTTATTGCTAGATAAATCTAGAATCTAGATCTAAATCTAGGTCACTAGACTTAACGTAAATTCTAGATCTAGACTTAATGTAAATTCTACATCTATAATCTATTTAGAGACCTTAATTATTTTTTATAAATCTTTGTTTAGCTTCAATGATCATCTAATTCGAAAATCAATGGGATCTATCTATCTATCTAGGTTCTAGAACTAGATATAGTAGGATTACTCGCTAACTTGTAGGCGTGGTCGGTTGCTAACAACAATATGGCGTCCGGACAAGACGCATAACTTACGACCATTTTTAGGCCATGTTTACCACAAGCAAAATGGCGGGTTTTCACGTTATATAAACATGCTATAGGTGGCCAGGGCTAGATATGCCAGAAAAGCATTTTAAAATTTGCTTTGGAGAATGAAGGCTAAATTTTAAAGTCGGTGTCATTAAAATTAATAGATTCCGGCCGAGCATGTCTCTGACCACACTATCCCTTCATATGCTTAATACGAAGAAACAGGTGAACTCTACTTCACCTGCCCTGTGTCCCGCGAGGTCCCAATAGGCAACTTTATAATTCACGTTTAAAAAAACAAAAATTGAAAAAACAAATTTACTTTGTCATGATTTGTCTTGAACCGGTACCACCCACTTGGTAGCCATTCTACAACCATCTTAGCTATAGGGCCACTGACTAACCAATGAAGAATGAGTCTTATATTGTACTGCAAAGTAAGAAACCAGTTACGCGAATAGGTCCTATTACTTTAAATTTAATTAGGGGCCGATATCCCAAATTAGTCAATTCCATAGTTAAACAATATACAATAATTAAGGCCCGAAATAGTTTAGTATATAGATTCTAGTTCTAGGTTCTAGATGTAGAATTTACGTTAACCCTAGATCTAGATGTAGGATTAAGGTTGAGTCTAGATTCTAGTTTTCGCCGTAACTCTAGATCTAGATCTAGAATCTAGATAGATAAATACCATGCATTCTTGAATTAGATGGTCATTGAAGCTAAACAAAAATGTATATAAAAAAATTAAGGCCTGAAATAGATCTAGATTCTAGATGTAGAATTTACATTGAGTCTAGATCTAGAATTTACGTTAAGTCAAGTGACCTAGATCTAGATCTAGATTCATAACTTTTTCTTCCTTCGACAGCTAATCTGTAGATCTAGAAAAATGTATTGTATAAAAAAATAAAAAGAATTGTTAAAACATTGATAATAGTGTTGAAACGTAATAAAAATAGCAAACGGGCGTATTGTTTATAGTTATAGCCGACAAAAAAATAGCTTTATAACGCGTTAAAGATCGAAATGGGCAACACAATCTTCGATAGAACCGCCATTGTTGTTTTATAAAGTAAATAAATCATGTGAAGTGACTATCCACTCAAAGTAAAGTCATTGTTTTGAACTTTTATAATTAATGTAATTAATCTACCAATTAATAAATTAATAAAGTAATTAAATTATTTAAATAAATTTGTGATTAACAGTCTCTCTGAAAACTAAAATTGTTCTCTACCAACATACTTTTTTACAGCTCTACACATAGTGCAGATTCTCTCCTGTAACCAAACGGACAAAAAAATAAATATTCAAATTTGTAAATAAAATTGAGTTTTAGTAGTATATAGAAGATACGTAAACTGCTAGGCTATACCACATTGACCACTATTGTGTATTTTATCATGGAAAAAAATGTTATTGTGACTGTTATTGATTTACTTCATCTGGCCACTTCGGTTGACTTCATGGAGGGGCTAAGAGCTTTTTTTTTTAAAAAAAAATATTTGAATTTTAAAAAATCGCTTTTCAACGGCTTATATGCAAAAATATGAGAATAAGTGTAATCTATGGTCCCCAATCAAATTTCATTTTTTATTTTAAAATGTAACTATAATTTTATCGCTTGCCATATTTTAAAAAAGATTTGTTTTCAAAAATTTAGTGCGATTACATAGACTTTTCAAGCCTATTCCAAATCGGCATTTTTTTAAAGGCTAATCCTAACTTTCGTATCAAACAGAACTTGAGAACAAACCAATTCTTGATTTGTTATTATTTTGTATGTATTGTCTTTGGTGTTAATTCTTACTAGACTTACCCGGTCATCCATTGGATAACCGTGGGTTTCGGGGGTCATCACCAAAAAAACAGACCCCACATTCAAAAAGACGTTTTGTATCTTTTAAAAACACCGATTTTGGCTGAGCATAGGTCTGACCACACTATCCCTTCATATACTGACGTCACAGGTGACCTACTCAACTCTACTTCACCTGCCCAGTGTCCCGCCAAGTCTCAGACAACATGTTTTTATCGTTTAAAAAAACGATTCCGGCCGAGCATGACTCTGACCACAATATCCTTTCATATGCTTGGGACAAAGAAAATAAACTACTTCATCTGCCCTGTATCCCGCCAAGTTCAGATAGTCAAATTTATCATTCACATCTAAAAAAAAATTTAAAAAAAATTAACATTGACGTGATATGTCTAGAACCCGTGCCACACACATGAAAGCCTATTACACTAACAACTTAGCTGTCTAGACTCTTGACGTCACAGATGTTTGTTGTGGTATAACTTAATACTATGAGTCTCCTTATGCAACTTGATTTACGTACATAGGCCCTATCTAGATCTAAATCTAAGTCTAGTAACTTTCAAATTACATTTTATCTTAAATTAGCCAATTGCATAGCTAAAGAAACAAAGATTTATTAACACTAGACTTACCTGTCATACCTTGGATGACTGTGGGTTTTGAGGGTCATCCATAAATGACATCACGTCTGTGACTTATCATCACAAAATAACCAGACCCCACATTCAAAAAGACAATTTTTATCTTTTAAAAACACCGATTTTCGGCCGAGCATGGGTCTAATCACACTATCCCTTTATATACTGACGTCACAAATGACCTTTTAAAAGTTCTATTAATTTTAATCACACCAACTTCCAAATTCAGCCTTCATTCTCCAAAGCAAATTTTAAAATGCTTTTCTGGCATATCTAGCCCTGGCCACCTATAGCATGTTTATATAACGTGAAAACCCGCCATTTTGCTCGGGGTAAACATGGCCTAGAAATGGTTGGAAGTCATGCGTCCGGTCCGGACGCCATATTGTTGTTAGCTACCGACCACGCCTTTAAGTTAGCGAGTAATCCTACTATATCTAGATCTAGAACCTAGATAGATAGATAGATCCCATTGATTTTCGAATTAGATGATCATTGAAGCTAAACAAAGATTTATATAAAATAATTAAGGTCTCTAAATAGATTATAGATGTAGAATTTACATTAAGTCTAGATCTAAAATTTACCTTAAGACTAGGGACCTAGATTTAGATCTAGATCTAGATTCATAACTTTTTCTTCCTTCGACAGCTGATCTGAAGATCTAGAGATATGTATTGTATAATAAAATAAAAAGAAGTGTTAAAACATTGATAATAGTGTTGAAACGTAATAAAAATAGCGAACGGACGAATTGTTAATGTTATAGCCGACGGAAAATTAGTTTAAGAACGCGTTAAACATCTGAACGGGCACCTAATCTTGGATTGATGCCGCCATTTATTGTACTAAAAAGTAAACAAATCACCTGACGTCACTATTCAGTCAAAGTAAAGCCACTGTTTGAAACTTTTATAATTGATGTGGTTAATCTACCAATGAATAAATCAATAAAATAATTAACGTCTTTAAATAAATTTGTGATTAACAGTCTGTCTAAAAACAAAAATTGTTCTCTACCTACATACTATTTTACAGCTTTGCACATATACTCTGCAAATCAGACAAACAAATAAATATTGAAACATGTAAACAAAGTTTAGTTTTAGTAGTATGTAGATTAGATAGATAGCAAACTCAAAGTTTTGATCCTTGAAGCATTGAGTTCTCATTGAACTGAAGCAACTTCGTGCAATACACTTGGAAACTTATTGCGTGTTTTTTGTCTTTCTTTCTGTGAGTTTCTATTCAAGGTTGTAGTGAGATTTATGTTGTTCTGACATCAAGATGAACAGTAGATGACACGTGACGTAATGGCCCTAAACTGTGCATAAAAGGTAGGATGGAGGCGTGTTGTGAGCTGATGCGATGCGGCGCGTGTAGGAGGAAGGGGGGGTCGGAAGTTCAGTTGAGTTGAGTTGAGGTATGATCGTAGAAGAACTATTTTAGACACTATCTGAAGATGCTATTTAAAGAGACAGCATTAGCCGGTTTTTGAAAATGAAATTTTTGAAGAACATGAGAAATAATTAACAAATAGTAGCTGCAGTGTTGTTAATGCAATTAGTAATAAAACAGATAGTATTAGTTACCTCACAAGTTAAAGACAGTTACAAGTACTATGGACGTTTCGACCCAAGGTCTTCGTCAGCACACAACAGTGTGGTTACAGATTAGACAAATAAAGACAATCAGTAACACATTTTTTTGACTTAGCTCGACAGTGAAAACACGTCTTGTCTGATAAAAAATTATTTAAAAATTTAAAAAATTAAATTATTAAAAAATAAAAATAAACGATTTTAATTTATTTTGTGCCATTTTGTTTTTCTGCATTACTGTGAATGTACATAATTAACGTTGAACTTGAAATGTTTACAAAACGGATGAAACTGATGGATGTCTTTTTTTGAAATCTCCTTTTACTTTAGGTGGCATTCATGATTCTTGTAATATTCTGTTTCGTTTAAATTCCAAATCTATTTTAGATCCAAGAACAACTCCATAACCACCTAAACCCTCACAAGTCTTCACTTTATATGTCAGGTAAAGTTTATATGTGGGTTCCCCCCTCAACACCTCCTGTTGAATCTTCCACAAGACATTAAATTAGTCCTTTTGTATGATGCATACATTATAATGAACAAAATAAAGAGGATATTTCAGAAAGATTAGTACTTTTTGAAGATTGTATCAGTATCAGCCCTCACAAGCAGATGATGAGAAATGTAAAGCGAACAAAAATGCAAAGAAAAACTGATGCCGTAAACTTAAAGTCTGTGGCGAACAAATATTTAAAAAATGAAAGAACAAAAATACCCAACACTTATAACGGTAGCTAAAGGAAAATAAAACAAAAGTACGCAACTTTTATCAATGCAAACTTGGGTCCGAACCACTTAGCAGGGCATTACTCAGCAAGGCATATATTATGCAGGGCATGTACTGTGCAGGGCATATACTCAGCTGGGCATAGATACAACAGGGCATATACTCAGCAGGAAATTTGATCAGCGGGCGGAGGCAACACACTGTAAGCTGCGCGAGAAATCGTGAACTAATCTTTAAATAAACCGGGAGGGATCTCCCCTTAAACTTTCTCGAATATTCTCATATAACACTACGGGGGATGGTACCTTGGGATAGAGACATGAATTTTAATTTATTTCTAATTACTTAAACTTTTTAAAATAGAATAGAACCTCGTAGAAAAAAGAATTGCGCATCAAGTGAACACTTAACAATATGTGTATAATTGTGCGGCATATTATTAGTACTTTATAAATTCACATTTGTACTTTTGAGAAATCGGAAATATCGTAAATTACTACTTTCGATCACCGGAAATTGCACAAAATTTGTCAGAAGGCAGAAAATTAGATCGTTTACTTACATGTGAAATTTCGTTTATCTATCTGAAACAGTAATCAAGTTATATGATTATGATAAACCAAAAGTAGAATAAGTTCCACTTCCGTTTACCGGGAATCGCTGAAAAGTTTATACAGAACTACACATTTGATATAATACTTTTATATAAATTTCATTAACTTAGCTGTAAGGGTACTCAAGTTATCGTGTTTACAGATATACACACTCACACACAAACAGACATAAGGACTCAATTGCAAAGCCCAGTTATTTCTGACTCGATTACGCATAGAACACCGAAATTTTGATAAATCTGCATTTATTACTTTTGGGCATAGAGCTGACCACATTATTCAATTATACGCCGAGGTCACAGGAACAAGTGATCTCTACTACATTTGCCCTTTGAACAGCCCTTGACGAGATCTGATTACAACTTGTGATAGCGACATAGAGTTAAAATACAACGACTAAAATCTGTGTTGGAAACTTCAATCATTCTTTAGATCTAGCTATAAGTGACTGAGTGCAATTGAGACATGGACAATCTATTTTAACTTTTGTTTTGGCGATCTAATCTAAACCATGGATCAGGACACATGTCGCTTCACATGCAACATTAAAACAAGGCAGAAGTTTGGAATCTTCGCCTCAGTTGGCCTTTTCTTATCTACTTTGTAAGTACTGTAGACGGTTAGCATTGTGTACGTACTGTTAAAAAAAAACCAAACAAATAAATGCTGTTGTAATGAATTAAGATTTGGTATTTACTTCTTACATGATGTATTATCTATATCATACAATTTAATTTACATTTTTAAAAATTAAAGTGTTGGTTAGTTTATAAACGAAAAATTAGGTTTAATTTTAAGAAATGTTTTTTTAAAAATATAGGCAACAGTCATATTAACAATTTTATTTAAACAAAATTTTAAAGAGTCTAATTTAAATAAGTAAAAACTTTCGATAAATTAGATACTACATTCTTTGAGACCACTTATATTGTATTTGTTCAGCAACCATTCGTTTTTATGTAATTAATCATAAACGTATTGTTAAAAAATGTATTCTCAAAAACTTTGACCTTTACTTAGACGTATTTAATCCATACAACAATGTCTTGTTTTGTTTGAGCAGGTAACGAATATGGCACCGTTTATCTTCGCCCTTGCACTGGTCATCATACCTGGACTGGTGCACTCACAGACTGTTACTCCAACCCGATGTAATATATTACACAATCATTAGTAACTCTTACACAATTTTGTAAAGTAACGTGTAAAACTAAACCTTGAAGTAAGCTGAAATTAGATGTAGTATATTACACAATGTGTAGCTCTAACACTAACTTCGTTAAGTTACAGGTAGAAAAAATAATCAGTATGTTGAATAAAAATAAATGGGACGGAGTGGTCCAGCGGTAGAGAGCTGGACTGCTAACCGTAAGTCTCGAGTTCGAATCCGGGTTCAAGTAAAGTATGGGAAAGGAAAGGTCACAGAAACAAGTGAACTCTACTTCACTTTCCCCATAGACCTTCAGGTTTTAAAGGGAAACTTCTTATAGAAATAGGTAGGTTGTATCAACTACTCGCCCTCGAATGATGCCATACTATTTATACTTCGTCAGTTTATGAATTAAACTATCTGTCAACTGTACCCTTTCACCTAATTTCTCAGTGAATCTCACACCACCAGTGGCTAAACGGTATATTTGAGCAGTGGCGTCACTGGGCCGGGTGTCACCCGGTGCTGTATATAGAGTGTTAATAAAAACATTTTTTTGTTTGCATTTTAAGTTTGGTGTCACCCTAACCCCCTACTCTTTCGTTGTCTTAACTGTATAAAAAAGTGTTTTAAAAATAAATTTTGCCCTATTTTATCATAATGTCACACCCTGGTGTCTCCCGGCAGAGAAAGCAAGCTCCCGTCCTGTGACCCACTGTTTAAGGACGCTGACAAAACAAGGAAAGTCATTGATTACAAATGATATAATGCACACTTGTCTGTTTCAGTTCCGGATGTAGTGTCTGCTCTAGTAGCTAATGGTCATTTCACCGTGTTTCTCGACCTGCTCAACTCCTCTGGTTTACTGCCCAGGATCAACTCATGTAAGTTTCGACATGCTGTTTATAGTGTTCACAGTTTTTTCAGAACTCAATTTGTTTACAACATAATTGGTTTCCGTGGATCTGAGTCATATTTTGAATTTTCCTAACATGACATATAGATTCATCAATTGCTTAAATTTTGTGTACCAATAGCAATAATTAATTATTCAATTATCAAAAGAATTGAAATAAAACGAATTGAAGTCAAATTTTTATTAATTTATTCGACTAGTCATACTGCCTAGCTTCGCTTAGGTTTTCAAAAGCATTTAAGAATTTGAATACTTAATTATTAAGTAATAGGCTGAGGTGTGGAGTGCTTAAATTTAAATAGTAACTAGAATACCCGTCATCCGTTGGATAACTGTGGGTTTCGGGGGTCATCCATCAAAAAACATCACGTCAGTCACTCAGAGGCATAGCGACCCTTCCCGGCGCCCGGGGACAAACTTTTCGATTTTAACCCCCCCCCCCCCCCCAAGATTTCGATTTTCAACCCCCCCCCTCAAACTTTTGATGTGCACCCCCCCCCCACTCAAACTTTCGATTTGAACCCCCCTCAACCTTTCAATTTATTTTTCCAAACCATTTTGGCGCCCCAACATATGTCCCCCCCGCCCCCCCCCTTCCCCTCCCCCCGCCTTCCCTTCCCACCCCCTATATCTATATTTTAGATCTACGACTGAGCTATATTTAGAATTTACGTTTATAATTTAGCAAAATTACCGGCATCTAAACCGCGTATGAATCTTAAGCTACACCAATAGGCCCGGGAGCGAGCATTTCAAAATTACCATATTCCAAACAAAGATTTATACAAAATAATAAAGGTCTAAAATAGTTTAGTATATAGAAACTCATTATTATCTAAATCTAGATAGAATTATCTATATTCTAGATCTACGACTGGTTTGCTTAAGTCTCGTTTTTTTAATTGTATTTATAACTAATAAATCTTTGATTTGACCTAGATTGTCCTAGATTCTAGATTCTAGATCTAGATCTATAAATAACTTTCTTGGACAGATTTTAGATCTAGAGAAATTTATCGTGAAACTAAATGAAAAAGACAGTTGAAAATTGATATAAGTGTTGGAATGTAATAAATACAGCAAACGGACGTATTGTTAAAGTTATGACCGACAGAAAATTAGATTTAGAACGCGTTAAACTTTTGAATGGGAACACAATTTTCTTCGATAGACGCCGCCATTTTATTGTACTAAAGAGTAAACAAAAACCGGTGACGTCACTATTCCCACAAAGTTTAGTCAGTGTTTTAACATTTAAAAAAAAATGGGTTACTCTACGTATGAATAAATCAATAAATTAATTAACGTCTTTAAATAAATTTGTGATTAACAGTCTGTCTGCATTAAAAAATTATTCTCTACCTACATACTATTTTACAGCTCTCCAGATAGAGTCGAACATATCACAAAACTCGATCGGACAAACAAAAAAACAACAAAAAAACAAATAAATATTCAAATATGTAAACAAACTTGACTTTTAGTAGTATACTAGAGTACCCGTCATCCGTTGGATAACTGTGGGTTTCGGGGGTCATCCATCAAAAAACATCACGTCTGTCACTCAGAGGCACAGCGACCCTTCCCGGCGCCCGGGGACAAACTTTTCAATTTGAACCCCCCCCCCCCCCCCCGCAAGATTTTGATTTGACCCCCCCCCCCCACCCCCACCCAAACTTTCGATTTGCACCCCCCTCAACCTTTCAATTTATTTTTCCAACCCATTTTGGCGCCTTCTAAGGTCGGCGCCAGGGGACATGTGTCCCCCCTACCCCCTCCTCGCTACGCTACTGCAGTGTCACTTATCGTCACAAAAAACAGACCCCACATTCAAAAATATGTTTTTTATCTTTTAAATACACCGAAAACACTGATTTCGGACTATCCCTTCATATACTGACGTCACAGGTGACCTACACAACTCTACTTCACCTGCCCAGTGTCCCGCCAAGTCTCAGACAACATGTTTTTATCGTTTAAAAAACAATTCCAGCCGAGCATGTCTCTGACCACACTATCCTTTCATATGCTTAGGACAAAGAAACAGATAAACTCTACTTCACCTGCCCTGTATCCTACCAAGTTCAGATAGGCAACTTTATCATTCACATCTAAAAAAAAAAATTGAAAACAAAAATATCATTGACATTGGTCTAGAACCCGTGCCACTTGCATGAGAGCCGACTACTCTACCAACATAGCTATTTACTCGTGACGTCACAAGTGAATTTTTATACTATACTTTGAGTCTCGTTATGCAACTTTATTTACGCGCATAGATCTAGATCTAACTTCTAAGTCTAGTAGTAGTAACTTTCAAATTAAATTTTATCTTAAATTAGCCAAACAAAGATTTATATAAAATAAAGAAGGTTTGAAATTATCTAGATCTAGATAGAATTATCTAGATCTAGATTCTACGACTCGTTTTCTTAAGTCTTAAGTTTAGTTTTTCTTGCTAGATCTAGAATCTAGATCTAGATCTAATCATTAGCTACGCTAATAGGCCCGGAGCGAGCATTTCAAAATTACCATATTCCAAAAAACATTTATATAAAATAATAAAGGTCTAAAATAGTTTAGTATATAGAAAATCATTATTATCTAAATCTAAATAGAATTATCTATATTTTAGATATACGACTGAGCTATATCTAGAGTTTACGTCTATAATTTTGCACACTTAGCGGTATAGAAGCCGCGTATGAATCTTAAGCTACGCAAATAGATCTAGGCCCTGACTCCAGCATTTCAAAATTTGCATAGGGGCCTAGTCAAAACAAAGACTTATACCAAACAATAAAGGTCTAAAATATTTTAGTATATAGAAACTCATTATTATCTAAATCTAGATAGAATTATCTATATTCTAGATCTACGACTGGTTTGCTTAAGTCTCGTTTTTTTGGATTGTATTTATAACTAATAAATCTTGGATTTGACCTAGATTCTAGATCTAGATCTAAATCTATAAATAACTTTCCTTCGACAGCTGATCTTTAGATCTAGAGAAATTTATTGTAAAACTAAATGAAAAAGACAGTTGAAAATTGATATAATTGTTGGAACGTAATAAATACAGCAAACGGACGTATTGTTTAAGTTAAAGCCGGCAGAAAATTAGCTTTGTAACGCGTTAAACTATTGAATGGGCCACAAAGTCTATGATGGAGTCCGCCATTTTTATTGTACCAAAAAGTAAACACATCAAGGGACGTCACTATCCCCACAAAGTTTAGTTAATGTTTTAAAATTTAAAAAAAAATGTGGTTAATTTAACTATGAATAAATCAATAAATTAATTAACGTCTTTAAATAAATTTGTGATTAACAGTCTGTCTTAAAACAAAAATTTTTCTCTACCTACATACTATTTTACAGCTTTCCACGATGAGTGCAACCATGCGAGATAGTCAATCAGCCAAACAAACAAACAAACAAAAAAACAAATAAATATTCAAACATGTAAACAAACTTGACTTTTAGTAGTATACTAGAATACCCGTCATCCGTTGGATAACTGTGGGTTTCGGGGGTCATCAATCAAAAAACATCACGTCTGTCACTCAGAGGCAGAGCGACCCTTCCCGGCGCCCGGGGACAAAGTTTTCGATTTGAACCCCCCCCCCGCAAGATTTCGATTTGAACCCCCCCCCCTCAAACTTTTGATGTGCACCCCCCCCCCCCCCCCACTCAAACTTTCGATTTGAACCCCCCTCAACCTTTCAATTTATTTTTCCAAACCATTTTGGCGCCCCAACATATGTCCCCCCCCCGCCCCCCCCCCTTCCCCCATCCACCTCCCCCCGCCTCCCCTCCCCCCCCCGCCTCCCCTCCCCTACCCTCTCCCCCCCCCCCATCCTTGCTACGCTACTGCAGTGTCACTTATCGTCACAAAAAACAGACCCCACATTCAAAAATATGTTTTTTATCTTTTAAAAACACCGAAAACACCGATTTCGGACTATCCCTTCATATACTGACGTCACATGTGACCTACTCAACTCTACTTCACCTGCCCAGTGTCCCGCCAAGTCTCAGACAACATGTATTTATCGTTTAAAAAACGATTCCAGCCGAGCATGTATCTGACCACACTATCCTTTCATATGCTTAGGACAAAGAAACAGATGAACTCTACTTCACCTGCCCTGTATCTTGCCAAGTTCAGATAGGCAACTTTATCATTCACATCTAAAAAAAAAAATTGAAAAAAAAAATTTCATCGACATATTGGTCTAGAACCCGTGCCACCTGCATGAGAGCCGACTACGCTACCAGCTTAGCTATTTACTCGTGACGTCACAAGTGAATTTTTATACTATACTTTTGAGTCTCCGCGCATAGATCTAGATCTAAGTCTAGTAGTAGTAACTTTCAAATTAAATTTTATCTTAAATTAGCCAAACAAAGATTTATATAAAATAATTAAGGCCTGAAATAGATTCTAGATGTAGAATTTACATTAAGTCTAGATCTAGAATTTACATTGAGTCTAGTGACCTACATCTAGGCTAGATCTAGATAGATCTAGATCTAGGCTAGCTTCATAACTTTCCTTCGACAGCTGATCTTTAGATCTAGAGAAATTTATCGTAAAACTAAATGAAAAAGACAGTTGAAAATTGATGTAAGTGTTGGAACGTAATAAATACAGCAAACGGACGTATTGTTTAAGTTATAGCCGGCAGAAAATTAGCTTTGTAACGCGTTAAACTTTTGAATGGGCCACAAAGTCTATGATGGAGTCCGCCATTTTTATTGTACCAAAAAAGTAAACACATCAAGGGACGTCACTATCCCCACAAAGTTTATTCAAAGTATTAACATTTTTAAAAAAATACGGTTAATTTAACAATGAATAAATCAATAAATTAATTAACGTCTTTAAATAAGTTTGTGATTAACAGTCTGTCTTAAAACAAATTTTTTTGTCTACCTACATACTATTTTACAGCTCTCCACGATGAGTGCGACCATGCGAGATAGTCAATCAGCCAAAGAAAAAAAAAAACAAAAAAACAAACAAACAAAAAAATAAATATTCAAACATGTAAACAAACTTGACTTTTAGTAGTATATAGATAGATAGATGCTAATTTTAGAGAAACTGTTGTTGTATTTGTTTGTTGTTTAAAGTCCGTTTTCAGAAAAAGTATTGGAAAGTTCGTAATGTATGACAAAATGGAATTAGAACTACAGAGGTTCAATGAACTGTATATCTCATAATTTATATTACATTTACTTTTAAAATTAATTTATTTTTTTAATTTGGATACGTACCTTAATTAACAACTTAATTTTGTACTAAAACAAATGCTATACTTCGTCATTTTCTGTTTATGTTTAGAATAGTATACAATTGTTTGAAAAAAAAAATTCTTTTAAAAAAGCTACCTCCCTTAAAAATTGAACGAAGACGTATGTCTTTGTTTACTTTTTTTTAACAAATAGTTGCTATGCTTATATATGAAAATACGGTATCTGGACATATTTACCGACTATAATGGCTTTTTCCGACGGGAATAACGTTTTTTTGTTACCATCTAGGGTCGGTCTACGACCTTACAAAATATCAGGGGGATCGTTCGGCATTTTTTTTTATATAGCTAATGTAACGAGAATGTCACTCGTGGTCAATTTTTTAGCCCTCGCCGTGTGAGCATAGGCTGACCGATAGTTTATCCCTAAGGCCGATTCATTGATACAGCTCTATGCAAAACATGAGCCAGATGTAGAGAGCCAAAGTTACAAAACATTTTTTTTTTTAAAATAGTCATCGTTTTTCACCAAATTAAAAAAATTTATAAGGGAATTCGGACCGGTCAGTTCTAACTGCCTTTCGAAGTTTTCCCGAAGATAACTTCTATTCCGTAGTGATGCCCGGCGGTATTTCTACAACCTCAGAGAATTACGAATGGGTTTGCACGTCCAGATATTTGAATTTTTTTTTACAAAAACGGTACTATGTTTATATAAGGGAATATGGCCTCTGGTCAGTTAAAACATTGTTCTGGAGTTTTCCCGAGGGTAGCACAATTTATTGGCTGACACCGAGTGGCCGATGTACATCCCCAAGAGTTTTCAAAGGGTTCCTACGTGGTAAATGTTTTTCGATATATAGCTCATATAAGGAGAATTTCACTGTGGTCACTTTTTAGCCCTCGCCGCGCGAGCAGAGGCTGACCTATTGTTTATCCATAAGGCCGATTTATTTACCCATGTAATTGGAAAAAATAAGCCAGATGTACAGAGCCAAAGTTCCAGAACATTGTTTTGAAAACAGTCATTGTTTTTCAGAAAGTTAACAATCTTTATATAGGGAAAATTCGGACCGGTCAGTTTTAAAGGTCTTCCGTGGTTTTCCGGAATATATAATAGTTTTTTTTTGCGACTACCGAGGGTCGGTCTACGACCTCAGGAGCTATGACAAGGTTCCTACGTGGGAAATTTTTTTCAATATATAGTCCATATTAGGCGCCGGTCAATCGAGGTCAGTTTTGACCCCCTCTTCGTTTTCCATTCAGCCAACCGGCACCTGCCCTCGTGTTCTATCGACCCAAGGCAGGATCCTGCCAAATTTGACGCGCCTGCGGCTCCGGGAAATGCCCTATCGGACACCCTAGCACTTTGCTTTATATATATAGATTATAAGACATTATATCTTTTTACTTTCTCGTATATACGAAGTATAGAGAAAGTCTTGTAATCGTGCAAAAAAAAATCGAGATTTTTACAAATCTCGACGTTTTACACTTCACTGATACGGAAAAACATAATTTTGCAATCTTGTCCGTATGTCTGTGTGTCTGTCTGCATGTCTGTCTGTGTGTGTGTGTGTCCGTGTGTAAACACGATAACTTGAGTACCGTTACTGCTAGGTTGATGAAATTTCATATATAAGTATTTTATCAAAATCGTAGATCCGTATCAACTTTTGAGCGATTTCCGATAACCGGAAGTGGTACTTATCCTACCTTGAATTTTTCAAAAGCCTATAACTTGAGTACTATTTCAGATAGATAAATCAAATTTCACGTGTAAGTAAAAGATCTAATTCTCTACCTTCTGTTAAATTTTGAGTAATTTCCGTTGACCGGAAGTAGTAATTTACGCTACTTCCGATTTCTCAAAAAACTAATGTAAATTTTTAAAGTACTAATAATATTGCGCACTATTATGCACTTTTTTATTTTGCGTTCACTTGGTGTGCAATTCTTTTGTCTACGAGATTTTATTCTATTTTTACAAGCTTTTATTTAACTCACTTCCTATGTCGTCAGTCGTCAGTCTGTCGTCAGTCTAGATCGAAACGCAGGAGCGAAAATTCGGACAGTTCTACTTGAGCGATACGATTCACAGTTGGCACGTGGGTCAAGACATGAAGACAATGCAATCTGAAACTAAATTTGACTTAATTGGATGCCTAATTAATTTTTTATGAATTAATTAAAATTTGGACCGAATTAGTCGGCATGTCTATCCAACCACACCACACGCGTCATCACGTTCAATAACTGCGCCATCAGGTTCAATAGCTGCGCCATCACGTTCAATAGACGCGCAATGGTTTTTAGTCATGTAACACTATTGTAAATAAAACATGTAAAGTACTGAAAAAAATTCATAAAAAAGGTTTTAATAACAAGCTTTTATGTAATAATGCAATAAAAAGTAGAAAATAAATCATAGACTACTATTAATTTAATAACTATAAAGAAAAGCGTGGGTGACTTCCTTAACATTAGTAAAGTATCCATAGATACTAAAGTGACCCACGCTTTTCTTTATAGTTATTTAAATAGTAGTCTATGATTTATTTTCTACTTTTTAGTGCATTATTACATAAAAGCTTGTTATTAAAACGTTTTTTATGAATTTTTTTAAAAACTTTAATTATTTAAAATGGATTAAAAATCATGTCTATAGCCCGAGTTCCCATCCCCTGTTGTTTTATATAAGAATATTCGAGAAAGTTTAGGGGAGATCACTCCCGGTTTATTTTTATTAAGCACACGGTAGTTCACGTTATCTTAGCCTAGAATAGATAATAAGAAACATCAACGATTTCCCATGGTTGATAATGTGAGGACAAATAGTTTAAATCTATATCATGAATTATATCCATCTCTAATCAACCAATACCTAACACCTTTGATCCTTTACACATAACCATCAATATGACACAGCCCTTGTAACATGCTAAAAAGTACAGTTCCATTTTTAAAACCGACGGCCCATGTGACTAGTGAAGTAGAGTTAACCTGTTGCTGTGACCTTGACATATGACGGGATAGTATAGTCAGGACTATGCCCAGCCACAATTATTTTCTCTAACGTGAGCTATAGGTACCCATTAGAGATAGATGGAAGTGTTCTACTGACTTGTATCCGGACCGAGACTTTCGAGTTAGCAGTCGAGCGCTCTACCACCGTCCCACCTGCCTTTGTAACATGCTACCCAAAGGTTAACATTTTTAGAAATGTTATATTGATAAAATGTGCCCTAAAATATAAAATACCTATGACACGACTGCTTATATACAAGATGAAATTAAGTTCATCTGATTTTTTTTTAAACTTGTCTTATAAAAACCGCAATGCGACCTAGATTGATCTCAGTGGTATTAGCTCACTCTGCCTTAGTACCACGCCATCTCACGGAAACATAATTATGCTGCACTGCATTATTGACATTAAAAAAAAACTCAAATGTTTCAATGCGCCAACACATCCGTATCTCCCCAACAACAGCCGCGCACTTCACGATTTTCGCCCCCACGGACGACGCCTTTGCCCGGCTGTCCGCCGATGATTTCGATAAAATAAAGAACAACCAGACCAGGCTGGCTGAGATCGTGGGGTTCCATGTCGTGCTGACCACCAACTACCGCATACACGGCACCCAGCAGGACGATGTGCTCAAGTCCTCCAACAATTTCCCCATCAGGATCAACACCTACAACATTCTGCACGTGAGTAGCGGCCGGGGAGCCAAACGTTAAACATTTGTAGCGTGTGACTAGCCATATGTTAAATACTAGTAGCGTCTGGCTAGCCAAACGTTAAACATTTGTAGCGTATGCCTAGCCATATGTTAAATACTAGTAGCGTCTGGCTAGCCAAACGTTAAACATGTGTAGCGTCTGACTAGCAATAAGTTACATACTAGTAGCGTCTGGCTAGACAAAAGGTAAACATGTTTAGCTTGTGACTAGCAATAAGTCTACTAATCTAGTAGCGGTTAGCTAGCAGAGCGTTAAACACGTGTAGCGTCTGACTAGCAATAAGTTACATACTAGTAGCGGCTGGCTAGACAAACGTTATACACTTGAATGGTGTGACAAGCAATAATTTAAATCCTATTATTCTGGCTAGACAGACTTTAGTCAACAGTTGCTCCTATCTAGTCTAGCATAAAAATAACTGCTAGTAACGTATCGCCTACAAAAGGTTAATCAATAGTAGCGTCTGGTTAACAAATTTCAGATACGAGTGGCGCTTGGGTAACAGAAAGATAATTACTAGTAAATTCTACTTTGTTAAGTTTTTAGACAACCGTTTTTTTCTGAATAGAAGAACTGTCATCGTCAATAGTTTGTCTGTTCACATTAACATGACTCATACCCCCAAATTCAGGGAAATTTGTTGAAATTTGTCCTTAAAAGTACAATAATTTGTTTTATGCATAGTATCCAAAATAAAAATTGTCATATTGTTTATGGTTCTTGTCTGTGCGCAGTTTCATTGAATTTTATAAACTAATTTTTTGTTTCTGATTTTTTGTAAATTTGCAAAATTGTTACACAATCACATCTTTTCCTCAACAAAATTAAAAAAAAAATAATTTTTAAATCGTACTTATATTTATTATATGGAAAACACTACTAACGCCAGGCTAGCACAAAATTGAGTCCCCTAACGATAAGAGCTTAGTCTAATACAGGCAAACGCTTATATTATTGACATGAAAGTATTTTTGTGCCACCGTGTTTTTACACACGTTGTATATTGGCTTTCAAAGACAACCGAGTCGGTATAATAGCAACTTGCGTTGTTTATTTACAGTAGCAACATCGGAAAAAATCACAATACGGCGTTCACAAGATGAGTTAAATATACAGGTGATCGCAAAGACATTCAGCTTTAGTAAATACCAGTGTGATGTCTCTTTCATAAACTTCTAAAATCCCCGTGAAAAAGACATGCATGTTTTATATTAACGTGTGTAGAATTTACAATTGGATTTACGTAATTGTCTACAGGGAATGTAAAGGGCATTTGGGTACAGATAATTTTAATGATCTGTGTATATGCACTACAATGTACATGTATCAATATAATGTATTATGGTTTGTTTGGCGAGGTAAATTAATTTGATAACCTGTGCTTACAGACAGTGGCAGCCGATGGTGTCAACATCACCATCAAGAACATCCCCATCCTCCACGGGCTGGCCCACGGGCTGGACGGTGTCCTGACCCCACCCACCCAGAGCATCATGCAGCTCAGCCTCAACAGGCCAGACATCAGCACCTTCGCCAAGTGGGTGGTCGACGCCAATCTGCTCAACTTCTTCACCAGTGAGTCAATGTGTAGAGGAGTGGGGAGAGGGGAAGGGATGGGGGATAGAGGGAAGGAGTGAGAGGGTGGAGGGAGATTTTGGTTGTGATAATGCTGGAGAGAAGGGTTAGGAGAGAGAGAAAGGTGAATGAATGAAGGGTAGAAAAATAGAAAGATAGGAAGTGAGAGCGAGAGTGAGAAGTATATAGAGAGATATAATTAGTGAAAGTTCAGAGAGAGAGAGAGAGATTGAGAGGAAGGAAGAAAGGGTGTGAAAAAAAAGAGAGGACGTGGTATCTCACTAAATGGGAAACAATAGAATGAGATAGAAATAGGGAATAAGATACAAGTTAGTGTGGAAGCAAAAACAGAATTGATATTAAAAAAACAAACAGAGAGAATAAGGAGAAAAAAAAATTGCGAAAGAAGTCAAAATTAAAAAAACTGGTACTGTATTGGAAATGTTAAATAAACGTATAAAAAGATAGCAAATGTCTTAGGAGAAACACCAAACGTTACAAACTTTATATACCTATTAGCTAGAACTCAATGTGTAACTATTTACATATTGAGGAGTCGGGGGAGGGGGGTTGCTTAACACCACTTATTGCGAAATTAAGATAAACAAAGTAAATATTTAGATGTAGGCCCAACTGTACACACTACGTCTCCCAGTATAGAAGGTGCTTGCTTGTTATTACTGATTCTTTTATCACAATTATAGTTGCATATGTGCTTGCTGTTACTGATTCTTTAGTTACAATTATATATGCATATGTGAAAAAAAAATTAAAATATTTTAAAAAAAAATAAAAATAAAAAAAAAAAAAATTGCGAAATTAAGACAAACAAAGTAAAAAACAACATATAAAAGTAGAGACTGGAAAAGATGGAAAAAACGAAAATAAAGATTAAAATAGATAAAGATGATACAATGCATATGTCAGCTTCCTGCTGAATTAGTGATGTATAACTAACTATTTTAAAACTGATACACAATGCACCTTTGTATGTTTCGTGCACCAAAAGTTATATGCAGGCTAAGTCATTACAAATCGAGAACACAAGAGGCATCAAATGAAGAAAAAAATATATTTTCAGTTTTAATTATAAATATTTCACATGCATTCATCAAAGAGTTATCGTTTGTTGTTATAAATCAGTCACCTATGTTTTATATGTTGCTCCCTGCACGCCGAACAAATTTGAACAGCATTTTTCTTCTTTGCAGACGATAAGGACGTCACCGTGTTTATCCCCAACAACGCAGCCTTTGCTAAACTGAGTTCAGATATAACCACATTTCTCAACAGTCACCACGCCAACATGGCAGGTAATACTTCAAGTATTTATTCTACTTAAACATTGGGTGTGTTCTATTATCTAAATAAATTCAAATCAATACCAACGCATCGATTTATAATTAGAGCAAGATAAATTATAACTTCAAGGATAGTTACACTACTGTAGTATAATTATTACTGTTCAAGATAGACAAAGTAAAACAACAATACTCTACTGTTGCATTACTGTGTCCTTTGTCTAAATGCATACATTTAAAAAAACAATTAAATCCGACTATCTTAGTAGTAATGATTTGACTTTCCTTGCACAAGGTTGCGATCAGAACAAAATAGTTTTTTGTGTTATATGTTATTTATTTTCAAACATGAATGTTCAACAAGTCACTCTCGTAAATTGCCTTAACGTTGAAGTATTTTAATCCCCAGAAACTTTAAAGTTCCACGTCGTAAACGCCATGACCTTGTTCAGTATTGGGATGACCCACAGCATCAGCCTGACTTCCGGGAACAACCACCACGACGGCCTGATGATACTACAGGATTCAGGTTAGTATCACGCGCTAAACCACACGGCATTACCAGAGCACACGCTACTTGATAAGGCATTACCTCAGCTACACGCTATATAATACGAAATGCAATTAATTAGGCACTAAATAGTACAAATATTTTTAAATTAATATATAAGCTGCTCTATATACAACTATATATAAAATCTCGTTTAGTTACTTGATCTGTAATTGCACGAACCGTTTTCTTATCCACACCACAGTTGGAGCCCTGAGTGTGAACCACGCCAAGATTGTAGAGAAAGACATCATCACCACCGATGGCGTCGTGCACATCATTGACAGCGTCTTGGTCCCACCTCGCGTCTTGGTAGCTCTCCAAGATCAAGGAATCGTTGTTGGTTAAATTTGTGATGGTGCTGTCCGAAATCAACGTAGCCATCTTTGTTCAATTCTTTGTTATATCGGCAACAATGCACATGTTTATTAAATTTCTGCCTAAAATCAGTGTAGCCATGTTTGTTTAATGCTTTGTTATATCAGACATTAATGCACATGTTTGTTAATTTATGGGGCTGTTCAAAATCAAACCATATTTGTTTAATGTGTTGTTTATACTAGCCAATAGTACACATTTTTGTTGAATTTTTGAGAAAAGTGAAATATTAAAGACCAAGGTATAATGTTCTCAGTCAATTGTTGGAGAAGTGAAGAATAGACTTGTAATCTTTGTGGCGTAGACTTCATTAAGCACTAATTATTACAATCTAAGAAGAAAGAACAAATACAAGAACTTAATTTATTATAACAAGCTTTAAAACGCACAGAAAATAATAAAATAAACTAGCTTTCTTTAATAAAAACATTGTTGAGCATAAAATCTCTGGTATATTTTAGCGACCAACACGGTTATTAACTAAAACACTTTTTTTCAGTTATCTTTTTTTTCAAGACATTAAAATATAATTTCTCTTTAACATTTAATAAAAAGATTACTTAAATATACGATAACAAGAATAACTACAAGACAACTTAAGAGTGTCGAATTTTTCCATCTTATTAACAAATATTAAATAAGTTATTTAAATCTAATTTAAAATTTACACAATTTAAAAAAAACAAAAGGGAGATAACAAGAATAAGAACTCGCAAACGATAGTGAAATTTGGACACTTATGATTGATTTCACACATGAGTGCGACCACAGACAAAGGAATCGGCAGATAAGATCGTTTAAAAGCAAATAAGTTTAGAATAACTTTTGATTTCCGGTTTCCGGTTTAGACGTTCTGAAAACAATGCACAGTTGTCTGTCTTTTTTAACTTTTTGAACTGTTATTAAACAAGTGTACGACAATTCGACGTCTTTTCCGGGGGTCTGTTGACTACCATAACTCTGCTACGATCGAATAGGTATTTTTCATCGCAGTATCTGTCGTAGAAATAGAGTGTCCGGTTTCCGTTTCTAATATCAATAATTTTAAAATGTAACCTAATGTCAATGAGCTTCACTGGGTAGCCTCGGTTGATTTTTTGAAGCACAAAAGTGAGATTGGACGACGATTGGCAAAAATGTTTGTGATAAATTGTATCGGGGTAATGTTCCAGCGAGTGCAGTAGTTTTTCCGTAGTGTTTACACGAGCAAAGATTTGTAATTTTACATTCGAATCCCGGTTAACGGAAAAGGTGGTCTCTTGCAGAAGACAAAACCCCGCACCTCTTTGGAAGATAATAGTCAAGGTACATGTCATTGCGTCCATAGTTGAGTTCTCCGTTAACTTCGGTGCGACTTTCAATGTGTATTCGCTGCTTGCAATAGCGTAGAGAACCGGCACCCTGTTTCCGCACAAAAACACTGTCATGGGTATTGCGCTAGTATACAATCTCACGGCTGTGTCAATAAATGTAACAAAAAATATTGTAGAATCTTGATAGACATCATTTGATTATTGTTGTTATTCGTGTACCGAACTGAAAGTTTAAAAATTGTAAAAAAAAAAATTATCACAGCAAAGATAAAAAAAATTATAATGCTAGATAGTTATACCTAAAGATTTGCAAAATATGTTAATATTATGTATAAGAAATAGCTGCATTAGCAGTTGAAATCTAGCTTTATATCATTGCAATATTTACAAAAATTATCTTTTTATTTCTACGCATTTAAAAAACATATGCCAATGTATATATGATTGTAAATACCGTGTTTAAAAAAAAAGAATGGTTTCGAGTGTGGAAAATTTAACTTAGTACTCACGTGTTGGTAGAGTTAGATAAAACATGGCTGCTGTGTAAATAATCTCCCTTTAACGGCCATCTCCTGTCTGTGTTTACATCCATCCAATGTGTGATTAGAGTCATAGACAAGCATACCAGGTGTTACTAGCTGATGTATACGTGGGGGGGGGGAGGGGGGAGACTGGTAAATGTATAGTTTTTCTACATGAATTATATTTCTGGCCATACAATATAAGGAGTCGGGGTGGTTGAATCGGTTAAGCTCATGCTTGCTAAAACGAAAAGTCTCGACTCCGAAACCCCCGGGCAGATAAGGCTCAATAGCTGTGGAAAAAGAAAATCAAACAACTGCTACCTTGTAGTTTGTTCTTGATTGGACAAAGGCTATGGAAGTAAATCCACAAAGAAAAGCAGGCTGAAATCGGAGTCAAAGGCCTCAATGGCGCATAAACAGTTGACACGTATACTTAAATGTGCAGGAGGGGATCCCTTCACGAAGAAGAAGAAGAAACCCCATTCTCCCACATTGTGATGAGGGATCAACGCGCCATAAAGACAATATTTAACTACTACGCCTTTCCAGGTCTGATTACGGATACCTTATTTTAGTATTAAATTTTGAAGTTATACCACATACTACGGATACAAATTATATAAAAATGCTGCAATGCACCTTAAATTGAATATAAGACATTACCCATCATCTATTACCAAATTATATAAAAATGCTGTAATGCACCTTAAAATGGGTATTGGACATTACCCATCATCTATTACCAAATTATATAAAAATGCTGTAATGCACCTTAAATTGGGTATTGGAGATTACCCATCATCTATTACCAACTTATATAAAAATGCTGTAATGCACCTTAAATTGGGTTTTGGACATTACCCATCATCTATTACCAAATTATATAAAAATGCTGTAATGCACCTTAAAATGGGTATTAGACATTACCCATCTATTACCCCCACCTCGTTCCGGCGACATGAGCAATTACTACCCCTCGCTCAAGAGCCCCAACCATAACCCCAAACCTAAGCTATCTTTATAGGCGGGTGGGGGGGGGGGGGGGGTTGGTAGGTCGGAGAGGGGGGTGGTGTTTGTGAATATTGTCCTTCTGGGAGGGGGGTAATTTACAGGGATTAATTACCCCGTGGGGTTATAATGTGTGGATGATTATCCAGGGGGTCGGTAATTTACATGGCGGGAGGGGGGGGGGGGTGTAATGTCCTGCTCCCACCTTAAACAGTGCTGTTCGTGAGTTAATATGTATCTTTCAGCTTACATCATCTATACTAGGGGAAGTTTGAACATAAAGGTAGTGCGCGTCTAATAATGTAAACGTGACCGCAGAGAAACAAAGGTAAGCTACCTAAACCTGCTGTAGAGCAACGTAAATTGTTGTTTGTCTCCCCTTATCATCCTTGTCGGTGTGCAGTTGCGTATTTTGTTATTTGCCTCCCCTTGTCAGTCGCCTGGTGGCCCAACAGGTCACGACCTCTGAACTCTAATTAGTTGGGATTCAGGTCGTTTACTCTCGAATAACACGGGGTTTAGTTTGTTTCCAACCTTTGTTTTTACTCGTCCTGGCTGAGCCTGTTTTCGTCCTTAAGTCGTTTTTCATTATACATTTTTCGTATCGCCTACATACCTGATGTGCTATGTGCTGCTAAACCTATGTTATATTTCAGTCGGAGATAGTGTTCCATTCAGATACTTTTCTCCGGCATGAGGGAAGGGGCATTGGAAACTTTCGGAAGAGGGGGGTGAATATCATAGCAAAAGCAATAACAATCTTATACAGATTTAGTTGAGCATATTAAACTATTGAGAAAATACTTTCTGTATTTTGTACCTTTGGGGCAAGAATTTGTCAGGCTTCGTAATGATGGGAGGAGGCTTAGAGAGGCAAATGCAAGCAACTTCGATATGCAAGAATAAATTTGAACTCATTTAACATCACATCAATCATGATTTATTAATAACGTGTTAGTACCTGCTATATAGAATGTAATGCATTTAAAACACGGATAAATATTGGTTAATAATATTTGATGACCAATCAGAAACAAATGGCCTAGAGTGGCGCGCTTTATGCTCAAGAAAAAAGGGGTAGATTCATAACTGATGACGAAATAAGCTGGTTGTGGTTAAACTCCTAATTTTGACAGCTGGTTATTGGCCACTGTACTGTACTGTACTGTACTGTACTGTACTGTACTGTACTGTACTGTACTGTACTGTACTGTACTGTACTGTACTGTACTGTACTGTACTGTACTGTACTGTACTGTACTGTACTGTACTGTACTGTACTGTACTGTACTGTACTGTACTGTACTGTACTGTACTGTACTGTACTGTACTGTACTGTACTGTACTGTACTGTACTGTACTGTACTGTACTGTACTGTACTGTACTGTACTGTACTGTACTGTACTGTACTGTACTGTACTGTACTGTACTGTACTGTACTGTACTGTACTGTACTGTACTGTACTGTACTGTACTGTACTGTACTGTACTGTACTGTACTGTACTGTACTGTACTGCACTGTAACCTCTTTTACACTAGTCTACTTTACCTTTTCCTGCCCTACCCTGGCCTACCCTACATTACCCTACCCTACCCATATATTAACACAGAATAAAGTGCATTTATCATGTAGGCTATATTGCAAAATACTACCACGGTAAAATAAATTTAAATACTTAAATTAAGAAATACCACCACAAAATGAACTGATTTCAAGTTGGTTCAAAATATACATAAAAAACAACAAAAACCTGTTGTTACCATTTTACATCTGTCAAGTCTCATTGTTCAAGTAGTCAAACACTATTACAGTCCTTAAAGAATATAATATGTTCAACCTTACGCATTACTTATGCTTGTCGTATTACATTATTACAATCCTCGCTACACACAAAAGAACCCAGGAACAATAGGCTCGTTATAGGAAACGATTCTACAATGTAAGCTTAGCCTCGTTATAATCATCTTTTCAATGTATGCTTTTAAATCATAGCACGTAGTTTATAAGAAAATAATTAAGCACGATCTTATTTAGATTATTTTATCGGTCTTCAACATTGATAAAATCAACGATGAATTGACTTGATTTGTGAGACGCAGCACTAAAATATGTACTTGTTGGTATTTGAGATCCTTAGAAACGTATCGGTCTTTCTCTAATTTCTTTTTAGATCTTCATACTGTATATGATATGGGATGGGGAAGGGGCTTATTGTACTTATTTCTAAGACCTTTATACTGTACTAGCCCAGGGCTAATCGCACCATGCCGGGATAAGTCGGACGCGCCTGATTACGTTTAGTGAACTACTATAATACTAGTTCTTATCTATAGTTTATCGCATTGTTTAAAACGAACGTAGACGCCATAGCGCTTACGGGGTAACCCGGGGTGCCAGAGCGAAATTTAAATTCTTTTTTTTCGCAGTAACATCCCAAGGAGTATTCGCAACAATTTCTCAAAGTTTCATGGCGATGTAATGAAAGGTGTAGTAATGCATAAAAGACAGACAGATAGACAGACACACACATATATTGCTTTATATAAATATACAGAGAAGATGGGGTTACAATAAACTTGTTTCTAAGACTTTTATACTGCATAAGATGGGGGGGGGGGCACTGTAAACTTGTTTCTAAGACCTTTATACTGTATAAGATGGGGGGGGGGGCACTGTAAACTTGTTTCTAAGACCTTTATACTGCATAAGATTGCGTGACTCGTTATGTAAACACATTCACTTATGAAGTCGTGCCTTGTCGCAACCCATTTGCAGCTTTAATGTCGGTATTTATAAACATAGTAGTCAGAGCTTTTCTTTCTGGTTACCTTTTCTTGAAAATGCGTTTAAAAGTCTGGAATTACTTCTTCTCTTCTTTTCGCTCTTAGTTTTAGTGTTGGAAGGGAACCCCCTTCAACACAATTAAGGATACGTGTCAACTGGTTATGCTCCATTGAGGCCATTGACTCCGATTTTAGCGTGCTTTAGTTTTTGGATTTGCTTCCATAGCCTTTGTTCAACCAAGAATAAACTACAAGGCAGCAGTTGTTTGATTTTGGAGTTGTCTCTCCTAGAAGAGTGGCTGTCCCCAGCTAACGAGCCTCATCTGCCCGCGGGTTAGAACTCGAGACTTTTTCGGTTTAGCAACCATAAGCTTTACCGACTCGACCACGCCCTTGGAATTACTGAATTGTTACACTTTTTTTAGGGAAATCTGAATTCAATCTTACCCAACAGTAGCTCAGTTTTTATTTCTCCCAGCATAGTTGATATCTATCAGCACTATCTCAAAGATAAAAGAATCGGAAAGATAAAAATAGTTTTAAAACATAAGACACTTGAACTAGAGAGAAGAAAAACTGCGTTTAGATCATTGATCTGGTTTTACTGAAGTGTAAAATCTACAAACAGGTTCAGTATATTTTATTAGTGATCATATTTAAAAATATCGAAAGCTTGCAAACAAAGACTTAGATTATTTGCTTTTGTGTAGAAAACAAATATTGTTTAAAAGTACGTTATAACTTTAGTGTTTTTAAAAAACGATTTTTGTCCATAGATCTTCATCATGATACCATTTGTGGTACTGTTCTCTTTGGTGGTGCCTCCTTGTATTATTGGTCAAACTGTCACAAAATGTAAGTAATACCGTGATTTGTTAATTGTATTTTATTATTCAATTGCACCATATCATGTAAAAATTGTTTTTTTTTTATAAAACTGAGAAGTTACGTTTATACAAATAAATGAGCGTATATGTATGTTCAAGCAAAAGACCTAATTGACACGAAATACATTTTTTTCTTCCTGCATATGCGTAGGCAATTTAGAACACTTAATAAATACGACTAAACCAAATGCTGGAAATTATCAAGTGAACCCATAAACAGAGTAGAAATAAATCCATACACATAAATTTAAAATAAAGAATAAAAAATTATACATACATATATATATATATATATATATATATATATATATATATATATATATATATATGTACATTCTGTCTTATTTTCTCTCTCTTTTCTCTTTATATATATGCTAGCCATCGGTATCCGTTACACGGGCAATTCTGGTGACTTTTAGTTCTCTTCTCTTTACAAAAGGCTACCCGGTTTTTCTTTAAGATATTTATCTCCGGGGAGCGGCATTTAAAACTGTGCGGAGGAGGTTGTGGTGGTTGTGTGTGCGTTGGGGGTGGGGGGGGGGTGCGGATACTGTTTTATTTTTATATTTTTGTATGAATTACTATTTTCAATATCGTTCGGAGGTGAAATGGGAAGAAACGGTAGAGATGCCTGAAGAAAATGTACATATCTACGGAAAGTGAGTAATGAAATGAATTATAATTCAGCTTTTAAAAAAGTCATTATCGGAAACCTAGGAAAAGAAACATTTTATTGATCAAGAGTATTGGAATGAAACATTGTTAAGATTATGAAAAAAGGGGTTTTGTTTTATGTACTGTCTATGTTTATACTTGTTTAAAATAACATAGACTACCAATACCTATTAGAAAAATTAAAACCAAATTATATACAGTATTAGTCAACACAATACCATATTTAATGCACTCGCTGATTAACAGACTTAAAATTAAGAGACTTAAAATTTAGTGAAAAACTAGGCTGTTCAATGGTAGTCATTTAGTTTTTGTCTTTTAAAAGCACATATTTCGGCTGGGCATGGGTCTGACTACACTATCGCTTCATATGATGAACTCTACTTCACCTTCCCCGTGTCCCGCCAAGTCCGTATAGACAACCTTATCATTCACATATAACAAAAAAAAATTGAAAAAAAAAATTAAGATTGTCTTTGTGTGTCTCGAACCCGTACTACCCGCATGGTATTAATTACACTATTATCTCAGCTATTTAGACGGTGCCCTGTAAAACAGCCCGGGACAAAACGGCCCCGTTTGTATGACCCCGTCAATTCAACTCCCGATAAAACGACCCATTCAAAATAGCCCCGTCAAAAGGGCCCCGACTTATTGGCTCCCGTCAAATGGGCCCCCCGTCATATTGACTCGCGACATATAGGCTCCTGACAAATGGGCTCCCAACATTTAGGCTCCTGTCGAATGGACTCCCGACATATTGGCTCCCGACAGATAGGCTCAGGACATATTGGCTCCCGACAAAGCGGCTCCCGACATATTGGCTCCCGACATAAGGGGTCACGACAAATGGGCTCCCAATAAATGGGCTCCCGACATATTGGCTACCGACAATTGGGCTCCCGACATGTTGGCTTCCGACAAAATGATTCAGGACATATTGGCACTAACAGATGAATCGTATTACCACAATTGGCATAATTGTAACCATTTTGTCCTACCTCCACTACCACTATAACCTCTTTTAAATGCCTGAATGAAATTGTTTTTTATGAACCAGCATCAATTCACAAACAAATCGAGTCCTTAACAGCTAAATTTCACCAATTCTAAAGTTTGGATAATGTTTAATTTACAACAGTAAAGATCTGTTGCTTAAAAGCGAGCACAGAAGTGTAAATGTATGATATACATGATGTTTACAGGATAACGACTTTTTGTTTTAATACTGCAGATAGTAGTGTATAGCGTGGACCCCTCTCCCCACACACTGAGTTGGAACAGCCTATAACCGACTCATTTATGGAAGTCATAGATACTATTTCTTATAATAGATAAACCTGCCGAACAAAAGATGCATTCGTTGTTTTACTTAAGAGTAAAGAATATTGATGAAGGGGTCCCACTGGCAGGTGTCATATGCAGTGAAAACCATTTTGCCGGGAGCCTAAGCCTCTACAGAAACCGTATTGTCAGTGGTCCTTTAGTCGGGAGTCAAATTGACAGGAGCCTATTTGTCGTGAGCCAAAATACGGGATCCTATTTGTCGGGAGTCGTAATGACGGGGGCCGCTTTGTGGTTAAACTAAATGGCGGGAGCCTATTTTCCTGGAGTCGTAATGACGGGGGCCGTTTTGTCGAGAAACTAAATGACGGGAGGCAAAATGTCGGGAGCCTAAATGACGGGAGCCTATTTGTCTGGAGCCTTATTGACCGAAGCCTTTTTGTCTGGAGCCTATATAACGGGAGCCTATTTGTCGTGAGCCTATATGATGGGGTCCATACGTCGCTGGCCGTTTTGACGGGGTCAATTTGACGGGGTCAATTTGATGGGGCTCTTATGTCGGGCCGATTTGTCGGGGTCGTTTTGACGGGGCCGTTTTGTCATTGGCCGTTTTGACGCCGCACGATTTAAACACTATGGGTCACATGGAGAATAAAAGAGGTATTTAGGAAAGTTAACTTACGCGATAGGCTCTATTATTTCAAATTTAATGGTATCTCAAATTAGCCAATTCCATAGCTAAACAAACAAAGATTTCAATAAAATAATTAAGGCCTGAAATAGTTTAGCATAGAAATTTATTATTGGAATATATTCTAGATCTAGATAGGGTTTAGATATAGAATGACTAGATCTGTCTAACTAAGTCTAGTTTTTCCGAAGATCAAGATATTCTAGATCTAGAATCTCTAAATCTAGATCTAGATGATCTAGATCTAGATCTAGATCTAGAATCCAAATACATAAAATAAATTTTATAAGTTTGGGCCGAGAAAATTGTATTATATACATTTTATAGCGTACGTAGATCAAAATCAAATTGGAATGAAACAGTTCTTTTCTTTATATTCTAAAATCGGAAGATGACGCCATTAGTTTTGTGTTCTTTCCTAAGTGTAAGCATTTGTGACGTCATTGTTAATCACGTTCTTGTCACAGCTATACAACATTTTCTGGTTGCATAATTAAAATTGTTTTACTACATTCGAATATGCCTTTTTTATTTATTTTTCTTCTTTAAATATTTTTTTTATACATTTAAAACATCTACCATATTATTTTCAACAAAATTCCGTATCAAGTGCTCCATATATCGCTGAAGATACTGATATGATAGCCTGTGAAAATATTTTGCGGACAGATATATATATATATATATATATATATATATATATATATATATATATATATACTTCAAGTTGAATACATTAGAATAGGTTAGGTTAGGTTTGCCTGTCGTCTCTACTGGGACATAGGCCGCTGACAAGAGCTTTCCAGACTTTCTGTCCTGGGCTAGTCTCTCTAAATGTCCCCAGGTGTATCCAATCTTCTTGGTGTCTTCTTCCAGGTCGCGTCTCCAGGTCTTTCTTAGTCTGCCTCTCCTCCTCCTGCCTTGTGGATTCCAGGTGAGGGTCTGTCTTGTTATGCTGGATACAAGATTCCTGAGTGTGTGGCCAATCTATTTTCATTTTCTCTGGAGGATCTCTACTTCAACTGGCAGTTGATTTGTCCGTTGCCATAGAACATCATTCTTATGGTTTTAGGCCAGCAAATTTGCAGGATCTTTCTGAGGCATGCGTTTATAAATTATTTTATTTTATTCTTATTTATTGCAGTTATTCTCCATGTCTCAGTCACATAGAGTAAAACAGGTTTTACTAGTGTGTTGAAGGCCCGGATTTTTATTCCAAGGGTTAAATCTCCAGAACCTCAACGATTTCCACATTGACTGTCTATCCAGGCTATCAAAGGCCTTCTCGTAATCTATGAAATTAATATAGAGAGATGAGTTGCAATCTTGGGTCTGTTCAATGATGATGCGCAGGGTAGCAATTTGGTCTACGCATGACCTTTCCTTCCTAAAGCCCGCCTGTTGATCTCGAAGCTGGGGATCTATCGCTTCCTTCATTCTGTTTAATAATATTCTGTTGAAGACTTTGCCTGGGATGGACAAAAGTGTTATTCCCATCCCTCTATAGTTAGAGCATGCACTAAGATCGCCTTTCTTTGGAAGTTTTATGAGTAGTCCCTCCTTTCACTCCTCTGGTATTTGTTCATCTTCCCAGATTTTCTTGAAGAGTGTGTATAGTAATGTGGTGCTAGTTTCTATATCTGCTGTCAGTGCTTCTGCCGGTATACCATTTATTCCTGGAGCCTTCCAATTTTTCAGCTGCTTAATAGCTTTATGTATCTCTTCTTTTGAAGGTGGGTTGCAGTCTATAGGGAGGTCACTTTCAGCTGGTGGTATGTCTTGCGTGCACTCTGGTGTTGGTCTAATCAGTAGTTCTTCAAACTGTTCTGCCCATCTCTTCCTCTGTCCTTCCGCATCAGGTATTATCTTTCCATCTTTGGTCTTTACTGGCCTCTCTGGCTTACTCTACTTACCAGATATCTTCTTATTTGTATTGTACACGTCAATAATATTACCATGGTACAGTGCTTCTTCCGCTACTCTTACCAGCAGTTCCAAATAACTCCGTTTGTCTTTCCTTATGCTTTTTTTGACATTTTTGTTTGTTTTGGTGTTTTCTTCTAGTGCTTTTAATTTAGCAGCCCGTGTGCGGCTGTTGTTTACTGTTGCCTTCTTTCTTTTTCTCTCTTCAATAATTTTCATGGTATCTGCTGAAATCCATTTCTTTGCTTGTCTTTTGATAGGGCCAGGTACTTTTTCGCATTTTATAATAATATGTTTTTAGTTTTTTTTCCATGTTTCCTCTTTCGTCTCTTCTTCTATTGGTTCTTGTAGTACCTGAAACCTATTGGACATATGAAGTTTAAATTCATTGAGTTTAGAGGGGTCCTTTAGCAGGCCTGTGTTGTATTTGTATTTACTTTTGTTTTCCAGCAGGTTTTTCTTCAGTTTGAGTTTTACTTTAGCTACAAGTAGGTGATGGTCTGCGGCAACATCAGCTCCTTTGTTGACACGTACATCTTGAAGTGATCTCCTGAACTTTTTTATGATACATATATGGTCTATTTGGTTTTCTGTAGATAGGTCGGGTGATACCCAATCAGAGCCCTTTGTGCTTGGTTTGATAGCATGAGTTCAACTCCTTGAGTATTTGGTGGATTTTCATCCTCATGGCCTGAGTACAGCAGTAGCTCTCCTGTTATCAACCTTTTTTTGTCCTGAGCCAGTCCACCTTGACTATTTTATAGCGTCTCATTTCTGCTGCTACTTGGGTTGCTTTTCCGGTTTCGTACATTGTGCGGACATTCCAAGCTCCAATATTGATGGTGGACCAGGTGGAAATAATGGTGATCGACCTGGTAGTTTCCAATACATAAAGGCTTTCACCCAGCTTCATGAATTCTCCTTTGGGAGATCCATTCTACCCCTGGTCCGAGCTGTCTTTGTTTCTCTTTGTCTGCGTTTCTGTAGCAAGTAATTTGTTTTACGATATAAGGTTATTGACCTTATGCTCAACCCTCAACCTGGAAGACCAGGGTCGTAGCTTTCGTCTGACCCGTACTCGCGTAGACCTTCCCAGCTTGGTTGAACCTGCCAGGAGTTAACACTCCCGCTGGTATAGCTCTGGGGGTCGTCAGAGTACACAAGCTGCCAAGCAACGACAAGGCCCTAGCACCAGATGACAGATGCATAGAATAGTAGATGTATATTCTACAGAGGGAGTATTTTTTATCGTACTAAATAGTTACTATATATTTTGACAGTTTTTCGCCGTTTTACATCGCCCACATCATCATTTACGGAATATAAAGAGCTTGCTGCTTACCCGTGCTCCTTTTTAAATGTACCAGCTATTGAACAGAACAAAACTAAACACAAATACAAAAGAAAACACAAACTCAGACACAACGCAAACAGAAACACAAAAGTAAACAAAAACACAACGCAAACACAATGCAATCAAAAACACAATGCAAACAAAAACACAAATGCAAACACATACGCAAAATAACACAAACGAAAACGCAAACACAAACGCAACACGCAAAAATAAACACAAAAGAAAACACAAACGCAAACACGAACACAACGCGAAGGCAAACACAATATAAACACAAACACAAACACAAATGCAAACGCAAAAAATACAAACAAAAAACAAACAAAAACGCTTACACAAACGCAAGACAAAAATACAAACGCAAACATAAAACTGAACGAAAACAATGACGCATTACATAAACAATACTTAAATGCAAACATAAAAGCATAGTGCTCACCGTCTAGCCCGGGGCGCCAAATCGCACCCTGCCGGGGCGCCGGCGAAACCACCTGATTTAACTTTGTAAATGACTAAAATACCCCAGCTTACCCATAGTCTATTGCACTCATTTAAATAAAAGGAGGTGCCATAGCGCTCACGGAAAGGCCCGGGTCGCCAAATAACACCCTGTCCGGACGCCGAAGGACGCCCTGGTTTCAATTTAGGGAAGGACTATAGTAACGTTACCCTTTTACCTTCAGCTTTTCGAACTCTTTAAAACAAAAGTATGCACCATAGCACTCTAAGGATAGCCCAGGAAGCCATATCAAACCCTTCACGGGCGCCGGCTGACTTCCATGATTCAATTAAGCGAAAACTAAAAAAACTCCAGATTATCCGCAAATGGAAAGCTAGAAGTAAACTTAGAGAACATTCAGGAGCTGCTTCTAAACTGTTATTAATTGAAAGTGATAATTAGTAAACAGTACGTTCAGTGTATAAAATAAATAAAAGGCAGTATTTAAAATTGCCGTGTTTTACCTAATAGATTGCACTTTATCAATCCACGCTAATTATATTATTCCAACAATAATGCTTTCACGGACTTCCGCGGAATTTGCAAGCTCATTTTTTTACTTTCTCGTATATACGAAGTATAGAGAAAGTATTGTAATCGTGCACAAAAATCACTTGAAATTTTAACAATTTTCACCGTATTACACCTCAGTCCTTCATCACATCCGAAGTTTAGAGGACTTATTTTAATCGGGCAAAAATTATCAATCCAGATGTATCAAAATTAAGAGGTTTTGTGTGTAATCCAGTCTGAAAAACTGGGCTTTGCAACTCTGTCCGTATGTCTGTGTGTGTGTGTGTCTGTGTGTCTGTCCGTGTGTAAACACGATTACTTGAGTACCGTTACAGCTAGGTTGATGAAATTTCATATATAAGTAGTTTATCAAAATCGTAGATCCGTATCAACTTTTGAGCGATTTCCGAGAACCGGAAGTGGTACTTTTTCTACTTTGAATTTTTAAAAAGCCTATAACTTGAGTATTATTTCACATAGATAAATGAAATTTCACACATTAGTTAAAGATCTAATTCTCTACCTTCTGTTAAATTTTGAGTAATTTCCATTGACCGGAAGTAGTAATTTACGCTACTTCCGATTTCTCAAAAAACTAATGTAAATTTTTAAAGTACTAATAATATTGCGCACTATTAAACACTCTTTTATTTAGCGTTCACTTGGTGTGCAATTCATTTGTCTACGAGATTTTATTCTATTTTTAAAACTTTAAGTATTTAAAATTGATTAAAAATCATGTCTATAGCCCGAGTTCCCATCCCCTGTTGTTTTTTATAAGAATATTCGAGAAAGTTTAGGGGAGATCACTCCCGGTTTATTATTAGCGTGAATTGAATTTCTTTTTAAACTACCTTCCCCGGCATCATTACTAAACATTTTAATTAATTAATATTTTACACTACTGTTATTAAAATGTATTTGTTTTTTCTAGGAATCTAAGCGAAAATATTATTTGACATTGATCTGTTTAATATGTTTTAGCAATGTGCGGGTAATTAATATTTTTTTAACGTTATGCGAAAAAATAAAAACTATGCCAATTACTATATAAATAAACCCTACTTTTACATTATATAAAGATATTGCGATGCAAGTTAAATGCACGGCATGTGTTGGTATTTACCTTTTTGGTTCCGAAATCTTTAGCGATGACGGAATGACACACTACTACCAGCCTTATATTATAGATTAATTAATTAATTAGATTATTAAATATCTAAACAGAGCCTTTGTCAAACATTGAAGTTTAACACTTCTCTAGGACGGAAAACGTGTTTTAATTTTGTCTTTATGTGTGTCGGTAAACACGATAGCTCGAGTGCCGCTTTAAAATGCGTAGTATCAATTTTTGAGCGATTTCCAGTCATTGAAAATGGTATATACACACACTACTGCTAAAAAATTGCTTGAGTGTCGTTTAAGTTAGGTGGACTAACCTTCACATATATTTAATTAACTTGCATGGGCAGTATGATTTAACATTTGAACGATTTTCGGAAACTGGATATGATACTGTATTTCATTTGAACACTTTAATTAACTTAAGAACCGTTTCAGTCAGGTAGAATACATTTCATTTACAAGTATTTTATAGTTGCATTAGTTTCAATTTTTTTGTCACCTCCGATAACTTAATTGGTATTTTAATATATATTCGATTTTAAAAATACATATAACGTACATACCGTTTCATATAACGGTAATCGAACTTATTATGTTGGTTCTATTAAATTCTGAGTGATTTCCAGAGACTGTAAGTAGTAAGTTACGGTCTGTCTGATTTCTAAAAAAATTAAAATACCACTGGGCCGATATGATTGAGGATCCGTTAAAAATACTAGATTTCATGCCCCAAATTTCACCCAACTTTGATTTTTTTAACGGACACGAAATTTGAAAATTCATAACAAATCAATTCGAACATATGCACTTAAATTTGTTTTAGCTGAATACTCCAACATATAGTAGACGATTATGAATTTATTGTTTATTGGGCTTAAAATATTATACTTTACGAGTGATGGAAATTCTAATAGGATGATATTTTTCAAGATGGCTGCCGTCGTCATTGTTATTAAGATATTTTCCACCAATTTTTTTTTATATTGGAAGCACATATGCGGATGTACCTTTAAAACGCTGAAGAGAAAAAAATGAGTTCTAACGAGCATTACAATTTTTTTTTAATCGGAGCTTACCCCCTTTAATGATTTTCAAAATTGACATCAATTATTAGCTGATGTTTTAGTGCCTTTGAGTTAATTTTAGGTTTGTTCCGCTTGTATACGTAGATGCCGACATCGTTACCGGTCTGACAGCAGAAGGACGCTACACGACATTCCTAGAATTACTCAACACGGCTGGATTCATCTCACGGATCAACGCATGTAAGATGTATTTAAATGCTTAACTTTTAGTATACAGTTTATAAAAAACACATACCGACGTCATGTAAATTATACGTTAAAATAACGTCTGACTGCGACAAAAGTGAAAGCGTCCTCGTCACGTTGTACACAAAACATTGAAACTTCTTCATTTTTCTATCACGATTTGTACTTTTAAAACAACTATTACTAACGGACTTAACATTATTAATATCATATGACGTAATCGTACACTTAGAAAGCGACGTTATTTTTCAATAAAGAAAACACTGTTGTATCATCGTTACGAAATTACAGTAAGAAACACACTGGATTAAATTTCTTTTAATAAAACGCTATTTTTTGGCATTTTAATGTATGGTGACCATCGTCATGTTTTTTCAGCATTTCTCTTCAAATTTGTTATAAAAGTACGCTCCTCACCTCACTATTTTTCATCAATTCTAGCAGTAACCTGACTATTTTCTTTAACTTTGCCATCTCTTCTCACCATTTTCATCACTGTCAACATCTTACCTCACCATCTTCACCAACTTCAGCATCTCAAACCCGCAATTTTCATCACTTTCAGCATCTCACTTCACGGTTTTCGCACCCACCGATGACGCCTTTGCCAAGCTCCCCTCTGACGCACTCGACCAAATAACGAGCGATCCGGCACGTCTGAATGAGGTGGTGGGCTACCACGTGACGTTCAACAGCTTCTACGTGCACGGCACACAAAAAGACGTCATTTTAAAATCCTCGAACAATCTGCCCATCAGGATAAACACCTACAGTTTATTGCATGTAGATATTTTCACATTTTTAAAGTTGATAATTACCTTCTCTGTTGGTGTTTGGTTAACAACATTTACATTTTTTACATTCCTTCTATTTTGGATACAACTGGCTGTATAATACCTTTAAGACAGCCAGGCTCGAGTTATAGCCTTAAGACAGGCATATTGGCTCCAGTAAAGGCCTATAGACAGAGAAAAATAATGGATAATACACTTAAGAAATGCAGACTGGCAAGTGTTATGCCATTAAGCAAAAAGGCTATAATAATGCCATTAAGACAAGCAAATTGGCTTCTGTAATGGCCTTTAGAAACGCAATCTGACTGGAGAACTGTATTTAAGAGAGACAGACCAGCTAGTAATGTGGGACCGAAAAAATATAATGTGCCTTAGTGACGAGTCCTTTTGCAAAACCTGCGGTCAACTTTAGAGATAAAAATAGGTTATTCTTTTAGGCTTCTAAATTTAGTGTCATTCAAAGCAGATTACTAATTTTTTTTTCTAAAATGTATACTATATAATACATTTCGTAACTGTAAAATATCGAAAATGATGAGGTTAGCTAACAAGAAAAAGTCGATTTCCTCAAGATCAGGTGGCAGTGACTAAGAAAGTTTTGCAAGAAGACTCCTCAAGTGTGATTGTGTGAAACACAGGCTTAGTATTAAACAGCCACGCATATTATTTACTTAGCATATAGATACGTTGTTTAGTATCAATAAGAATGTGTGTGATCATATTGAATACGACATACGTTTGTAGTGCTACATTTGGACTTTGACAGACGGTTACAGCAGATGGCGTGAGAATCATAGAGCCCAACATCACATTCACGCGAGGCTACGCGCACGGCCTGGAAGGTCTGCTCACGCCGCCGAAGAAAATCGTCATGCAGTACATCCTGAACAGGACAGACCTCAGCATGTTCACGTCCTGGGTAGTGGACAGCAACCTGATCAACTTCATCACAGGTCAGATCAGTCTTTACGTGTGGAAGAAATCTGAAAACGTAACTTAGATCAAAGAGCCAAAATTCAAATATACTGTAAATAATGGGTAGCCAAGAGAAAAAAAAAACCCACAATATTTAGCAATTAAGTGGCTAACATAGGTTTATAAAAGGTGAGCTAAGATGTGTGGTCAGTTAAAACATCACCTGGTTGTCAATTTAAAAATTCCAGAATTCGATTTTTTCCGGCAGATAAAACTCGTAAACTTTGGACATAAATCCATTTGAAGTTAAAGCTAGAGCTTAATTTTCAATTAAAACAATGGACTTTACTCGACAACATTCGAGAGAATGATTATGATTTATAAGCAACCCATGATTACTTCTTGTAATATTTCGGTACACGCCTGAACGATTAACTGCTATGGACGAAATCATTGTCTTGAGAGGCATAAGTAGCTATAAATAAGGGATGGCTGGTCATAGGATGGTACATTTGAGCCTCTCGAATTTATAACGGCCTTTCATGTCTCTCATTGTTGGATTTCCAACCTTTCTATTAGATATATCAAACATTAATAATAGAATATATTTTACAGCAACAAACACCAATAGCAACTGTATCTTTTAGTTCATGTTTTAAATTTTTATTGATCAGATGATGATGACGTGACTGTCTTTGTACCAAACAACGCCGCCTTTCAAAAACTTAGCGCCGAGACACACACCTACCTTAACAACCATCCCTCCGTTATTCAAGGTAACACTGTTGGAATAATTGACAAAATCCAAAATTTAATATTCTACTATTGTCTGATAAAATATTGTGGTTAGCATAAGTAGTCGTCAGTTTAAACACAAGGCTTTCATACACAGTTTTGTCTAATCTAAATTGATACAAATTGAAAAGATAGAAAAAAAAGGGCAACATCCCCTGGAGAAAGAAAAAGTAATAAAAATAAAAAAATAAAAACACAAATAAAACAAAACAAAAAAAAATCCATTTTAAAATAATTAAATGCCAAACAGAGGTCTATAAAGAATATAGGTCCCGGCGAATGTGATGCTGCCTTCTTGAGCAAAATACAGTAAAATACGATGTTGTTTCCACAGAAATTTTGAAGTACCATATCGTAAGCACGATGACCGTATTCAGCGCAGGTATGAAGAATTCTATGACCTTGACCTCAGCCGATGCCCACCACGATGAGCTAATGGTTCTTGAAGATTCACGTGCGTGATGTTCTTATACACCCCCACCCCTCTTTCCTTCTAAGACACGCTCACTGCCACAAATGACATTCAATGTTGGTCAATAAGACGATCATGTACATCTCTGTACCCAGTTTTACAAATGTTGGGGTATCTATGTCTAATCCAATGTTAACAATATTGAAAACGTGCAGTTTTTTTTTCTCAAACTAGTAATAACATTTTGGAGTCAACAAAATCTTATGATCATTTTATCAACAAACATTATGACGAGTCCACAACTATCCGTACCTACCAAGAGCGGCGTCATTGGCATTCAAGCATGCTTTTTATCTGAGTTGTCATCTGACCATCAATTGTATCCAACTTACTTTTCTCTTTCCTTAAGGGATTCCTATTTATAGCGCGTCTGGTGTTATTATATCCTTAGTTACACAAAGGCTGTCAAATGCATCCACTTTGAAATTTGTAAATCATCCATACATATAATCAAAACATACTCTATCATTCAGAATGCTCATTGTACGCGCACAAACAAACACACACACGCTTATATATATATATACAGTGGCGTAGCCAGGATCGTCTCAAGGGGGGGGGGGTTCCAATTTTTACCCGGGGACAAACTTTCGATTTGCACCCCCCCCCCCTCAAACTTTCGATTTGCACCCCCCTCAAACTTTCGATTTGCACCCCCCCCCTCAAACTTTCGATTTGCACCCCCCCCCCCCTCAAACTTTCGATTTGCACCCCCCCCTCATACTTTTTATATATACCGACGGGTCTATGGGGGGGGGGGGGGGGTTATGACCCCCCCTAACCCCCCCTGCCTACGCCACTGTATATATATATATATATATATATATATATATATATATATATATATATATATGTCTTTTTTATTATTAACAAGTCTAAAATCATTCTAAAATTTAAAAAAAATATTCTCCAGAGGGCGGACTTCAGGTGAACCACGCCAAGATCGTGGAGAAGGATATAGCGACGCTTGATGGTGTCATCCATATCATCGATAGTGTCTTGATCCCTTACCGGACGCTGGTCAGCATTGCTGATCAGGGCATTGTTGTTGGGTAGTTGTAAAGGATCTATGTTTTATTTGACAAGTCCGATGTTTTTATGTGCACAGTGTCAATGTTCTCAAATTGAAAAATAAAATAAAACTTGTTTTACGGAAAACTCCTTTTAATATATACCATGTTTTACAGTTTTGGAATTTAATTAGGTACATTTTTATGTTGTTATGCTGTACATGTTACAATAATATTATTGTTTTGGAAACACATGTATTAAAGTACTGACTTAAGAATTGTGACATTTTACATAAGTTGTGACATTGACTAAAGACTGAAATTTGTAAACGACCTGGGGTATTGATAAGAGACGTGTGGTAATTTTAGACAAACTTGGATACTGATTTAAGAATTCTAACATTTTTATAGGAGATGGAGATATTGATATAAGATTTCTGACGTTTTTACTTGAGCTGGAATATGGATTAAAGACTTCTGGCATTTTTGTATAAGCTGGGATATTGATTACAACTTCTGACATTTATAAATGTTTAAGAATATGAGGCGGACATCAATGGAAAACTTGATAAGAAATGGTTTTATTAAAACATATTATGCATGAGACATTACGTGTATGCTAAGGTAAAAGCTCGTGATATTGAAAACAGAAAAAAAAACTCTTATTTTAGGGAACGTACAAAACATGGTGTCATTATAAGAACTTTATACTCCCGTTACAGCTTATCAGTAACGTTAACATAAATTTTAGTAGAAGGATAATCTTTTTTAAAGCGCTCAACAATACTAGAGCAGAGTGTTGTGTATAAAAACCGATTAACATGTTTAAAATTTGTTAAATATTTCTTTTAATGCAATTAGATAGGGAAATTATTCTCGATGTAGACATGTGTACTTATTTTACCTAATTCAATGCTACTATGTTTGAGAGTAAAAGTTAGCCCAATATTTAAATGAAATACTTATCATCCAACTGTTAACCTACATGAACTACATGTAATGTGTTCTGATTTAATCTTATTTTCCAACAGCAGGCTATTTTCAATTGATTATTCTATGACTTTTTTTTCTTCAAAAGATAGGAAAATTAACAACAATCACATTTCGAAATGCTTAATTGTTTTATTCACACGAAATCTTACATAGTTAGATTTTTCTTTTTTCTTTCTAAACTCTATTTTCCGCATTTAATCTTTAGCTGCTAAATTGCTATAGGCATATACTATATTTTAAAAATGTCAATAAATTCCATTGAAAATTATGATTGTACATACATTACGAACTATAATAACAATTTTAGATATTAGATAACATTATATAAAGTTTTTAATCGCAAATTTAAATTATGATAGTATAATTGGGTGCTTGTTTGTTCGGTCGATCACTGCTCTTCAGTCAAGGGTTTTAAAGCACATGTCCACTATTTATGTTGTGTAGATCCTATCAGTAGGGTCAAAACATTTTGTCAGGATAGAACACTTGTTCTCAAAATGCCATTAAGGGGTCATCCATAAATGACGTCACGCTTTTTTTGACGATTTTTACCTCCCCCCCTCCCCTCCGTCACACGTCGTCACAAAAAGCCAGACCCCCCCCCCCCCTAAAATGACGTCACACCTCAACCTACAACCCCCTTCAAAATTGCAGTTGAATTTTTTTTAAACATCGATATTTTTCCAAAATCTTGTCTAAACTATTACAATTTATTAAAACAGTTATCTAAAACGCGAAATAACGTCTAAAATTCGTTTTCTAACATTGCTTTTTTATAATGCAAAAATGTGACGTCGCAACAGCTGCCCCCCCTCCCCCTCGTCACACATCGTCACAAAATTACGGACCCCCCCTCCGCCCTACGAGTGTGACGTCATTTATGGATGACCCCTAACATGAACATAAATTTTATGTGTTCTGAGCATAGCACGATTTCGAATAAGTTATTCCTTTTTTTGGAATGATTGAGCTTCTAATTTTAGATGCTGATTATTTCTAATTCAAATTTGTATAACATCTATGAGTCCACCCAGCTATAGAGGGTACCTAACTCACGTTAGGGAAAGTTAAGGCAATTAGGCATAGTGCTGACCACACTATCCCTTCATATGCAGAGGTCACAAACAAGTGAACTCTACTATACTTGCCCCATAGACCACAAGGTTTGATAGGGGACTTTACTTTTACTGACTTTTAATTATAGCCTACTTCCTAATTGTAAAAATGTATATTTTTTACAGTAAGAAACGAAAAAATAGGCATTAACCTTCAATAAATCATAGTACATTTAATGAATGACTACATTTAATGCAACTCTAAACTGTTGGATTCCTAGTAGTTTTTGACCCCAATCAGTTCTAAAGAATAGTAGATTAACAAACTATTGTCTAGCGAAATGGAAACCAAGACCGAATCTTCATGATGAGATAAAACTTATCGAGCATGTTTTTAGATAGTGGTTCTTAACTTAAGTTAAAACACAGCGTCCTATTCAATAGATAAGACGACAATTGAAAAAAAAATGAAGTTTAAATTAAAGGAAAACATTCGGACTTGACAGAGTCCACAGATAAGTATGTACATTAATTTTCTGCACCATTTTTTATTTCCTAAACTTTTTTCACACGTGAGTCATCGTATTATCTTTTTCACAGGAGTTTTTTTTTAACGTTAAACTGTAACTAATTTTAGGTTTCTGTTTTTCACCGGTTTACTTATGAAGTAAAGTATTTTTTCAGGTATTGAATTAAAATAACACTTGTTTTAGAGTAAGTAAACGTTATATGTTTGCTGTGTTTAGTAGCCAGGAGAAAGATGTTGAAAGCTTTTGCTGTTGTTGTTTTTGTCGTGGCCTGTGCTCATGCACAAATAACCACAACTCACGCGCCAGGTAAGTTTAGTTTTTTTAGCTTACCTTTCTTAGGAATACGTACATTTTAAATTTCACAAAAACGTGTTTTTCAGGATTATGCGTATTTTAAAGATTCATTTTTCAGTTATATCAATGTCTATTTAAAATATGTTTTAGGCGTTATTAGTCTCTCACTATTACATATTGTATCTATACATCATCGTCTACATCTTGTAGTTACTGAACAATTTAAAAATAAATCATTGGAACGCCTTTACGTAGCTACTATACTACCATTATATGTATTCAGTGGCGTAACGAGGGGGGGTGCGGACCGCACCGGGTGACACCATTTAGGGGGGTGACACCAAGGCAAAAAATAGCAAAATATATAGAGAAAAAGGATAATTCCACTTAATTAAGTGATTAGTTTGAGTGTTAAATAGTCATTTAAGAGCAAATTTGACAAATCCCGACAAGGATGGAGGGGGGGTGCAAATAGATATTTTGAGGGGGGGGGGGGGTGCAAATCCAAAATTGAAAGATTGATCCAGAGAGCGCGCCAAATTGAAAGTTTGTCGGGAAGGGTCGCTACGCCTCTGGGAGGTTGACACCATTAAGTGCCGCACCGAGTGACACCCGACCTCGCTACGCCACTGTATGTATTTCAACTCATGTGTAGCAGTGGCTGTGTGTTATTGACTGATTACAAACGTTTATTTCTTCATATAGTGCTGCAGCTAGTTGATGCCTTGACAGCCAATGGACAGTTCACCATCTTCTTGGACCTTCTGGCAATGACAGACCTTGTGCAACGAATCAATCAAAGTATCAAAGCCCTTATAGACCTCTAACCGCGTACTAATTTCAAAACTACACCAGCAACAACGTCACACACACGTTAGTTTTAACACTGTACAATGATGGTATTGTCGAAACTAAACAGTGACATTGATTTTAAAACGAACACCCGGTTATTTATTTCAGGCAGTAGGCGTTGTCGGGTCGGTTAAGCTCATGGTTGTTGAACATAAAGTCTTTATTTCAAAGCCCCGTGCAGATGAAACTCGTTAGCTAGGGACAACTCAACTAGGAGAGACAAAATCCAAAATCAAACAACTGCTGCCTTGTTTTTGGTTGGAAAAAGACTATGGAAGAAAATTAAGAAAGAAAAGCAGGCTGAAATTTAAATCAACGGTCTATAAGGCGAGTAATACGTAGACAAGTAATACTTAATTTTGTTGGAGGGAATACCTCTTAACACCAGGATTAAGAATGAAAAAGAAGAGTTCAGACTACGCTCTGATAAAACGAGACTTGCTCAGTGATTTAACAAACCATACACTGACGAGAATTTCAAAAATTATTGCACTGGACACCTTTTTCAAATCCAACAATATTGGGGAAAAACAAACAAAAAAAAAACACATCGGGAGTCGTTTTAATTCCTGTTTTAACACTATTTCATTGATGGTTTTATGTCTGCGTATTGTGCTAGATGAAAAAACAATGGTTTGGGTAATTGTCCCACGTGTGTCCGGTATTCAGGTACTCACTTCGCCGTGTTCGCCCCCACGGACACCGCCTTCAACAGACTCCCCGCGGGCAGTGTTGACGCCCTGAAGGCCGACAAGGCTCAGCTCGAGTCCGTCATTGGCTACCACGTTGTCCTCAGCACCAGCTACCATGTGCAGGGGTCCCAGCAGGACCAGACCATCAAGTCCTCCAACAACCTGCCCATCAGGATCAACACCTACAGCCTCCGGCACGTGAGTCTAATGAAAGCTCAGGGCGTGGATATTGAACAAAACCTGCCTTCTGATTCGTACGTTAGACGTATATGTCAGAATTATTTTAGCATGAGCTTGCAATATTGAAAACAAGTAAAAAATATGTCTCTAGGTTTCGGTGAGGATGTACTAAATGTAAATCTCTTTACATTAATCGGCCTTACATTGTTCGGTAAGGCCCCCTTCATGTGCTTTTGTTTATATTAAACATTATTATTGCCTTTTGTGGCGTACAACTACACAGCTAGAGTCCATTGTAATAGTGTTAGAGCCAACAAGCATACACTCTAAGGTAAAGTCGACACATCGACTCAAAGAAACAGATAAACAGATGTAATCAATATATATATATATATATATATATATATATATATATATATATATATATATATATATATATATATATATATATATATATATATATATATATATATATATATATATATATATATATATATATATATATATATATATATATATATATATATATATATATATATATATACATACATACATATTTATGCTCGATGATTATGTAATATTCTAGACATGTTTTGCTTTATAATTTTTATTCTCTACCTATTGTTCATCTTTTTACCTATCCTTACATCTAGGCGAACACAGTGGAGGGAGTAAACATCACGATAAAAAATATCCGTGTCTACCACGGCTACGCCCATGGCATCGACGGCATCATGACGCCGCCCCTGGGAAATGTGGTGGACATCGGTGCTAACAGATCCGACTTCTCAATGTTTGAGTCGCTGGTCACAAAAGCAAACCTGGCTAGTTTCTTCACAAGTGAGTTATAGATGTGGCGTTACACTGGGGAACCAAGGGGTGGCAAGTATGGAAGACGATATATTGTTGTCGCTTAGCCACCACCCGAAGAATTGCATTAAAGAAATTGCAAGAAAACCACTTTTTAGATTAGACACATTAATTAGGCGGTAATTTTATTATAGAGTATCGATGAAGAAATTTCTTTTGAGTTGGGGAGGGGGGGGGCTCAGACGTTCTTACGCGGGGGGTGGGGCTTCGCCCTTACCCGAAGAATTGTATGAAAGAAACTCTTCACGCAAACCACTTAGATTAGACCAAATTGCCTTTGTATTGAATGTTTACTCGATAATCAATGACGTCATATTAATGTGTGCACTATCCGGCTTGAGATTATTTTCTACTCTGTGCTAAATGTGTCGACGTCATACTTCGTTTTTCGAATTACTATGCATGTTTTTATTTTGCTTGTGTTTTCTCTACAGCGTTCTTGTCAGATAGATAGATAGATAGACAGACAGCGAAACTATTAATATAGATTCAGAAATCATTTTTTAACATTCAGCTTAGAAATACACTATTTAAAAAGTTAGTTAAAAATCGCGCCACGTTATCAATATTCTTAATTGTTTCTTTAATATATTTTTTTATATTTGTAAGTCAAACATCACGTAACAGAGCATGTATCAATATTTAGTTAACACATACGACTTACAAGAGCACCACTTGATATTTACTTCTCACATAAGACTGAACAAAGCACAAATATATATATACGAGAAAAATGGCCCGTTGAGGAAGGGTACAACGGGCGCTAGGCTGATAGTGCTGTCTCTTTTCTCTAAACTAAAACCAACCCCCCCCCCCACACACACACACCACCCCCCCCCCCCCAACCCCACCCCCACCCCCCAAAAAAAACATGTCTAACGTCCCATTCAACGAAATATAATTATATACTTTTTCCAGTGTCCGCCCCCTCCCCGAAAATTCTACACCCGCCCCCGAAAATTTCAAGTACCCCCACCCCTCTCCGGGGAGGAAAAAGTCTAAATTAAAACCACCCCCCCCCCCACTCACTCCCCACCCCCCCCCCCACACACACACACCACCCCCCCCCCCCACCCCCCCCCCCCTCTAAAAAAACATGTCTACCGTCCCATTCAACGAAATATAATTATATACTTTTTCCAGTGTCCGCCCCCTCCCAGAAAATTCTACACCCGCCCCCGAAAATTTCAAGTACTCCCACCCCTCTCCGGAGAGGAAAAAGTCTGAAAGAAACACTGGTGTCGCGCTTAGCCACTACCCGAAGAATTGCATTAAAGAAATTGCAAGAAAACCACTTTTTAGATTAGACACATTAATTAGGCGGTAATTTTATTATAGAGTATCGATGAAGAAATTTCATTTGAGTTGGGGAGGGGGGGGGCTCAGACGTTCTTACGCGGGGGGTGCGGCTTCGCCCCTACCCGAAGAATTGTATGCAAGAAACTCTTCACGCAAACCATTCAGATTAGACAAAATTTCCTTTTTTTTTCAATGTTTACTCGAGAATCAATGACGTCATATGACTGTGTGCACACTGTGTGCTTGAGATTATTTTCTACTCTATGCTAAATGTGACCGCGTCATACTTCGTTTTTTCGGATTACTGTGCATGTTTTTATTTTGCTTGTGTTTTCTCTAGAGCGTTCTTGTCAGATAGAGCGTTCTTGTCATGTTTTCTCTAGAGCGTTCTTGTCAGATAGATAGATACATACATACACAGACAGCGAAACTATTATTATATATATATATATATATATATATATATATATATATATATATATATATATATATATATATATATTTAAAAAAAAATATATATATATATATATATATATATATATATATATATATATATATATATATATATATTTATATATATATATATATATATATATATATACGTGTTTTTCCTTAGATGATCATTCAACAACATTCTTCGTCCCTAACAACGACGCCTTCGCCAAGCTTAGCAGTGAAACATTGGAGTACCTCAACACCCATGTCACTGCCTTAACAGGTCTGATACTTCATACAGTCTTACGTTTACTGGATAGTTGTGTTTGATACACTTGTTTACTTGTTGTTGTAATACAGCCATAGTTTTATTTTTAAATATAAACGCCCTGTTCACATGTAAAAAGTATTTAAGATTTGTTGTTCAATAAGGTAATTTTATATCAGGTTTTATTAGGTAATGTATGTTTAAATTATAGGTTTCTTCTTTTTTGTTTTTATATGTAATATTGTTAGGCATTTCTCCCAAACAATCAAGTATTATGTGTCAATATGGTATGTTGGCGACTTCATCCTATTTTATTGCTGGATTTGCCTGTGCCCACCCCAAAAAATCAGCATGGTAGCAACAGTTACATTTAGAGAGTTTTTCATTCCTTGATGGGTTGCTGTCTAAATGCAGTAAATTACAGATGTTTGTTAACTTTCAAACTAATCATGCTGTTTTTTTAATTTTATCCAAACATTTACAGGAACATTTTTAGATACTATATTGAAAAATCAAATTTGTAACAGATGAGATTATTATTTTAAGTACTGCCTATGATCGATGAATGTGTGAAGCTGTGCTTTTCACATTGCACGTAAAATGAGGCTGATTTTCATTATTAAATGGCTTGTCAAAAAGTTTAATTGTATTGACCCCATCACAGAAATATTGAGGCTGATTTTGGTTGTTGAATAATGACTTGGCTTAAATATTTCAGAGGTTCTCAAATATCACATGGTCAAAGAGTACTCACTCTACAGTGTCGGTATGACGCACACGATGACCGTTGATTCTGCAGACCAGCATCACGACACCCTTATGATTCTAGAGGATGGCAGTGAGTAAAGTGTTTCCTGTGTAGTGCTGACACGAATGCAAACAATGCACCGATCCCTACCTTATTTTTACAAAATTAGTTTGTTTTGTTAGTTAAAATGGAATAGTAGTAAAATATGAATGTAATGAACGTTTATTAAACATTTGATACTATCTAAATCAAACCTAAGTAAAAACATCCTCAGAAGAAACTAGAATGAAACATTTGTTTAATCTTAATTTAATTTGAAGTTTATCGTTTAAATGTGCTTATGATGTACACGTCATTTACTTTTCTTATATTTAAAAAAAAATAATATTTTGTGTTTTTCTGAGGCGCAGAGTAATTCTCATTTTACTTGCACTGTGTTAACTATTGTCCACAATACAAAAGTTTCCATACTTGTTGGTGTAATTACCAAAATTGCATTTCCAGCAATACTATATTATCAAACCAAAAGCTCATTATCGTTGATTATAAAATCCTTAAACTCCCTCCAATAAATATCTTACCCCCGGAAAAAATGATAAGTAAATAATATATTTCATCTAAGTTCTATTTTGTGGTGGTAAACACATAATGATTTTGTTTTTGCTTTATTTCCCAGGTGGCAACATATTTGTCAACCATGCGAAGATAATCGAGAAGGACATCAGTTCAATTAACGGGGTCATCCATGTTGTCGATACCGTACTTGTTCCAATACGTGTGCAGGTTCAGATCGAAGATGAAGGTATCATCGTAGGTTAAATGCTAAAATGCCAGTTGTGCTAATATAATAATTTTAAATTTATGCGTTTAAATCTGTGTAAAGCATACTTGACTCACTGCAAATGTATTTGTATTACTTGTTCTGTTTTGTTCATCGTCTAATCATAAAGACAACTATGATTTTTGTAAAATAATTAGCTTAATCAGTTAAATATGGGACAGCGTGATGATGTATACTTTTGTTTAAAGGAAAAACCACATTATTTATTACAAAGGCGAGAGGTCGCTCCCACACCGTATTTCGCATCCCCACCCCCAACACACATGCACTTTAGAGCCTATATTTAAGTAGGAAGTAGAACCCGGTCTAAGTATAAAAAATACTGTATGGTAAACGCTAAGCTCTCCATCTTTGTCGGAGTTCGCTTGGTTTAAGACTGTTGTATGAGACTAAAGGAAAACAAGGTTTATGAATTATACGACATATATCCCAAATTGTTTTTTACAATAAATAAACTAAACAGATAAGCTCTGCTTAACTGTTCAGTAATTAACAAGTTATTTTAAAGCCAACCAAAATTAGATATACCGAAACATTTTGTTTATGAACCTTAACAGCCGGGTAATCTTTTTTACATTTCAATTCGAGGTCGTTAAGTCTGGTGGTATTCGTTGAGATTGTGAGTAAAACAAACATGTGCAAACGTTATATAAGATGACCAGAAAGATGCGCTACGGAAAAACGCGCAACGGATAAAGCGCTACGTAAAAAAGCGCAAACAAAAAATGCGCACACAAAAAAATGCGCAAAGAGAAATTTTAGCACAAAAATCTATATGGACTAGATGACACATTTATACATGATTTTTAGGGCTGCTGTGAGAGGGTCGTGTTTGATCACGTGAGATACTACCATTTTAAAAAATACCAATTTTCATATCACAACGATACCGTCGATAATCGCTTTACACAATGCCTATTATTTTCTTGTTCAATATTTATTCAACTACTATTCTCGTTTAGATAAACATAAAACTATCCTTGATGTTGGCCTTACACGAAGTATCTCTTACATTCTCCCTAGTCTCTATCCTTAGCTTGTATACCATAACAACCCGTTCCTATCGCAAAACTTCACTCTCTTTCATCCACGTCATCGAACATGAATTAGCTATATCTCTTGCACCAACATTCATTCGCACTAAAATACCCTTATAAAGCACACATCATAATGATGTATTTAATATTATATTCCGCCATGATGCACCTACCTACCTACCTACCTACCTACCTACCTACCTGCCTGCCTGCCTGCCTGCCTGCCTGCCTGCCTGCCTGCCTGCCTGCCTGCCTGCCTGCCTGCCTGCCTGCCTGCCTACCTACCTACCTACCTACCTACCTACCTACCTACCTACCTACCTACCTACCTACCTACCTACATACCTACCTACCTACCTTACTACATACCTACCTACCTACATACCTATCTACCTACCTACCTAACTACCTCAAATATATATAAATGCTAGGCATACTGCCTAGCTTCGCCTATGTTTTAAAAAAAAATGAGAGTTTGAATGCTTAATTAGTTAGTGATTGGCTGATATGGAAAGCTTAAGATTAAACAGTAATAGTAATTTCAGAGAACTGCTTGAATGTTCGAAATTTAATACTAAAAACGTAATTAGAACAATTTACTACAAAGGTTCGCTGAATAGTATAACTCATACATTATTTTATGTTCACTTTTAAAATTAACTACAATTTAAATAGGATACATACTTTAATACTTAACAAAAATTATACTCAAATGAATGCTATACTTCCTGATTGTCTGTTTGTGTTTAAAATAGTATAAAATTATTTGAAAATATTTATTTTTAAAAGTTACCTCCCTTGTAAATTGACCGAATGAGGTAGTCTTTGTTTACTTTCTTTTCACAAACAGTTGCTATGCTTATAAAAGAAAATACGGCAACTGCTCATATTTAGCGACCATAATGTTTTTTTCCGACTGGAATAAAGTTTTTTTGTTACCCTCAAGGGTCGGTCTATGACCTCACGAAATATCAATGAGAGCGTTCGGCAATTATATATATATATATATATATATATATATATATATATATATATAGCTGATGTAAGAAGAATCTCACTCGTGGTTACTTTTTAGCTCTCGCCTTGCGAGCAGAGGCTGGCCGATAGATTATCCATAAGGCCGATTCATTTACTCAGCACTTTGCAAAAAATTAGCTAGATGTACAGAGCCAAAGTTGCAAAACATGTTTTTAAATTTACTGGTCGGTAGGTGGGTTAGTGGGTAGGTTGGTTAGGAGGTAGGTTATTAGGTGGGTGCGTGGGCAGATGGGTGAATGAGTAGTTAGGTAGGTGGTTGGGTGTTTGATTATGCACATTTCCATTTTGCTGGCTTAATAATACTATTAGAAAACTCGAACTTTAAAATTGGTTTGGATTATGGTTAGTTTATTGAGCCAATTAGGTTCTACATTAAATAGTTAACCAGTTTAATAATGTCGAAGCCAATGGAGTCAATCTAAGTCAAAGCCTGATTTTATAATAAAACTTTCTCTCTTGGTTTCTTTATAAAAAGGTTATGGAAGGTTTTTGAAAGTTTTTTCTGAAATGTTTACCGCACGAATGCAAAAGGATATCAACTACCATAGATCTTGTTATATAGGCTACATGCTGCCCATTATGCTGTTCAGTACATGCTTTGGTTGGGTGACACTAACCTTGTCATGTTTAAACAAATGTAATTGTGTTAGTTCGAATTGAGTTTTCATACAAGCCCAAAGCACTAATTAAGGATGTCGCAAGAAATGTAACATATGTCAATGAATTATATTTTTTCTGTCTGCACATTTATTTATTTGCGCTTTTTTCTGGCTGCGCATTTTTCTGTTAGCACTTTTTTTTCTGTGTGCGCTTTTTTCTGTTTGCGATTTTTTTCTGTTTGCACTATTTTCTGTTTGCGTTTTTTTTCTGTGTTTGCTGTTTTCTGTTTGCGCTTTTTTCTGTTTGCGCTTTTTCCGTTGCGCAATTTTTTGCGCTTTTTTTCGTTGCACTTTTTTTGTTGCGCATTTTTCTGGGAACCATTTAATTGACTCTTCGTTTTTTTATGAATCACTAGCAGCGTTTTCTTCAATACTCAGCTGATGGTACACTTGCCAAGCCAACTTACCAATCAACGAGATTTATAGAGAAAAAAGAAACTAACATATTTTACTCAAAAATGAGCATTTTATTGTCTCAAAATTGTGTCAGTGGCCCTTGGTACAGGCTACCCCAAAACAATACCGCTGGTTTCCATAGCAATCAGCACCCTAGGTGGGAGCAGTACGTGATCGATGACGTGAAAAACGCCAGTCTCAGAACTGATATCGATCTGGATCAGTTGAGCGTGTTCAATAGAAAAATCTCCATCTGAAAAAAGAAATGAAACTTACTGTTTGCTTGAAAAAGATATGATCTTCTTCTCATTTAAACGGCCATTACTACCTGCTCGTGCTATTGCTCATTGTCCAGGCAAATTCTAACAGGATCAAAAAGGCTTTTGCTTTCTCACTCAGCGCATTGCATTACCTAATAAACATGAGGGGCTTTTGGGTCAGTGCGCGGCTACCTGTGGCGACGAACCCACCACTATATCAACCCTTTCAGAAATGAAATGCCATTAATTGACTGCACGATGAATGACCGTTTCATAAGAACGGTGTAATTAACAAAGGGTGTAAGGATGAATGTTTTATCCTAGAACCCGAATTATGACTATACATCTAGCAAGTGAACGCTGAGGGTGGACATTGTGTACTAACTTCCGTCCTGAAGGATCATTAGTTGATCATGGTGTACGTTAGCCGAGGGGATTGTCAGCTTATTTCTCATACCGATGCTGTACAGGGTGCTGGCCTTGCTCATGTGGTATTTGAGAACCTCTGAAGGTTAAAAAAAAGAGGGATTTCTTGAAATATTTGCGGACCACTTTGGATTAAAAGAAACCAAAACGATGTTGGTTCAGTGTATGAAGACCTCTGATATTATTACAAGAAAAAAATATACAATGATTGATGTGGTATTTGATGACCTGTGATGGTTAACAAAGAAAAACAACTGATGAAGATGATGTGGTATACGATGACTATTGGGTGTTAAAAGAAAAAAACGAAACGCTTGAAAGGTAGAGCCTCCTCTTCAATAACAATTATTATGTTGTCTTCACATATTTTTTTCAAAACAAATGCATTAAAACATTTTATGGCACGAAGCTAACTGTTGAAAACAATAAAGACATGTAAAAAAATTTGTAAAATAAAATATTAAACTTAACGTGCTTAAATAATTGTTTATGTAAAATCGTTAAACGAAGCAATATGAAACACTACAATTATTTTACCTATATTATCATATTACTATATTATCTTATTTAAAATACATTTTTTTTAATTGAGGAACGAATCAAATGCGTCCGTCTATTTTTCTCAGTCTACTTGTGATTGAAACAGATAGCTAATAATGATACATGTATTTGCTTATTGGTTTTGTTTCCTGTTTTTGAATTGGATTGCATTTTTAAAAGTTCCTTTTTTGAACCTGACCGTCCATGGTGCAAGTGAAGTAGAGTTCACATGTTTCTGTGACCTCGGCATATTAAGAGATAGTGTGGTCAGCACTATGCCCAACCGCCTTTACCTTTCCTAACATGTGCTAGGTACCCATCAGAGCTGGGTGGACTCAGGGACGTTCTACTGACTTGATTCCATCACGAGGCTTTTGGGTTAGCAGACTAGCGCTCTAGCTATGCCACGCTGTCCCTTATTGCATAAGTCGTGTAAAAATTAATTGTATAAATGTATTTTCTACTTTTAATGCAACGTTAATAAAATACACTACTTCGCGTTATTAATTGCATGTATGAATTGTCAAAAACGTTCCCATTTTAATTCTGAATTTAAACCCAATACACTACTAATGCGCGACTATCTACTTGTATACATTTTCAAAACATTTCAATTCTCAATGTAAAACAAATATACTACTAAATACTGCTACTAAGTCGGCTAATTGGCACTTAATTTACCTGTAAGATCAGCTGAGTGAGTATTCAGGTACTCCATCACGTGGGGGCTCAGCTTAGCCCAGGCGTCGTTGTTGGGTAGAAAGATGGTGCTGGTTGTATCCGCTGGGGACAGTGTTTAGCAATTGTTTAGTAGACATTGATGTGTAATGGTACAGTGTGGCTTTAGTTTAGTTGACATGGATGTTTAATGGTACAGTGTGTAGCTTTAGTTTAGTAGACATAATAAAATGAATACGAATTTTAATTGTGGATTAAAGATTATTTTATATGCTTGATTCTCTATACTCACACCGCTTGAAATCAATCCGTATCCGTTTTTTTTTATTTTTTGTAAAAATGTATTGCTATATTTGTCATAAAAAATTGTATCAACAGTAAATTTTAGTGTTAAAGAATTTTCTCACACTTAAAAAAATCTTGCAAATTTTCCTGAATAATGAGATTATCGAATTTCGTGAGATCAGGCCTAGTGGTTAGGTACTGAGGAAGGATGGGCACCGGTGCCTTCATTATGCCATCTATGATATGAACATGCCCGTGAACGACCTCTTGATTCATTGTGGTAACGTTAACGCCCTGTGCCGTGTTGATCTGCCGAGTTTACAAATTTATTTTTAAAAAAAATTAATTTGACTAAATATTTCTCAATTAATACTTAACAATATATTACAGAAGGGTAAAATGGTGGCTTCAAAAGGCAGCGAAAAACGAGCTACAATGTTATTGTCACATTTGTAAGTAAATAAAAAATATATAGTTGAATATGTATTGATAAATCGTTTAAAACAATCGTGTTATAATTTTCCTAAATTTTCTTAATTAAAAAAAAATTAAAATATATATATATATATATATATATATATATATATATATATATATATATATATATATATATATATATATATATATATACTAGCTGCATACCCGTGCCTCGCCACGGTAAATCTTTTTTTATGTACCAACTTGGGAACAGAACAAAACTAAACACAACAAAAACACAACACAAATACAACACAAAAACAACACAACACAATCAAAAAACAAAACACAAATACAAAAGAAAACACAAACACAAAGAAAACACAAACGCAACACGAACACAAAATAAAACACGAACACAACACAAACACAAAAGAAAACACAAACACAATGCAAACAAACACAATGCAAACACAAACACAAACACAAACGCAACACACAAACACAAACACAACAGAAAAAACAAACGCAACACAAATACAAATGAAAACACAAACACAATGCAAACTCAAATGCAAACGCAAAAAAAGACACAATCGAAAAAACAAACACAACACTCATAACATAAACACAACTTAAATGCAAACATAACAGCATAATGCAGACAGTCTAGCCCGTGTCGCCAAATGGCACCTTTTATAGTCATTCAGTGAATGACTATATAACCCCCAGCTGGTCCGCTAACAGTAAACAGTACGTTCAGTGTACAAAATAATTAAAAGGAAGCATTTAAAATATCCGTGTTTTACCTACTATATTGCACGTTAACAATTCATTCATTTTTTTCAGTAATTAAAAAAAAATTACAATAGAGTATCATGACATTGTGCACCTAATGAACGTGATGACGCGAGTATAATAGTGCGAAATAGTTGATTATAAATTATAATTAGTAAACATAACGTTCAGTAAATAAATAAAGAAAAGATAGCCTTTTACCAATCCATGCTAATTATAATATTCCAACAACAATGTTCTCTTAAACGACTGCAGAATTTACATTCACATTTTGCTAATTATATTATTATATTACTCCAACAATAATTCCCTCTTGGAGATTTTGCATTCACATTTTTAGATTAATTTTTACTAAATTACCTCCCTTGGCAAAATTACAAAACAGTTTAATTAATTAGTTTTTTTACCCTACTGTTATTTAAATGTTACCACTTTTTCTAGGTATATAAACAAAAATAACATTTGACTTTGATCCGTTTAATATGTTTTAGCAATTTAGCAATGTATCTGTCAAGAACGATTTTACTATAGGGAAAACAAAAGCAGAGTAAAAACATGTATAGTAATTCGAAAAACGAAAAGTGACGTCAAATGGAGCAAATAGTAAGAAATAGCCTCAAGCCGGGAAAGTACACACAATAATATGACGTCATTAATTCTCGAGTAAACAATGAATTAAAAAGCTGCCCCCCCCCCCCATCAAAAGAAATGACGTCATCGATAATCTATAATAAAAAGACTGACATTACGGCCTAATTAATGTGTTTAATCTTAAAAGTGTGCACATATTCTTTTATGCATCTCTTCGGGTAGGGGCTAAGCCCCTATCCCCTCACTGGTGGAAAGCCTTACCCCCTCCTAAACGAAATGTAATTTATATAGAATATATTTACTTTTACCAGTGTCGGCCTCCCCCGCCCCGGAGAAGTGTATTCAAGTGCCCCACCACCGAAAAAAGGTTTAAAAGAAACACTGTCTGCGTGAGCGAGGTTTATCGACCAAAAGTAGTAAATATTCTGGGTTTCGGATGGACTAAATTTTCTGGGAGGGTTTGGATCCTGGTAAAAGTATATATTTTATACACTTTCTTTTTCGTTGAAGGGGATTCGCTTCGGGGTGGGTGGTGGGGGGGGGGGGGGGCGGGAAGGTAGAAGGTTAAGGTGGTGATTTTAGTTTTGGTTTTGAGAAAAATACATTTATCAACCTAGCGCCCGATTTATCTCTCCCTTAACGGGCCATTTATCTCGTATATATATATATATATATATATATATATATATATATATATATATATATATATATATATATATATATGTATATATATATATATATATATATATATATATATATATATATATATACAAAGGCTATGGAAGCAAATCCAAAAAGAAAAGCAGGCTGAAACCGGAGTCAATGGCCTCAATGGCGCATAACCAGTTGACACGTAACGCTTAATTGTGTTGGAGGCGTGGTCGAGTCGGCAAAAAGCTCATGGCTGATAAATTCGAACAAAGTCTCGAGTTCAAACCCACTGGCAGATAAATCTCGCTTCCCTTCAACACTAATAATTAAGAACGAAGAAGAAGAAGAAGAAGTATTAGTGACAAAGCAAAGAAATCACTCTAAAAAATCCGACACATTTAAAATAACACGGGCTACCATTACCTATTAGAAAAATTAAAACTAAATTATAAGCTATACATTGTTAGTTAACAGAACACCATATTAAATCCACACAGTGATTAAGAGACTTAAATAATGGTTCTATTAAAAATCCGGCTATCAAATGGTCATTATGTTGGTTTTTTAAAAAAGAGATTTGTATTAAATTTACCGAGAAAATTGAATATAATGCATTTGATTTCGTCTTTATACGTAGATTTATAAAATCTAGATCTAATTCAAATTTAAAAGAAATTGTTCATTTCTTTATATTCTAAAATCGGAAGATGACGCTCTTAGTATTGTGTTCCTTCCATAGTGTAAACCAGTGGTCTCCAAACTACGGCCCGCGGGCCGGATGCGGCCCGCGAGGTCATTTTATCCGGCCCGCGACGATCTATTTGTCCACTGAATAAATGTTTGTTGGAGGTGGATGAGGAGCTTTGCACAGAAAATTCAGAACTATTTGAAAATGTAGCTTTGTATGCGAATACAATTACTCGTCGTGTTGCAGATATTGGTGAAAACATAGTAACTCTAATAGCGAAAAATTCAAGGAAGTTCAGCCATTTTTCAATTGCAATGGAAGAGTCGCAGCTTATCCACCTCTCAACTTCTTGTGTTCGTTAGAGGTGTGAAAGACCTGAACATAACACTAGAGCTTGCTTCCCTACATAGATTGTATGACACTGTTACCGGAGAGGATATCTAACCATAGATAGTTCAGAGACAAACACAAAAACGCAAGATTTACCATATTTCACATCAGTAAGATTGCTAATTTTGCGAGAAAATTCTGAGCAGAGTATCTAAGAAAAGAAATAGGTGACTTCTTGATAGTAAAGATGGGACGGAGTGGTCTAGCGTTAGAGAGCTGGACTGCTAACCCGTAAGACTCGAGTTCGAATCCGGGTTCAAGTCAGTAGACCGTCCCTGAGTCCACCCTACTCTGATGGGTACCTAACTCACGTTAGGGAAAGTAAAGGCGGCTGGGCATAGTGCTGACCACACTATCTCTTCATATGCCGAGATCACAGAAACAAGTGAACTCTACTTCACTTGCCCCATAGACCGTTAGGTTTAAAAGGGAAACTTTACTTTTACTTAAGAGTAAAGGCAAGTCACAGCCATTTTTGTCTGATGAAGAGTGGGTATAGAAATTGGCTTCTGCTGCAGACATAACTAGTCATTTAAATTTTCTGATTCTAAAACGGCAAGAGAGTGAAATCTAGTTTCTGATCTATACGCCCACATACAGGCCTTTAGATACAAACTTGTCATGTTTTTGGAACAAGTACAGGCTAACAACTTGACACACTTTCAGCAGTGCAAGGTCTTTACGGCTGAAACAACCACTGAGTTCCCCACGTCATTTACATACGAGATCATTATAGACCTCCAGCTGCAGTTTCAGTAGCGGTTTTCTGACTTGGCATTCATAGGCAGAAGAAGTGAGACTGTTCCAAAACCCATTTGAAGCAAATGTGGCCAGTTGCAAAGATGAACTGCAGCTGGAGGTCATTGAATTGCAAGAAAATGAATTCCTTAGAGACACGTTCAAAGAAAGGCGGATGGGTTTTCGTGCGTTTTTGCACAAGGAAGACTTTCCTAACATCAAAACTTTTGCATCAAAGTACCTTTCAAATTTTGGAACAACATACCTGTGTGAACAAACATTTTCAAGAATGAAATACGTGAAGAGCAATTTGAGAGCAAACGTGGACCTCAGATGGGGGGGAGGGGGTGGACACTTGAAATTTGTATATATTTCTATATAAATTATATTTCGTTGGGGGGGGGGGGCGGTAGACATTCTTCGGGGGGGGGGGGAGGCGCCACGACCCTGAAGAGAGGCCATAAAGAAATTCTGGCCCCCGAACTGATATTTGATAGTTAATGCGGCCCTCGGGCTGAAAAGTTTGGAGACCCCTGGTGTAAACATATGGCATGTGACGTCATTGTTTATTTGCGTTGTTGCCACAACTATAAACACTTTTCCGGTTGAATAATAAAAATTGTATTTCTACATTCGAATATTCCTTTATTTTTACTTTTCTTCTTTAAATAAAATTTAGGTTATTCATTTAACACATATAGCATATTATTTTTAACTAAAGTCAGTATCAAGATCTCCATATATCGCTGAAGATAATGATATCATAGCCTGTGAAAATATTTGTTTTGCCGTTATTTTTGTTGTTGTATAATTTTAATGTGTATTATTTAATAACGCAGCCACCCACCTCTTGAATTACTTATAGCAGGGAGTACAGCTTTTTAAAAATTAAGTCACATATAATAAAGTATAACCCGCCAATACCAACTGTCACAACGTAATACATACGTGAAGCAGGTTGTACTCATTAATCCGCACGTGCTCAAAGTTCGACGAGGTAAGGATTTGATTCACGACGCCGTGGAACATATAGTCGGTGTTTAGGATGACGTGTAGCCCGATGAGGGCGTCCAGCTTGACCTGGTCAGCTTTCAGGGCTTGGATGTAGTTGGGGGGGAATCCGTCAAACACGGAGTCAGGGAAGGCAAACACCGTGAAATGTAAAGCTGTAGAATAATCGGAATAAAAAATCAATATAATGTAAGGTTGCGAAAATTACTAAATCTATGTTTCATCACTGGTTTTATATCCATCCCCCTTCTCTCTCTGTATGTCTTTCTGTCTGTGTGTGTGTGTGTGTTTATATATATATATATATATATATATATATATATATATATATATATATATATATATATATATATATATATATATATACATATATATACATACATACATATATATATACATATATATATATATATATAAATATATATATATATATATATATATATATATATATATATATATATATATATATATATATATATATATATATATATATGTTACCGAGTCTATTTGCTTGTAGTGCCAAATGTTACCGATTTCACTGCTGACAGCGCCAAATGTTACCGAGTGTATTTACTCGTGCTACCTTTGACCAGCACACAACATCGACCACAATATAGATACTCGGAAATGCAGGTTTACATTGATCTCTTTATTACATGAATCAATAGAAATGCTCCACATAACAATGCACCAATGTTCCATAAGAATACAATGAACCAACTGACCCCCACTGCCCTCACTAGTCCTAACATAACAGAATGCACGTGTCCATCCTTCCTATTCTAACACACACGTCTACACCGTTCAATAACCAACTTGATACTGCCTCTCTCTACCAGTCGCCTTCCCATCCTCCCCTCGTATACGTATTCATTACCATTTGATGCATCAGAACTATTAACTGCGCAGCTCTGTCGTACAATCCTATTATTAGACCACCTGCACTGTTACGTCAGCCCCGTTTGGCCTTGGTCATGTCAAAGTTGACAGCGCTGTAATACGTTCTTATCGTCCCTGGTAACTCTACTAGTTACATATATATATATATATATATATATATATATATATATATATATATATATATATATATATATATATACAAATCGTTTCCCTGAATTAGACAGTTCTTAGGGCAAATGTTTTACTTTTTTGCGATTATTACATTTTTTTTTTACCGCAGCAACGTACCAAAGCAAAAGAAATGAAACAACAATTCTATCTTACCTGGTACTCTATGTAAAAATATTCGGGAAAACAAAATGTTAAAAACTATGTTTCAAAAAAAACTTAGAAAACTATACCGACATACATACAAGACAAAGAACCTTACATGTGTTTATTTTTGGAAACAGATTAGAAGAATCCAGAAGTTCTAGAAAGTTATGGAATCTGTTTTGTCCATCAAGAAGATTGATTAAAGTGCTCCCTGGGAAAGCAAAATAAAATAAATAATAAAATTGTTTAACGAGGCAAGTTATTTACAACCAACGAAGCAGTCAACTTAGCCTACTGGTGATTACTTTTAGCATATTCACTGATTGGCCAGTTAAAATACTGATATTCGAAATGTGATTGCAATGTTTATTACGTATTAGAGTTTATGACTTTGTTGTAAAAAGTAAAATACATTTCATAAACTTATGTTTTACAATTAAAAACCCACCGATTGGCTCTTTAAAATACTCTTATTTGTATAGTAAATGCACATTTATTAATAATATTTCAAAATTTAGGAATTTTTTGTTGAACCTAAAATTCATACAGTTAATTCAAAATTCGACTTACAAATAATAAGAAAGATCTTCTTAATTACTTACGCATATCTTCAGAAATTATAACAAAAATAGTTCCATGTGTTTATTTTGTAATTCAACATTTTCATCCAAAATATTTTATTAAAAACATATGAAATGTATTGATCTAATTTTTATAAAGATTTTTTATTTGACAAACTAAAACACATGCACTAACACTACAATAGCAGTAGAAATAGTTAAAAAATATCAGTTAAAATGTAATTTTCGCTATTATCTGTTTCTTGTGTGTAAGAAATTGTATTTTAAGAGATTATGAAGTAAGTTAGCGGTTAGTTTAAGTACTTATACTGATTGTAAAAGTTAACTAGAGGTCATAATATAATATTTTAGGGTCATGATAGGTAAAAACTTACATTGATTTGATGACGGCGAATGTTGAGAAACGAACACCGCGCTTGTGCCCGATATGCCAAAGAAGGTGATGGCCAACAACGTGAACACTGTCCAGGCCCTCATGGTGGTGCTAGATGATAGAACTATTATTTTTATAACTTGAAAAGCATTAACTTAAAGCCCACGCGAAAATCATGGTTAGTAATGAGCAGGGGCGGAACTACAGTGCCGGCAGACACCGAAATGCGAGAGGGGGGGGGGGGCACGCCATTTATTTGTTAATAATTTTCTTGCATTTTTTACTTGATGGTTGTTTTGTAAAAAAAGATTACCGTAGCTGCGGTTGGATTATCTTTATTCTATAGACACCACCCACGCTCTTGTATATTATTCTTGTTCCCTTTGTTTTTAAACCACTGTTAAAGCCTAGTCTTCTTTCTCCTACAATCAAACTTATCAAAAACAACCCATGCTAATTATAATATTCCAACAATAATGACCTCTTACACGTCTGCAGAATGTGCATTCATATTTTGCTAATTATGTTTCTCTAAATTTTTTTCCGTCTTTGAAAATTTTGCATTCACATTTTTCTAGCTTGTGTTGAATTTATTTTTAAATTACCTCCCTTGTCAAATTTACATAACTGTTTACGTAATTAGATTTTTCTACCCTAATGTTATTATGTTATTAATGTATCCACTTTTATAGGAATCTAAACGAAAATGATATTTGACATTGATCCGTTTAATATGTTTAGCTTTTTGCGTGTATTTAATTTTTTCTTGACGTTATGCGAAAGAGTAAAAACAATGGCAACTATAAAATAAATGTAAATCGTTATATAAACAAACCCTACTCTATTACTTATAATCAGACACTGCGATGCAAGTAAAAAGCACGATAGAAATTTATAGCGATGCCTGACTGACACACTATCACCAGTGTTATATTATATATATATTATACAATAATTATATATATATATATATATATATATATATATATATATATATATATATATATATATATATAACATAAATAGGTTTAAATACCTTACTGCCACTAGATTGACTAAATAAAAAGTAATCTAATTAAAAATACATTTTCTTCTACGTAGTATCTTCTAAAAAATGCAATAGTAGTAAAAGACACCAAAAAGAAATTTGATTTTTCTAATTTCCGCAAATACCTGCTTCGAACTGCAACGAAAAATGGAGATAGTTGTGTCAGAATCCTTGCTGCAGTTCCTGCAGTGTCTGGTAAAAAGCAGTTAATCTGAAACTAGGCCAATGATTTGTTAGTTTAAAACTGATAAAAGTAACAACTATGGCCTCATCAGCATACAAAAAAGGGTGTGGATAGTCTTTAGAGGTGACACTGATCTTAGGTTTGTGGCAGGCAACATTAGCAAAGCTCGTGGTTGTTTTTTGTGTGAACATCAAGTCATGTTGTTCACTAACTTAGTGGATTTAAGTTATGGTTTAGCTTGTTTGTAAGAAATTACTTAGAAAACTATATGTAATTGATAGCAATAAATTGCAAATGATACTGAAAAATAAAAATGAAAACATTGAAATATTAATTAACTATAGTGAAATTTGTATTTATGTTGATATTTAAGATTTAATTTTATATTAGATCGATGAAACACATTATTTTTTTTTCAATATCTAATCTCTTAATGGCTGTTTTTTGTCTCTGCTTTCTCTTCCCCCTCCCTATTTCGTTAACTTTTTCCTAGATACGATTTGCCTCGTAAAATAAGCTCAACACGATCTAGTCTTGAAAGACAAACAATATAATCAAACAGAAAACAAATGCCATTTCCCAAGCATTATCTTACACAACCTTTTCTTTTTTATTTGTTGAACTGTAGACCGAAGATCACATTGACACAATCACATTCTTCTGCTTATATAAATTTACTTATAAAAATGTATCAGACATTTTTGTCATTTTAATCTGGTACAAGTAAAGCGACTTTTAAAAATATAAATTTTTTCCCCTACTGCTTGAAAACTAGTTGATTAAAAAAGAAAATAGTCAATGAAACTAATTTCTGCAGTCCTGCTCCCAGTGGCGTCGCTAGGTTGGTTGTCACTCGGTGCGGCACCTCATTGTCACTCGGTGCGGCACCTCATGATGTCACACCCCGGAAAAAAAATTATGATATATATATATATATATATATATATATATATATATATATATATATATATATATATATATATATATATATATATATATATATATGATCAATACAGGCCTATATACTAATAGTTGCAATTGGTGTCATCCCTTCCCATTTTGCCTAATTGCGTCAATTAGTGCGCAATTTATATTAATCCACCAATTCATTCATGTGGAAAAAGCATCGTTTTTATCTTGCATTATTAGATTTTGGTGTCCCCCCTATCCCCGGTCGTTGATTGACTCACCAGTTATTTAAAATACTCAACAACACCGTTTTTTTTTCGTATGTAAAGTTTGTAGTTGTTACATTCTCCCCCCCCCCCCCCACCCCTTCAGGTGATAGTTTTAAATTGTGCACAGTTAATAGTAAAGATGTTTATCTATAGTCAGTTATTGATATAGGTGGATTAACTCTAATTGATCATTAATAAAAATGGCAAAAAGCTTATTTCTACAATATACTTTCATCATGGTGTCACTCCTTAAATGTTGTCACCCGGTGCGGTCCGCATCCCACGCCTCTGCCTTGCGACTCCTCTGCCTGCACCATTTGATTTTTTTTTTTACTGCTGTAAGATTTCGACATAGACGTAACCATTTTGTCAAAACCCACCATTCACAGAAAATGTCTACCGCCACTACCACTATAATCACTTTTACATGCCACGATGAAAAGCTTTTTTAATAACAGCAATTCATGAACAAATTGATCTTTTTACTGCTAAATTCCGCCAATTTTGAAATTGTGGAGATGTTTTATTGAAATCTGTGAAGATATTTTGCTTAAACGATATATTCAAACACATACTTTTAAATCTATGATATAGGCCTACATAACGTTATTAGGATAAACGACATTTTTTTGATAACCTCGAAGCTTCCTGTAGGTAAATGTACAATCTGAACCTCTTTCCGCACACTCTGAGTAGGAACAGTCTACAAACGACTCATTTGATGGAGGTCATAGCTAGATGACCCTTACATTTTTTACCGTTCTATATTTTATATTATTTAAAATAATATAAAAATAAGACCTGTCGAACAAGAGATGCATACGTTATATTATTAAAAGGTGTTGGCTAAGCTAATTCTAAAGGTGTCATTTTCTATGAGACGGTTTCGCCGGGAGACTTTGTCTCTAAATAAACCGTATTGCAAGGGGCCCTTTTGTTGTGAAGCCAACATTACGGGAGCCTATTTGTCCAAATTTCTAACGCCAGAAGCAGGTTTTTTTGGGGAGCCTAAATAACGAAGCTTATCTGTCGGTAGCCTAAATGACGGGAGCCTATTTGTCGGGATCCTATATGGCTGGGTTCATTTGACGTCGGCACATTAGACGGGTTTCTTTTGTCGGGGTCATTTTCACGGGGCCGTTTTGTTACTGGCCGTTTTGACGCCGCATGTAAAGCAAGCCTATATACATTAATCGGTTCTGAACTAAACCTTATGAGGAGTTCTACTGATTTGAGCCATCTTATCAATATTTTAAAAAGATATCTGATTAGAACAAGTTTATCTGCTCTTTAAAGAAAGCTATTCTGCAGGTCTTCAATTTGAATGCTGTGCGCAATATTATAGAAATCAGTTAGTATATTTTACATTTCACCAACATGTATTTTGCTGCATTCTATTTGTTTGGATTTTTATTCAGCCATATTGATGGTCAAGTTACCACAACTCGCGCTCCACGTAAGTTTTGTGTTTCGTCTAATAAAAAACTAATTTTATAAAAAAAATATTTCCTTTTGGATTAATTTACTTCTTATTTTATTGTACAATTTGTTTTCTTTCAAACAAACAATATTTTATTCAATATTTAAAATTATGCAATCTATAGGTTGGTTATATATATATATATATATATATATATATATATATATATATATATATATATATATATATATATATATATATATATATATATATATATATATATATATATATACATATATATATATATATATATAATTTTTTAATTTTGTGCAGCTCCAGGAGTAGTCGATGCTTTAACAGCCAATGGACATTTCACCGTTTTCTTAGATCTACTTCAGGCGTCTACAATGCTGCCTAGAATTAATGCTTGTAGGTATTTAATAAAAAATTCCAACAAAAAATTCATTAAAAGCCTTTAGGATGCATATTTTAAAAAAAAATAATGGTACTGCATTTGTTTTGTGTGGTCTAAATTTTCTAGAATAATATTTCTTAGAAAAGATTTCTCAGATCAAAGTATCTGAATATTTTAGTAAAACATGTATCACGAACCAAATATGTAAACCAGGTATTAAATGTTCAAAGATAAATTTCTCAAGATATTTAGCCCGTGTATGTCTTGTCATGTAATCAAATGTTAAAACGTTTGATATAACATATAACACTTTGAGCACCTTGTCAATCTACACAATTATTGAGTCGACATTTTGAACTCTTTTAAAAAAAAAACATTGGACATCATGAAACGACAGAAAACAACTGAATACATTTATTTAATTCTCAATATATTTAAAAGCTAGTCTTTGTTATTTATTTGGCTGATTGTTGGTTTTGACTGTACATTCACCGATGCACCAGGGAAGTTTTAAAACCTCAACACAAAAGTATTACAAATCTTTTAAAGTAGCAAACCAGCATGCTTGGTTAAAAGATAATAGGCTGTTCATTCAAAACTTATGACTATTAGATTTTGGAATGTAGACTGTAATTTCTCCTAGGCTATTGACAGGGCTGCTGTAAATAATGTTCGCTGTTATAACTTATGTTAAGGGGACGGGGTGGCCTAGCCAAAGTCTTGAGTTTGAATCCGTGTTCAAAGTCAGTAGATCGTCACTAAGTCCCCCAGTTATGATGGGTACCTAACTCATATAAGGGAAAATAAAGACGGTGTGATTTAGTGCTACCCACACTATCCTTATGCCGAGGCCACTGTTACAGATGAAATCTACTTCATCTGCCTCATGTGTCTTGGGCACGAATTGAATAGATAATGAATTTGAACCTAGTTTTAAATGCTTCAAAACTGATTTCAAGCAATAACAGCTGCTGGCGCTAAAAAACTCAAATAGTGAAGAAAGAAATATTTTTTAATTTAGACGTTATTTTTTTTATCTCTTTTTGTTTTAAAATCATGTGATCGTACAAATAATTGCATCATTTTAAACTATTTTTTTTAAAATTTGTTAAAGCAAGCTTTTTTGTTTCATAGGTTTAAAATAATTTGATTGTACATATTACATCATCATATCAAACTATTTAATGAATCTGTTAAAGCAAACCACTCGACTATCTTTGCTCCGACTGACGCCGCCTTTGCCAGGATGCCGGCCGGCACCGTGGACAGCCTGAAAGCCGACAACAGCAGGCTGGAGTCCGTCATCGGGTATCACGTGGCACTCAACACCAGCTACCACATTCAGCAAGCTGCCCAGCAGGACAGGATCATCAACTCCAGCAGCGGGCTGCCAATTAGGGTCAACAATTACACACTCTTACATGTAAGTGAGGGGAAGTTTAGGGGGGAGGGGTACACTCCAAGTACTATTATGTCTGAAAACATCAAATAAGAATTATATTTCCATATTTCCATGTTATATATATATATATATATATATATATATATATATATATATATATATATATATATATATATGTAACTAGGGGAAGTTACCAGAGACAGAAGAACGCAGTACAGCGCTGTCAACTTTGACACGACTGATGTAATAACGCAGGTGTTGGCTGATAACGATCAGAAAGCCAAGGCGTAGTATCTTGGGAAGCGATACGATAAGAACGCAATACGGTTTGTCAACTTTGATGTGACAGGATGCAGATGGCTTATTAAATCGGACTGTACGACAGAAGCGGCGTAATTAACATTCTGATGCAACGATTAGAATCGATTACGATTACGATTATGATAGAACCGAATACGATTACGAATACGAAGGGGATATATAGGAAGGCGACGGCTGAGCTCGCGGTCGGTGTGGCTCTCTCTCTCGATCAGTCAGTCAGTGTGGCAGTATCAAGTTGGTTATTGAACGGGTTAGCCGTATTGTGTTAAAAAGGACGATAGACATGTGCATTCAGTTATGTGAAGACTAGTGAGGACTGTTGGGGGTCAGTTGATTCAGACTATTATTGTGAAGCATTCCTTTTGATTCATTATATTATTGTGAAGCATTTCTTTGATTCATGTAATAAAAGGATCAATAGCGAACCTGCATCTTCGAGTATCTATACTGTGGTCGATGTTGTGAAGAATGAGTGGTTAGACTCGGTAACATTTGGCGTTGTCGAGCAGAACTCGTTAACATTTGGCACTACAGGCAAATAGTCTCGTTACATTTGGCGCTGCGGACAGGATGAATTCAACGAGACTTGCCGCTTGAGGCACCCATAGTCAACCTTGTTCATAACTGTGTTTCGTGTGTGTGTGAATTCGGACATTCAGGAACAGTGAAAATTGAGGAACGAGGAAAATTTTTCATACACACACGGTAAGAAAGAACTCTTTTTTTTACTCAAGGAATAAAATGTCTACTCTGGACGAGAAGCAGACCCATATTGTGGTCCTGCCCAGAGAGTCCCACATTAACAAATTTTACGGGGACGGTGATCCAGCTTTAACCAACAGGTTCAGTGAAGAGGTCAAAGCGGCCTGGGCCTCGAGACACATGTCACCAGAGGAAAGATTAAGACTGCTGATGGGCAGAATAGGAGAGACGGTTAGGGCAGAGGTCAAATGCCACGATAAAACCATCCAATCAGATCCAGATAAGGTGCTGGATCTAATCATGGAGACCTTTGGGGAGAGACGGTCGGGATCGCAACTGCTATCGGGGTTCGTAGGCTTAAAGCAGAGAATGGCGGAGAGTGTGATGGAGTATTCACACCGTATGAACAGGGCCTTTGATTCGGTAAAGGGCAAAACACCTGACATTGATGTACGCCTACTGAGGGACCATTTCATCGAGGGGCTAGCAACCCCGATCTTAAGGAGAGAGTTGAAAGAGGAGGTCCACAAAGACCCGCAGTTGACCTTCCTTCAGGTCAGGAACTCAGCGATCCGCAGGTCCGAGGATGAGGACTAATCGAACTGTTCGGTGGACAAAGTCTCTGTGCCGGAACATAAACCATCCCCACCCACAGGGACCGGCACAGTGGAAACCATGATGGCTCAACTGTTGGCCCACCTGGATAAGGTTGACCAACGATTGGAGAGGTTAGAAAGCAGGTCAACAGCTGAGAATCAGGAAAAGAACGGGACAAAACAGAGACAGGTTGGACGGCCGCGACCCGCCGGTCCATCGCTCCGGTGGACGGCTGACGGTCGACCAATTTGCTTGTCCTGTTCACAGCCCGGACATATGGCACGGTACTGTCAGGGAAACGGTCGTCCTCTGTAAGGCAGGGCCAGGCTACAGAGGGGCGAGGTTATGGCCCAAGAAACAAAATGATGGGAGTCTGTCCCGAAATGGTGATTACGATTGGGGACATCGCGGTGAAGGCAATTGTGGATACAGGCTCCCAGGTGACGACAATTACGGAAAATTTTTACACCAAATGGATGAAAGGAAAAGACCATAGGTTGAGGTCTGACACATGCATGCGCCTGACGGCAGCTAATGGACTAACCATTCCATACTGTGGTTATTTTCTGGCGGATGTCGTGGTGGCGGGACATAGGTTGAAGCAGGTTGGGGTGTTCGTTACGAAACACAACCTAGAGACAAATGTGTCAAATATACCTTGCCTGTTGGGCATGAATATTCTTGGCCAGTTGCCAGAATTTCTTACAAATATTGTCGGATCGACCACACCAGGTCGGGGATCCAAGTTGGCCAGGTTTGCCAAGACCAGAGGAAGGATATCAGTCCCGGCAAACACGGTCAAGGCAATCACATTACAAATTGGTGATAGAAGCGTGAATGGTGATGTGATGATAGAACCATGTGGCGCCGCACTGAGGGCAGGCGTCGTGTTACTGCGGACATACACATCAGCGGAAAATGGACTAGTTCAAGGATTAGTGGCAAATGTTTTGGATGAGGAAATTTTTATACCGCCTAATACTCTGGTAGGAGTACCACAGAACGTCGAGGTACTAAGGTCGGCACAGTGCATCGAACTGAGCAATACCAGCAGTAATGAAGTAACAATTAGGTCGGTCAATGTGACGGCCGAGGTGAAGAAAGAGGATGGCCGATCATATACATTCCCGGAAACTGAGGACCCAAAACTAAATGAATTGCTGAATAAGTACAGGGATATATTTGCCTCGTACGAGGGTGATTTGGGTTACACGGAAGTAATAAAACACCAGATACCCTTACTACAGGACAGGCCTGTGGCGCAACCTTATCGAAGATTACCACCAAGTCACTACTCGGCGGTGAAAGCACACCTGAACGATCTACTAAAAAAGGGAATTATTACAACCAGCACGAGCCCGTATGCGGCACCGATAGTAGTGGTAAAAAAGAAGTCAGGGGAGATAAGACTGTGTTGTGATTACCGGAAATTGAACAATATCACAAGAAGGGATGCATTCCCCTTGCCTCGTATTGATGAATGTCTTGATGCGTTGGGGGGAGCAAGATTTTTTTCTACCTTGGATTTGGCTAGCGGCTACCACCAAGTGGCCATGCACCCCAACGATCAACATAAGACTGCATTTATTTCTCCACTGGGACTGTACGAGTGGACCCGTATGCCGTTTGGTCTAACTAATGCGCCTGCTACATTCCAGCGAGTAATGCAGAGTGCTATGAGTGACTTTCTATTTCAAATAATGTTGGTGTACTTGGATGATATACTAGTTTACTCAAAAACGTGGGAGGACCATCTAAAAAGATTAGAACAAGTGTTTCTCCGTCTTAGGGAGATAGGAGTAAAGCTGAACCCAGACAAATGCGGCTTCGGTCTGAAATCGGTACGTTTTTTGGGTTATGTGATTTCGTCGGATGGCATCGCCACTGACCCAGATAAAATTGCAGCTGTTAAAGAATGGAAACATCCAACAACCACGGTAGAGGTCAGATCATTCTTGGGCTTTGCTTCCTATTATAGAAAATTTGTACCTGGTTTTGCAAAAATTGCCGCACCGTTGCATGACTTGGTAAACAAAATGACAAAGAAACACAGTAAGGAGAAAAAGAAGGGTAAAACACAACTGATAGGTGAATTATGGACTGATGAATGCCTGAACTCGTTTAAGCTCTTGAAAAAGGCTTTGACAGAGACGCCGATATTAGGATACGCAGACTTTGACAAACCATTTCGGCTAGAAATTGACGCCAGCTCTAAAGGTCTGGGAGCTGTGCTATCACAACAACAAAAGCAAGGTTTCAGGGTTATTGCGTATGCCAGTCGAGCTCTGAAGGAATCAGAGAAGAACATGACAAATTACAGCGCCATGAAACTAGAACTTTTGACATTAAAATGGGCTGTGACTGAAAAATTCAGGGACTATCTATTAGGTGCTAAATGTGTGGTATACACTGACAATAACCCCTTGAGTCACCTAAAGACAGCAAAGTTGGGATCCATCGAACAGCGATGGGCAGCAGAATTGGCACTCTTTGACCTGGAGATAAAGTATCGCCCGGGGCGGTCCAATGGCAATGCGGACGCCTTATCAAGGAATCCTTACGAGAGACCGGGCGATGAGGAAGAAACGCTGACAGGAATATGTGGGGTCAGAGCGTCAACAGATATCCCTCACGGGGTGCAAGTGATGCAAAACGGACAGACCGGGGTGGAGCACATATCCACAGAGCCCGGACATATGGACATTAGTGATTTTAATTGCCTTAATCACAAAGAGATAAGAGATGCCCAGAGAACGGATAGTGGCTTACAGCCGCTGTTGAAACACGTCCAGGAACAAAAATTCCCAGGAAGAAGGGAAAGAGAACAATTTGGTCGAGAAACAAAGAAAATACTGAGTCAGTGGGACCGTCTCAGTATAAAGGATGGTGTTCTCATGCGGAGAATTCATGACCAAATTGATGGGACAATACACCAGGTGGTGGTGCCTGGACAATTACGAGAAGAAGTGCTAAGGTTGGCACATGACAGGGCAGGACACCAGGGTCAGGACAGGACGCACAAAATATTACGACGGAGGTGTTACTGGCCCAATATGGAAATGGAGGTCAAACGCCATTGTGAGGCTTGTGTGAGGTGTCAGCATGCGAAAATGCCAGTTGTCAAAATGAGACAGCCATCAGGACACCTACTAGCGACAAAACCACTAGAGATTGTGGCTATGGATTTTACGTCGTTGGAGCAATCATCGGATGGGACGGAACATGTGTTGGTAATGACTGATGTATTCACCAAATGGACTGTGGCGGTGCCCACACGAGATCAGACTGCCAAAACAGTGGCAAAGGTCTTAATAGAACATTGGTTCATCAAATATGGCATACCAAGACAATTACACTCTGACCAAGGAAGGGCCTTTGAGTCAGAAGTAATTAACCAACTGTGCAGCCACTACGGGATCAACAAATCTAGAACAACCACATTTAATCCGAAAGGAAACGGACAGTGCGAGCGGTTCAACCGCAGCATGCATGATTTGCTGCGTACTCTAGAACCTGAACAGAAAAAACGTTGGCCTGATTTTCTCCCGGAGTTGGTATATCTATACAACTGCACCCCCCATGCCACAACCGGCTTTTCGCCACACATGTTGCTGTTCGGACGGGAGGCTCGACTCCCTCTTGACTTGTTCCTAGGAAAAAAGGAGAGTATGACTGGCTCATACACCGCACTAGAATATGTGAATGAACATATGAGACGAATTAGAGAAATGTACAGGGTAGTACAGGAAAGACTAGAACATGAAGCACGGCGAGGGGAACCGCCGGTACAGACAAAGGACCCGCCACTCAAACTGAACGACAGAGTATTACTGCGTAGCCACCCGTTAGGCAGAAACAAAATCCACGACCTCTGGGGACAGGAGATATGGCAAGTCGTGGAGATGCCTAAAGTAGCAGGTGGCCCCTTTAAGATAAGACCCATCGATCACACCAAACCGGATCGGTGGGCGAATATTGCTCAATTAAAGAAATACTGTCATAGTCAAGAAGAGCAGTTACACACAAGGAAACCCAAGACAATTAGGGAACCGGAAACTATAACGGAAATTCACATACCCATCCCGGAACCATGTCACCATCAACAGAACAACAGCGATACACAAGTGGAGGATAACGGCAACGAAGAGGATCCCGTTCCTCCCAGAAGCAGAGAGACAGTAGACCATCAGATAAGTGGTCCGCGGAGAAGTTTGAGAAACAGAAAGAATACGAAATTTTTTGTCAGCAACCATCAATTCTTTCATGGTCGCGCTGGTATGAGAACAGACTGTTCAAAAAGTCATACAAGTGAACTGGTGAAGGCACCAAACGAAAAAAGGTGGATGTGAATTCTAGAACTGTTTTGTGTCTGAGGAAGATGATGTAGACACATTTGATATGTGAAATAGGGATAACTGTCAATCTTATACGAATGGGACGACATTGACAGTGAGTGGAACAATACATTTTTTTTACGGTGGTGCGATTGACTTTGAAGGACTGCACCTGCCAAGCGTTGTTTGTGGTTCATAACACACAAAAAAAGGCAGGGGTGGATGTAACTAGGGGAAGTTACCAGAGACAGAAGAACGCAGTACAGCGCTGTCAACTTTGACACGACTGATGTAATAACGCAGGTGTTGGCTGATAACGATCAGAAAGCCAAGGCGTAGTATCTTGGGAAGCGATACGATAAGAACGCAATACGGTTTGTCAACTTTGATGTGACAGGATGCAGATGGCTTATTAAATCGGACTGTACGACAGAAGCGGCGTAATTAACATTCTGATGCAACGATTAGAATCGATTACGATTACGATTATGATAGAACCGAATACGATTACGAATACGAAGGGGATATATAGGAAGGCGACGGCTGAGCTCGCGGTCGGTGTGGCTCTCTCTCTCGATCAGTCAGTCAGTGTGGCAGTATCAAGTTGGTTATTGAACGGGTTAGCCGTATTGTGTTAAGAAGGACGATAGACATGTGCATTCAGTTATGTGAAGACTAGTGAGGACTGTTGGGGGTCAGTTGATTCAGACTATTATTGTGAAGCATTCCTTTTGATTCATTATATTATTGTGAAGCATTTCTTTGATTCATGTAATAAAAGGATCAATAGCGAACCTGCATCTTCGAGTATCTATACTGTGGTCGATGTTGTGAAGAATGAGTGGTTAGACTCGGTAACATTTGGCGTTGTCGAGCAGAACTCGTTAACATTTGGCACTACAGGCAAATAGTCTCGTTACATATATATATATATATATATATATATATATATATATATATATATATATATATATATATATATATATATATTCGGTTAATTATAAAAATTGTTTATACTTTGATTGTGTGATGCAGACGGTGACTGCTGAGGGTGTTAATGTGACCATCAAAAACATCCGGGTTTACCACGGGTATATCCATGGGATTGACGGTCTCATGACCCCACCGGTCGGGAACATCCTTGACATTGGCAGAACAAGACAAGACATTTCAACCTTTGAAAGTTTGATCACCAAGGCTAATCTGACTCACCAGTTTACTAGTACGTATCCAGTTATTCTACCAACAGGCAGCTTGTCATTGGAAATGTATTGATTAGCTTTAGCATTAGTATTACGTTTTGAGCATATCTGGCAATGTTGACTAAACTCTACTTACAAACATCTCCTGATTTATCGTAGGTATTTTGAATAACAATATTTTCAGTAAAACTAGTCAACATTTTATATACATGTTGTATTTGCTGTACTAGTGTTTTCCTATAAGCTATCAACTTATCAGATATCACACTGTTGTGATGGGACGCGAAAAATTCGAGTGGTAAATCCTACATAATGTACACCATAAAGAGACTTGGGGTGCTGCCCTAGACTACGAGTATTATACATTTATTTTACTTTATTGCTTAAATACTAAAGACCTGTGTTTTGTAGCTAACCTGTACCCCCCCCCCCCCCTTTACTCAGCTGTTTGAATTAAAAAAACTTGGAACACCTTTTTTACAATCCCCAGCGGATCACTCGACCACCTTTTTTGTACCCAACAACGACGCCTTCGCCAAACTGAGCCCACAGGTCATGGATTACCTGAGCACACATACAGCGGCTCTAGCAGGTAATGTCACCTTGCTCTCAACTCATCACTTCAGTGTGTCATCTACATGGGTTCACCTATCCTTAAGTTTCGTCATTTACATGAGTTCACCTATCCTTAAGTTTCGTCATTTACATGAGTTCACCTATCCTTACGTTTCTTTATCTACGTGGGTTTACCTATCCTAAATTTTCGTCATCTACACGAGGTCACCTATCCTTAAGTTTCGCGTCTTTAAATCAATATCAAGCAACCCCATGTCGAGGTTTTATACATTTCACTATCATAAATGTAACATTATTATTTTAGTAAATATGAAATTAGAAATTGAAGATAATAAGTAAAATAGATTAAAAGTAAAAAATAAATTAATAGAAAAATATGTTACTAAATTATAAAAAGCTCAAACATTCTTTATCAAGACCATCATAGAAACCCAGACTTGAAATCACATTCAATCATAGCTTAGTTGTAACAAGTTCTATTAGATAGCTATTTTTTGATACACCATGTCCTGTTCCAATCAAGTTACTCATAAGACCCACCTATCCCTACAGGGTGATATAAAACAATCATTTAGAATAATTGTGGCATATCCCATCTGTTTACAATTGAGGTGACACAAACTTATATCACTAGTTTATGGCATCATGAGGTTTATTTAACCCTGATAAATATTTTCTCTGGTCTAATGGGAAAAAGCAAGGTGGGCCCTTTGGAAAATATCCCGGTGAACTCCCAGAAAAATATCCCTTTGGGCTCCCAGAAACGTTGATGTAATAGTCCTATTAGATTTTTTTTTAAATTGTTGTACCAAGGTGTAGAATTCAGGCTTTGATTGTAAAAAAAAAATCACAATGAAAATTTCAATCTGGGGTTTTTGGTCGATTTTTTAATAATTTCCCGGGCCTCTTGGGTACGCCAGTCCATCCCCAGACTCCAGACTATTAGTTAGTGGTAACACAAACTCCAATTATCAGTGTTAATTTGATGTTTAACCCAAATTTCCAATTATCCATGATGATCATTTCGTTTCAATATAAGATCTATTGAAAATTGTCTAACCACGCGCTCTCATTAAAATTGTAAAATAATGTGTAACCCCCCCCCCCCCCAGACGTACTGAGGTACCACTTGGTCAAGACCTACACCATGTACAGTGCCGGCATGCTGCACTCCATAACCGTCAACTCAGCTGACCAGCACCACGACACTCTGATGATCCTAGAGGACGCGAGTAAGTTGAGACACTTTTGTTCAAGACATCGTCACGTGATACAACTTGTATCCACTCGATTGGACAGTATAATTAGAGCACTTGAACAAAAATGTGTTCTGGAACTCATTTAAATTCCACCTTTTATTTTTTGAAGGAATGCTTTCACTTCATAACATTAAACTAAAAGTCAGAAGCAACCTAGATAATTAAATATAGGTATGCTGCACATAGGAGTGCGATAAAGGCATCATCCTTGGCCAGACTAATCTACCCAAGATGTAGCCAAATGTATTTATGGTAAATTTTAGTCTAGCGATGGTTGACCTATAGCTTAAAATTAAGTTTGTAAGCAGAACATTTTAGTCCAGCGATGGTCAAATCGTGACAGGACACTTTCATTCACCTATAGCCTAAATATGTGCCAGTAAATTTTTGTCCAAAATCTTGTCGCAAATCTTGTACCGATAAGTAAACCGGTGTCGTCAAATCTTGTTTCAGAAAAGTTGATTCCAGAAATTACATACCCTTTTTCTTTATTCAAACTTATGTTACATTTTCCTTATTTGTGTGTAGGTGGCAACTTTTTCGTCAACAACGCCAAAATCCAGGAGAAGGACATCAGCTCCATCAACGGTGTGGTACACATCATCGACAGCGTCCTCATCCCGTCTAGGGTGACGGTGGCAATAGCTGATGCTGGCATCATCGTTGGTTGAGGAATTAGTCTTTGATTAAAGGTGTATTATTTGCAGTCATCGTTAGTTGATAAATAATTACAGGCAATAAGCTTTGATTAAAGGTGTATTATTGGCAGTCATCGTTGGCTGATAATTAGTACAGGCCCTCGTCTTTGATTAAAGGTGTATTACTGAGGAATGGTAGCAGTCATCGTTGTTTTAAAAATAAATAAAAGCAACTATAAAATAATTTTAGAAAGGTATAAAATAACATCGAAATGCGTAATGATGTTTAGTAATTTTTTTGAAATATTTTATTTTTATTTTGCCAACTACCTTGAATTTAGACAATATCACTTTGGGATAATTTTGTATTACTTAAATGGTTTTCTGAATCTAGCAAATGAACTAAAGAAAAATTAGCCGTTTATTATAATGGATATTTTTGTTTTTACAAAAATATTTTAGATTGTATTTTCTTGTTGTTGTACAATTCATAGAATGTTATTTCCGGAAGCCAAAAATACGTAAGAACAGAGCAGATTTTGGTTAAAAAAACACTTTTAAACATTTGCAAAAATGATAAACATCAAACAATCTCTTTTATATCCAAAAAGCATAACCTCAGAAATAATGACCTAAACTAACAAAAAATAAAACCATCAATTATTTTTTTTAGTCTTTGGGTCACTTACTTTTGTTACTAAAATTAATATTATTTAAATTTATATTACTAAAATTAATATTATTTAAATTTATATTACTAAAATTAATATTATTTAAATTTATATTACTAAAATTAATATTATTTAAATTTATATTACTAAAATTAATAGTATTTAGATTTATATTACTTAAATTAATATTATTTAAAATAACGAATCATTTCTCGACATTGTATCTGTTTAGTCGCCTGCTTAAGAAAGTAGGATGCGGAAAACCAACAGGAGTAAATTATAACACATTAAATATTATACATATCAAATGCAATTTTAATTATATAGGTTACATTAATTCAGACGATGCAAAATAAACACAAATGTAATTTAGTGAAACATTTTTACATATAAAAAATAAATTTAAAGAGATAATTTTAAAAAAGTATTCTGGTGAACTTATATTTGCGTTTCTGATACTTATAGTATTTTAATTAGTGTTCTAAATTAGCATATCATACTCAAAATTCTTTTTTAACCTGAATTTTGTACAATGTCAATGATATGATGGTTTATACGTCATTTCCTTTAACCAAAGGTTCACATTTTAAGTTTATCCAAATTAATAGCTGCTGATTTAGGTCGATATAGGCCTACTTAAATACAATTTAACTTGTAATATACAAATAAAATATATAAAAAAATATGACAAAAAAAAATAAAACATTAAACTATATATACAGGTACGCTAAATATCTTAAACTATCTTTCAAAGTAACAAAAGTCTCAAAATATAATGTTCTACTTCTTTAAAAATAAAAATTAGGATCTCACTAATTCATATAAAAAATGAATTTTTGTTTTTTTAAAATGTTAGTTAACAGAATTAGGTAATATTTCGTATTATAAAATTGATAGGGCTTTTTTAAAAAAAACGTTTCATTTAAACATTTAGAAAAAAATGTGTAATCTACTCAAGATAACAAAACTTAAGTAAAAATATAATGGACAAGATCAATGACGGGCTGTACTATAGCCGGGTTAGCAGGGAGACTAGGACAATCAGCAACCCTAAGGCGTACGTACTAGAAGACAAACTGTAGGCTGCGTTCAATGATGGTGTCTCTGGAAACAATAGAAGAAAAAAAAATTCTATGGACAACAATATGAACACATTGAAAAAAAAAAAACTAAATGTTCCTTTCCAAAACTGATGGTTCATCGGGCATGTTAAGTAGACTTAACCTGTTTATGTGTTCTCGGCATTTGAATGGAAATCCATTACCAGTTTAAAAATTACACTAATTAGCAATGGATCTGATTACATGAATGATTAATAACAAAAAAAAATAATTAAATAAACAATAGACAGAAAATCCTAATATTATACCATATGAAAGTGTTATAGAAATCAGCCGTTTGGAATGAAAATTGTAATGCATGTACACAACCATTACAAAATGAGCACAATAAAATTGTATATATAGCATTTACTGAAGTTGTGCGATAATGATCCATAGTGTCGTTTATTACAGAAGGTAGGCTACAGCCGTATGAATTAAACCTAAACTTACCGCAGTTGGCCAGCTTTAATCTTAACTTTTCACTGCTGACAAATTTCTCAACCTACAGGAAAATATAGAAATATGGTATCAATAGGTATGATATAAATAATGCCTCATATAATACGTTTTAAAACAGAGCAAAACAAGTTTAAGTTTGTATTTGATATGAATCAGAGCTTTACTCTAGGGACATATCCCATTTAAAATATTTCTTCCGCCTTTGATTTTACATAAACTCGGTTGTCAGTTTCTCTGAAGACATTGCTTTATTCAACTAGAACGCTCATTTTACTCATGCCAGATAATTTTTCCCTAATATTAGCACACCACGTCCACCTACGTTTTATTTTAACACGGACGTTCTATTTTGGGTAATACTAAAACAACAAACCTCACTTCCTCCCCCCACGGGTTTCTATAAATATCTATGATAGATGGCTCTAAACGTTCGTCCCCCATACCCCACCCCCCCCCCAACAGGTTTCTATAAATATCTCTAACTTGGAGATCTAAACTTTCATGTCCCCTTACCTCACTTCTGACCCCCCCCCCCACAGGTTTCTATAAATATCTCTTTGGAGATCTAAACGTTCATGTCCCTTACCTTACTTTTGCCCCCCACCCACAGGTTTCTATAAATATCTCTTTGGAGATGTAAACGTTCATGTCCCTTACCTCACTTCGCCCCCCCCACAGGTTTATATATATATATATATATATATATATATATATATATATATATATATATATATATATATATATATATATATATATATATATATATATATATATATATATATATATATATATATATATATATATATATATATATATATATATATATAACAGACGTCACTTCTGCAGCCTTTACCTCACGTTTCTATAAATATCTCTATGAAATGGCTCTATACGTTCATGCCCCTTACCTCACTTCTGCCACCCCCCACAGGTTTCTATAAATATCTATGATAGATGGCTCTAAACGTTCATGTCCCCTTACCTCACTTCTGCCCGACCCACAGGTGTCCAACTTGACCAGACATCCAGCAAACGTGTCGATGTTTCTGTTGGATAAGTCATAAAGATATTACTCAAATCACATGAAAGATATATCAACACATTTACATAAATTGTTACAGTAGCTGCATGTCAACGGGATATATATTATCTTCTATTTAGCTCTGGCATTAATCTAAGCAGGGTGGACTTATAGATCGATCCCTTGAAACGAACTCGAGATATTCTAGTAATCAATCATACGCTCTACCGCTTGACCACAGCGTCACATAAGACTAAAGTTTACTTCTAGAACTTACTGGCAAGACAACGTGTCGTTGCGTGGTTCCACGTCATACTTTATCACGGCATCAAGGTAAGTCTCAAGACACTTCTCAAAGCCTGTCTTACATTCTGTCGCAGTCAGGTTAGAAGACAATCATATAAAAAACAATGAATATTATTGTACCAATCAACATTTAAAAGACAATCACATAAATACAATGGATAGTATTGTACCAATCAACATTAAAAGACAATCACATAAAAACCAATGGATATTATTGTAACAATCAACATTAAAAGTAACGGGTTTGGTTGTAGAGTTTTTTGCTATTGGACACACGCCGCATATTGTTTGTGTTAGAAACGTGTCAACAATCTTAGTTTAAACGTTAGGAATACATCACCACATGAAATGTTGAAGCTCTATTTAATTCTAAATATTAAGTAGTCAAGCTCCCTTTTCGAATGTGAAGGTCCATGTGACAAGTGAAGTAGAGTTCACCTGTTTGTATGACCTCGGCATATATATATATATATGGGATAGTTTAACACTATGCCCAGCCGCCTTTACTTTCCCTAACTGGGTAGATCTACTGAAATGAACCGGATTCAAATTTGAGACTCGGGTTAGCTGTCTAGCGCTCTATTGCTAGGCCACACCGTCCCATTAATTTCAAATATGATTTAAGTATAATAATAGAAATGCTTGATAACATAAGTATTATGACACCACGAATTTAAAAGTATCCAAATGCATAAACATAGGACTTAAGTATGTGATCTAAAAAGATTTAGACAAAAATATATTAGTTAAATACATTTGCATAACACTAAAGGCTAAAGAAAAATGTCAAAAGAGTACAATGACTTACCAGGAGTGGCGAATGTTCGATCTATGGAAAATATATTAATATAAAAATATTATGTCTGAGTTTTATAATGTTAATTTTTCCTTTATTACGTAAATATCACTTATATTCTCATTATAGTTGTATATGTAAGCATAAATAGACGAGACAAACTGTAAGCGTTTGAGGAAAAAGAAAATTAATGATAGTGATGATTAACATAAGTTTTAATAATTCATCCAAAGGTTACTTACTGGTTGGAAATACTCCGAGCTCTGAAAAAAAGGTTGATAACAAAAATATTTTACAAAGTATCTAGGTATTATTTGTACGTGGTTATTTATCGAACGACATACTCTAAAGATTTAAACAGGATGTAGTTTAAAAAAAACAACCTAAACAATTTTTTTTATCCAGCAAAATAGCTCATCTGCTTTCTTTCACCAAAACTGGATGAAAGGATGGCATAGTTTACATTACACGCAACTGTTTATTTTCCCCTACTAAATGTTAACGAGTCGTGAATGAATCTGACCAGGGTGGGAACATAGAACATCGGGTATCAAACTGAAGTCGATCAGCATAGCAATATTTGACTCTAACACTCGAGTTACCGTCTATTCGAACTCATCCACATTCATCAAGTAATAATTTGCCGCTTTGGTTTAATCACTAAGGCCTCATTTTATACAACACTCATTATAAAAACTAAACTGCCATTTCGTTTTATTGTTTTTAATTTGGATAGACTTACCATATTGAGCGCTAAACTCTAAATAGGATAGACCTACTACATTAAACGCGAAACTCTAATTAGGATAGACTTACCGCATTGAACGCGAAGTTCACGGAGTCTGTTATCTGTAGATCGATATCCAATCCTGCCAAAGATCTCTGACTCACACATCAATTCCTCAGAACAGATAACAGACGATCTGGCTTTTCTAGAAAATTTTTTTGAGAAATTAAACTTATTGCTCTGTTACAACTTTTATAAATCATCAACAATTATATATATTAGTACACACATATATATATAGGCCTATATATAATATATATATATATATATATATATATATATATATATATATATATTATATATATATATATATATATATATATATATATATATATATATATATATATCTATATATCTATATATCTATATATCTATATATCTATATATTTATATGTATATATATATATATATATATATATATATATATATATATATATATATATATATATACATTACATAAGTATATTTACATATATATATATATATATATATATATATATAGATATATATATATATATATATATATATAATTGTATATATAGAGGCCCTATACATATATATGAACGTATGTATATATATATATACATATATATATGTATATATATGTATATATGTATATATATATGTATATATATATATATATATATATATATATATATATATATATATATATATATATATATATATATATATATATATATATATATATATATATTAGTACACACATATATATATAGGCCTATATATATATATATATATATATATATATATATATATAGTATAAATTATATATATATATATGTATATATATATATATATATATATATTATATATATATATATATATATATATATATATATATATATATAATCGATATATCGATATATCGATATATATATATATATATATATATATATATATATATATATATATACATAAGTATATTTATATATATATATATATAACTATATATATATATATATATAATTGTATATATAGAGGCCCTATACATATATATGAACGTATGTATATATATATATATACATATATATATATATGTATAATATATATATATATATATATGTATATATATATATATATATATATATATATATATATATATATATATATATATATATATAATAAATATTTATTGTATTACATATATAAATATATTTATATTTTATATATATATATATATATACATATATATATATATATATATATATATATATACACGATTATGTATATTTAAACTTGATTATGTTTAAAATACAGAGTAATATAGTGTTATTAAGGAAATAATATTATACTGGCAAATAGTTATGCTGGGTCATTCTGCTGCACGGAGGTCAGGAAAACATCTCGACATTTTGTAACTCTTGCTGGCATTCTGTATAAAAAATTTGTTGAAAGCAGAGGAAATGTCTGTAGGCCTACTTAAAAACAAGATGATAATTTAATATATTTTAAAAAAGTATTGAAACTAATTCATCCCCTATTGTGTTAATGATGTGGTATAATGTATCTGAGCTTTGTAAATTAAACGTTGAACAGTACAAGATGTAAGTAGTGTATGCATGCCGCCGGGCTATAAGGATTAGAAGCGAAATGACAAACGAAAGGGAGTCTATTATGTGGAGGACCAAGGGAGTGAACCTAGTCAACAATGAGTTGTCAGCCTTGAGTCAATAGCAGGGCGAGAGAGAAATGCGTAATTCGCTTTCGTTAAATAATTATTTTTATTCTAAATTAGAGTTTTTAAAATAATTTTTTTACGTTTACAATTTTCAAACCAACGACTTGTAAAAAAATGTGTTCTAAAGTGTTAAAGAAAGTTAAATATGCGACAAAAGAAATAAGATACAATATTACACTGAGATAATCATTTAAATAGTTTATTGTTACACAAAGTTAAATGTTGAAAAAAAGTTAAGTCACATGACCAACACGATATAGAGATAGCTGATACAAATGTCAGGGTAAACCAGTAGTTGAAGCGGTTTAAAAATGTTTGAAACGCAAGCTAGGGAAAAGATACAGTTACATTTTAAAAACTATATTACCTTCCATAGACAGGCAGTCCAGATGGTAAAATCACTGAAAAAAAGGAAAACATATTTGATTCATTTTTTAAATTTTTCTTTATCTCTGTTGAACTTGTCTGTTTAAATTGTAATTTTACTTATCGTCACTGTATTGCAAGATCATAGTACTGCCATTGTCAATGATTCACAAATAGTATATGTGTAATAAGGACTATGTACATTATTATCAATACGATCAATTTAAAGCTTTATCAAAAAGATGGTTTAATTAGCGAATATTTAAAATCACGAAATAGTAACAAGATTGAATATAATACCAATCAAACATTAATATAACACTAAACGCCATTTTAAAGAGATTCAGTTGTATATTATGCGAAATACAATGGGGGTATAGTAATATAATAGAACATTTGCAAAGTACATTTTAATGCAGTGGGTGTTATGGATTGAGAATTCAAAGTATGATCGGGAGTTAGAGCATTCAGTGTTGTCATTTTTGTTATTATGGGTTATCCATAAATGACGTCATGCTTTTTTTGACGATTTTTACCTCCCCCCTCCCCTCCGTCACACGTCGTCACAAAAAGCCAGACCCCCCCCCCCTTAAAATGACGTCACACCTCAGCCTACAACCCCCCCCCCCCTCAAAATTGAAGTTCAATTTTTTTTAAAACATCGATATTTTTCTAAAATTTTGTCTGAACTCTGTCAAAATAGAGTATTTTAATCGATTCCTATTGCAATTTATTAAAACAGTTTTCTAAAACGCGAAATAACGTCTAAAATTCGTTTTCTAACATTGTTTTTTTTATAATGCAAAATTTTGACGTCGCACCATTTTAACAACATCCCCCTCATCACACACCGTCACAAAATTACGGACCTCCCTCCCCCCTACGAGTGTGACGTCATTTATGGACGACTCCTTATAACTTAACCATAACCTCAAAACAAAACATACTAGTAAAAGAAATATTTTTTATCGTTTACTTTATTTATATTTTTATTTGTATATGTTTAAATATACAATGTTTTTTTTATAAAACATTTTACGAAGATATCAATTTAAAAAGGTTTTACTTACGGGATATAAATAACAACCCTTTTAGCACAGCTTTAGCCATCCTTGTTTATTGCGTGTACACAAGAAAGTTTCCCTTCCGATTTTAAAACAAAATATAAACAACACTGCCCAACACACCATAAGATGACCACTACACACCACACCACAGTGTAACCACTACACTGGAAGCGACACTCAGCTTGTTAAAACGTCACCACTAAACACACAACTCCTGAATTCCTCAGTAACACAAATGATGAGCTACAAGTCCACCTGCACTTAAAACCACCCCACACAATCACGGTGTCTTCACCAGAACTAGAACACCCTGGTAGTGACTAACTAACCTGTGTTAGACGCCGACAGTTT